ATAAGGTCGTCCCAGTTAACGTCCTCATCGACGTCCGAAGTCTCACAATCGATCTCTGAAGGACAGAAAGAATCTGCAGAGCTTGCATCTTCTTGATCGTTGTTGATCTAGTCTCGAGTGCTATTACAGCTGTAATAAATACTCTGTCCCTCTTGCCTAGGCTCTGCAAAGTGAATGAATTCGTAACGATTCGTGGTTCCTTAGGAAGGCTGTGGGACAGGCTGAGTCGCAACGCGTGGTTCACGATGAGAGCCTATAGGTTTTAATTAGTATTAGACTCACTATCTTATAAAGTAGGACGCAAAACATACTAAGCTCTAACGTATTATCTACTGTAGAATTCTGCAAAGGGCTAGGTAGAACAGCATTCTAGAGGTCTGTTAATAAAGGCGCACTGCTAGAATTACTAGTAGTGAAGGTAGGTTTTATAGGGACTGCGCAGTTGCTGCAGCTCCCTAATACATGCCCTGCTACCTGCAAGCGTGTGTGAACTTACAGACTCCATCGTGCTACACCTTTACTTATATTTACGTATTTTTATTGTTTTATGTATGTTATAGTTACAGTATTTGTAATTATGTAGACTTTGTATCTTGAGCTTGCGGCGTTCTCTGTGCTGCTCCACCTTTGGCTTCGTGGACGCTCGTTTGGGATGTTCGATTTAGGTTTGCCAGAAGAAGGAAGAAGGAAGAGGAGGAAGAAGAAGTAATCTTAAGCTTTTAGCAAAATTAAGTATTTAAGACGAAGTAAGGTTAGATGGTAAGGGCCTTCCTGACGCCGTGAAAGCTTGACGGACAAGTAATTCAACCTTAGGTGATGTTGATAGGAAGGAGTCTTTTTGCGTTAATCTTTAAGTGAAGTGTTGGAAGGTTAGTAAGATTAGGTAGGCGGTTAAAGGTTTAAAGCTTTATATACTAGTAGGTTACTAGCAATTCTCACCTGTTTAAAGAAGTAAATAAATGGGTAAAGGACGTTGTAGGTAAAGGTAAGACTGTCCATAAAGGCAAGTCTAGGAATTATCACACGTGGCTGTAACCCTCACCCGCTTAGAAGGGTACATCTCTTGTTGGCGGTGTATGTTGAGCTCAATTGCAAAGTTTTGCATGATATTAATTAACTTCGCTCACGGTCAGGATCGATACCCGGAAAGTGTACACAAAGTGTCGCCACGATTACGACATACCCCACGATCTACAGTCATCGCATTTATAACATCTGCCATGAAATGTATTCTATTCCTACTTGCTAAGTAATATGAAAAGATATTTCAGATAAATAATCACCGTCCGCGGCGAGTAAATCTCCCCAATAGAGGGTGTTCACCAATGGTGATGAATGATCTAACCAATCAAGAGAGCACGCGCTTCAATGCTCGCCTTAACTCTTCATAAGAGTATGTTTAAATGCCTCCTCAGAAGAAGCAAGAAGAAGCTGAAGCTGAGTGAGAAGCAGCCAACCCGAATCTATGAGCCAAAGGTGATGCTGATGCGAAGTTCGTAGCACTGACAAGTCAGTGGCGGGAAGCCATAGACACATCCGAATATGCCTCGCTCCAGTCACGCGAAGGACGAGGGAGAACACAAGCTGGACTAAACGGAGGATGGGGTTTCGGTATCGCCATGGCCTTTGCCTTTCGAGGTTTCTGGGCTCTTTTACTTCCCATATTTGCAACTGGTGTCAGATTGGTCCTAGGTGTCGTAGGCTTTCTGTTTCCTGACACCCCTCTATTGTTCTGGGATTTCTCTTTTCCGCATTGATTCGGTTTGACTGGCGAGACATACCGGTGTCGAGCCGTTCGCAAGTTCGGATCAGCTTCCAGGGAGTCGTTGTCGATATCGAATGCGGCGTCGCCAATCAGTTCCATGATATTGTACTTGATCTCCTCCTCCTCCTCTTCCTTTTTCACCACTGAACCCGGTGAACGGTGCGAAATCTCCTGCTCCACATGTTCCGCTGGCGCTTCTAATGGACTCAGACGACTCGAACAGGGACTATAGATGATTCGCTTATTCGAGATGTCACTAATGAGGCTGGGCATCTCTCGCCTCGGTATGTTCTTCTTGTTAGACGACTGAAGTGTGCGTAGAGCGGTTTCGTAGTTTCCCTCGTGTTCGATCAACAGATCGAACAAGTATCTGACTGTGTATGGATACACCGCCATGAGCCTGGCGACTTGTCGTTGGAGTTCCGGATCGTGAATATCAGAGAGATCCATTTTGAGATTTGGTGTTGCCCAGCCAAACTGGCGAGCTCGAACCGGCAGAAATGCCGTGGAGGTCTTGTTCCCTAAAATGCCAGGGTCGATGAGGTGAACTGATTCAATGACGTCGGGTCCCTCTGTCTTGATTGGGAAAATAGACCGTGTCAGTGGCTCTGTAACTCGATGATCGTCCACGCTTTCAATATGCACCGCTTGATGAGAAACCTCATCTCGAACGACTGGGTGTGGCTTCTGCTGAGCACTCATGAGATTCCTGGAACAGGTCAGCTTGTTCTGCTATGCCTTAGAGTATGAGAAATACCTTGAACATTTCACTTCCTGATTGCTCCAGTTCTTTTCTCCCACTTTAGGCCTTTTTGTTCATGGAACTTCAACAGATCCTGGACGCTTATTGTTATGGGAAAGACCTGTGGGTAAATGTGTTGCTGATGCTGGTGATACGGTCCGAAAAGCTTCGGATAGGGCAGGGGATCGACCGAGATTAAGACGATATCCAGGGTGAGTTCTGGGGAGATCAGTTTCGAACCGATTATTAATACTAACATGACTGATGTTAGAGTCTGTACAAAACATACTTCCAATCAAAGACAGTTGACGCACAAAGATGAAGGGCCATGTTGAACAGCTGGTGAATTGAGCCGTGTTGCTCCAAGATCTGTGGAACGACGCGTTGATTCTATGCTGTGACGGGTCGGATCTTGGATTTCGAGACGCTTACGCTTTAGTGAGGTTGGAGGGGTCACCATCATCGTATGGCGAATGTTTGGTCGACTGCGATTTCATCAGTAAACATTCTTTCTTTTCGAAATGTGGGGTGTGGTCTACGGGGACTCGACATCGCCCATCTCCTGGTCATTTTCCTCACTCTCAGTTTCGCTCACAAGATCGACCACCTCCACATTGTCGTGAAGCGTCAGCTGTATGCTGTCATGTTTCCGATTCAAACTACCAGGCTTGTTTGTCGTTGAGTTAGGCCGGTCATTTGCAAGTGTGCCTGTAGGGCACCCTGTTTGCCTTGTAGAGGATCGATATTGCTGATTGGAGACCTCAACGACGGTCAACTTTGACAAGCTCCCGGCGAGGTTCTTCCCACTGAGACCATCGGAAGACTTAGATAGCTGTTGTAAGCTCGGAACCCACCATCTCTGAGCTTCATCAGGCAGAGATCGATTGTGATTCTGCCCAGTGTTGTTGTGTTTCTGTCTTGCACGCGAGAGGCCATAAGGTAGCATGATCGAAGACTCGGCCTCGACTTTCATCGCGAACGAAGCGCATGTGGCGATTTGGCGATGATGGAGATTATGAGCAGAGTTATTCGACCGGCAAAGGGAACGTTTGAAGTACAGAAAGCACGAGCACCGCAAATGGCTAAGGTTGAGGTTTGGTGATATCGCTGAGGAGAATCGAAACGTACGATGGCGAGTGAAGGTGAGAAAGTCCCATCATTGAGACGCTTCGGCGTGCAAAGGATCTCCAGGTTTGCGCTGTATTCAACGAAAGGGACACTCAATGACTCGCGAACAGGTAGACAGCAGCATATCCTTCAAGGACTTATTACCGGAATCTGCTCTACTACATGGCAAGTAATTCCTAGCTACTGAGTCAAACTACTGTTTTCCATCGACAGTGCAGCGTTACTTCGCCAGCATTCGCATGTCTCCTCAACTTTAGGCCCCCACGTTTTTGTTGCTGAAAGTAATGTTCCCAGGCTACCATTATCTGAGAAGTCGATCCTTCAGCGCCACCAGGTACATCTGCCGAAGGCCTCACCTGACCTACTGCTTGGCTCACATCACACATCCACGCAATCCAAAGGCTATCCCTCTGCCTCAACTTGGATGTCAAGGTACAATTCCCTACAGCGCCAGGCTGACGGATGCGTTTTCTGCAGATGTCATCATTCCAACCTAGCTATAGCTGTGTTCATTCTGCGTGGTGTTGATTTATTCGTTGGATTCTAGACCATCGCCTCATTGTTACACATGAACAGGGCGATAAACTGGAGGTAGATCATAGGCCAGCACCACGCCACCAATTCTGACCGGAGGAATACAGCATCAGCAGGCATGGATTCATCTACCCTTGGCTTTGTTACCCAACGACACGCAAGAATGAGTTTCACACCTCAGCCTTATAAGCGGGGCTGAGCCAGAGTATGAGATGAACGTGTTTGCCGCGATATAATATGAAGGTCTTCGACAGTATGGCTCATAAGTTGTGTGACCTTGGTTTCTCACTGCTTAATGACCGTCTTCGCTCCTCGCTCAGCTAGTAGCTTCTTGGAGTGAAGACGCGCTCCTCATGGACCCATTATCTGTCGCAGCGGGTGTCATCGCAATATTGCAAGCAACTGGAATAGCAGGTCAAGGTGTTCATAAGCTACTGGCCTTGCGAGATGCACCTCAACAGCTCTATCAGCTATGGAACGAGGCTGAGGCTTTACGAGGTACTTTAAGCTTCCTTTCCAGGCGAATTCGTGTGAGAAGACTATTTAACGGCAGTAGCTCTGGTACTTGAGACCGAATCGGTCCTACGTCGTATGCTGGATTCGAATGGATATGACCTGACCAGCTCCTCCATTGGACCTTCACTAGAGAAAGTTAAAGAACATGTAGTCGAGTTCGAAGAACTGATCCGGTGAGTTTAGTTGACAAGGCTGCATACCTGAGGGCATGACTCTAATTCAGCTTCGTCCGCAGCAACAAACTATCTCGACCAGAGATAGTGGGTAGTCAGGTGTTACCAAAAGTTCGGCGGTTGCATTGGCTTCGGGCGGGATCAGACATACAAAGGATCAAACAGAACATTCGCGATTCCAGAGAAATACTCAAAGATCGGCTCGCTCTGATCAGCATAAACGATAGGTCAGTCTGAAATGTCAGGCTGCCATTGCCACGATGAGCTGCTGACACATATTTTAGTCATGACTTGAAGTCTCATGTTCTTCAAATTCAGAGCATAGCACTCACCAGTTCAGACGCCATTCGGCAAATCGAAGACAACCAACGAGAAACCCAAGCAAGCCTGATCGCGCTCCGTGTTGAACAACAGCAAAACTACGAAGCTCTACAGACCACCCTTACCTGCACGATGCAACCGATCCTTGGGCAAATGGAGCAAATGACATTGGCATTGACGAGGACTCAGGGAAGCCACTTGCCTACCCACAATACCCCCGGCGGTAGCAACCCCCCGCCTTACAGTCCGTGGGCCCCACCACACCAAGATCTACCCGTTCGTGTTTCCGCGACTATAGCTTCACACCAATGCCCAAAAGGTTGTAAGTGCCAATGCCATACACGATCCTCGGTTCGCACACCAACATGGTGCAAAAACGTCTTTGGCCGGCTTATGTGGACATACAGCTCGTCGATATCGATGAGGTATTGCAACTATGCGCCATGTAGGAAGAGTTTGGGAAAGCACCACTTTACATACTACTTCCCACCGTGGCTTGTTTCCAGGGCGCTCGTGGTCTCTGCGGCACTAGACGATCTCTCGGGAGCCGGTGCGAAACTATCGATCAATGTACCACTCATTGTCCCCGAAGAGAGTCATATCGTGTGGTCGCTAGTGATGGCGGGAAACCTGGAGCAATTGAGGGTTTTAGTGGCCCAGGACAAGAATCTGATGTACGTCCGAAACCAGTGGGGACAAAACATCATGCATGTAGGGAGTATTTCTACATTTTTTCCAGGAGAATATGTGACTTACTGTGATTCAGGTTGCTGCGAAAATCCATCAGCCTGCTATCTTCAATTACTTACTTGATATGGGCATGGATGCCAATCTTCCAGACGAAAATCAGAAAACAGCCACCACGACGGTGATCACCCGCCGCGGCGCCGAAGAGTACGATCTTCCTATAGATGCAGACGACCTCGCCGATCGCCTTGGATGGACGGAGTTGCACAAAATAGCTGCTTTGACGCACAAAGACCGTCCATTGACGGAGGCGATCCTGAAGGCAGAGTATGACACAATCAACAGCAAAGATAATCTTGGCCGCACACCACTGCATTGGTTAGCTGAGAATGGCGACGTAGACGGAATCAAGCTTTTGACGCAAGACCCCTGGCGGGCCGATGTACATGTTCGGGACAACATGGGATTCACAGCACTTCATTGCGCCTGCTGGGCAGACTCTTTGGCTAGTTCATCAGCCCTACTCGATGCAGGCAGCAACCCGAATGCACAAGACAAACATGAAAGAACGCCAGTCCTCTTCTTCGAGGATAGCAAGATATTGGATCTTCTGATCGAGAAGGGTGCTGACCTTCTCGTCAGCGATGATGAAGGGGCAAACTTCATGCACCATGTCGCGATCGCCGATCAAGGTGATCTTGCAATGACTTTACTCGAGCGGTATGGAGATAAGCTTTGCGTACCCAACTATAGCGGCGATACTCCCATTGGCCTGGCCATACAATCCAACAGTCTCCAAGTCCTTGCAGCCTTGGTAACATACATGGATGAGTTTCCTGTAAGTAAATTCCTCATGCTCGTCGCGTCGCTATCAGAATCAGTAGAGTCCCAAAACTGACCATCAATAGGTCGAAAAAATCAACTCAGTCAACAAGAGCAAACGTAACATCCTCCACATTGCTGCTTTGTATGGCACAACTGAGTCTATGGACATGCTCGCCGAAGCAGGTCTTATTGGTCTGGATCCAGATGCATTGGATAAAGATGGCCATACACCAAACGAATGCTTCATTCAGTGTCGAGACGCAAATCATGCAACGACACGCAAACGATTTGAGTTAGAGAACGAATCATGGACAAGTCTGATGGCAACAGTACGCAGACAGGGAAAGCCACTCTTTGAGATGAAAGAAGTAGAAAAAGTTGACGTAAGAATGGAAGTAAGGATCATTGAGGAAGTGGTCTAGGTTAATAGGCGTAAGCTACATTTGATGTGCTAGTATGAACGAGGCTGAGACGGCATGTCTAAATGTTGTAGTCATATAGTCAGGAAGCTTCAGATCATTCTAGGGTCTGTATTTTCCTTCAGGGTTTAAGCTCTGACTTGGGATGAGGTATCGTCCTTTTCCGTTTTCAATGGCATTGTCTCGAAGCTGGGCTTTCTATCTTGTCTACTACGTGCAATCTACTAAGCAGGCTCCCTAACATTCGACTCTAGCCCAAACTTCAAGCATAACTACTTAGTATGGAACACACACTAATGCACATTACTCGGTATCTTTTGGTTTCTCCACTTCCAATAAATACGAATATGTTATTTTACACGAAACCATGACCAGAAGTGCACAAGGCTCTGCACCTTTGATACTTCTAGCCGCCAAGATTTTCCCACGTCATATAAATACCTTCTAGGTAACCATACTCGTAACTGAAGCTGAACTGAAGCTGCTCATTCAATGCTCTTAGAACCCCGACAGCGATATGAAAATATGAAAATATATGGACTCAGCTCGACAATAATACTTTGCGCGTTCGATTTATTTGGGTTGGTCTCCGCAGATTCGTCCTCCCAGACCATCAATTCGATGATTTCTCAAGAAGCGCACGACGTACTTACAGATGTGACTTTGAGCTTCTACAATCCGGAAGATGCCCTTTCACCATACACCCTGGATCCACGGAGATGGCGACGGTTAGAAAAAGACCTCCTTCTACATTCCAGCAAGGAGAGCATTTGGCTTTACTACCAGCAAAAGCAAGAGAAGGATCTCACAGCGAGTGATCTGATAATTACCGGTTTACATGTGAAGAATTCCAAGCCCGAATCTAGTTCTGATGAACAATGGGAATCTCGACCAGGGGATATATGGCTCCAGCGAACCCATTATGATGGCAACGCCAGCCAGGCAATAAGAGCCATTGATGTTTTATTTGGCGCAGATGCCGTAGATCCAAGACCACAGTGGAGCATTTCAACTTCGCCGCTCAAGCTCAATGCTGCTGCAGAGGTGCCAGCGTCGTATCTGACCGTACGACGGGGCAAATCACAGCCTCGAGATACTCCTCCACCATTGCAAGCCAACAAGGATGGAAAGTTCAAGATTGTGCAGATTTCCGATACTCACATGATAGCTGGGGTCGGTAACTGTACCGACGCCCTTGGACCCAACGGGGAGCTCTTGCCCGACAGAGAGGCAGATCCGCTCACTGTGAAGTTCATCGAAGAGATATTAGATGTCGAGAAGCCTGATCTAGTTTTGCTTACTGGCGACCAATTGCATCACGACATTCTCGACAGTCAGTCGCCTTTGCTGAAACTAGTCGCTCCGCTTATAGCGCGATCGATACCATATGCTGCTATTTTCGGGAACCATGATAGTGAGGGCATGTGGCAGTTGTCGCGTACGTACCGCTACACATTCTAGCGATTAGACTTGAAAGCATGGAAAGCATCACTCACTGACACACCGATTCAACAGGCAAGAAACAAATGGCAATTCTACAAGATCTCCCATTCAGTCTCTGCCAGCTCGGCCCGGAAGAAGTCGACGGAGTCGGCAACTACATTCTCCAAATCTATCCCCACGATTCCACGAACGACCCATTCGCAACGCTCTATCTGCTCGACTCACACGGGGAGCTAGAAAGTAAAGTGAAATGGCCGGACTACGGACACATCACTCAGTCACAAGTTGACTGGTTCATCAGCACCTCTCAAGCATTACGCAGCGCACGAGAAGCCACCAAAGGCGCACGAAAAACCTACCATCTCCCTTTAGCATTCTTCCATATTCCGTTTGCTGAATACACGGATGAGAAACTTGCGATCAGAGGTGGCAAACGGAGAGAACCGACGGAAGGTCCGAGTTTCAATTCACACTTCTACGACGTGTTGGCCGATGAAGGTGTCGTGGCGGTTGGTTGTGGTCACGATCACGTCAACGATTTCTGTGCTCTGCGGCATTCGACGAAAGAGTCGCGGTCTGTTGGTGGGCAATCGAGTCCAAGAAGCAGTCCTTGGCTTTGCTATAATGGTGGTACAGGATTTGGAGGGTATTGTTCATATGATGGGGTCCGATTTCATCGTCGGACGAGAGTATGGGAGTTTGATGCAAATGCTGGTAGCATAACGACTTGGAAGCGCAAGGAATATTCAAAAGATAGGGTCGACGAGATCGTGCTTGTCAAAAACGGGGCTGTCGTCGACCCTGCAGCGCATGAAGATGTGGATGATTGGCAATTCATCTCTAGAAGTGAGCTCTAGATCAAAAGTTATGTTCACTCCATACAATCGCATCAAGTAAAATTTCCTTGCAATCTCTATGGAACACCCTTCCTGGCATCATTCTCTGCCCTCAGCACATGCAACTCCCTAATCTCCCCACACAACTCCCCACACGGCCCGTCAACCTCCAAACCCGGCGCCACCTCCTTGATAGCCAACGTGCTAACCTTCAACCTCGGCAACCCCAACTCCTCCCTCCACAACTTCAACTGCGCCGACGAACTCGCATACACGATCCTGCCCAACCCGGCATTCGCGTGCGCCGCCGCACACATGGGACAGTGCTCTCCGGACGTGTAGACCGTGGCTTTCGCGCGCTCGTCCTGGCTGAGATTCTTCGCCGCCCACCTGGCGAGCGTGAACTCCGGGTGCAGGGTCGGGTCCGCTAAGGTGACGGTCCGGTTCCGGTCTTCTTGTAGGATTTCGCCTGAGGAGGAGACCAGGATGGAGCCGAAGGGGCTGTCGCCTTCGTGGCAGGCCTCGGTTGCGAGGGCGACGCACCGGCGGAGGTGGTCTACGTCGGTTTGGGAGAGCATTTTGTGGTCGAAGGGTGAGGGTGGCCTAAGGCTGTTCACAGGGAGGGTGAGGTTGGGTGAGATTATTGATGAGCACACGGTGCGAAATTAGGTCCTCGATTCCTGGGTACTTCGTAATGGTCTGTTCGGATTTTGGTTGGGTGATGAATGATGGGGATTGTAGATTCAATAAAGAGGCAGATAGATACCTAACGAACAATAATCGATAAGAATTAAAAGAGGGGTTAGAGCCAGAACGAAAATGGTAATCGAGTCGAACATTAACATTTCGAAGTTGATAAGCACAAAGACCAATTCATCGTTATAAAACGCTCGACGCTTTTTGAGCTGTAAGAATTTTTGCTTCGTGTAAAGAAGGGTATCGCGAAGTACGTATCTATAAAGTCAATCAAAATGCCACCAAGATTGCCCCCAAAAAGCAAAAGCGCCAAACCCATCATTTTTATCCAACATCAAGTATTTCCCTTCGATTGCACCTTAGCTAAAGCATCTTGCGGATTGTCCTGCAACATGATCCATTCCTGACTGTCCGCACTGATCGCATCCGCATCTTTGGCCATTGTTGTGACTTGAGTAGTAGTATGCCGACCCTGATACTGACTCCTCGCATCGTCATATTCCACACTATATCCCTCCTTCACTACTATGCCGCCGTTGAGGGACTGGAAGGGGAACGATTGCCCCGCAAATTTCGAACCCTTTTTGTGTGTGGAGCGATGCGTCGAGCTGTGTGTCGAGTTGAAGATGCGCGGGGCGATCTTGGACATGAGAGGTTTGCAGGCGGGGATGCAACCGCAGATGATGCCGATGCTGGTTTCGATCGCGACGATAACGTAGAGGGTGGATCCGTGCCCTATAAATCGAGTGGATTAGAAAGTGTGGTGGCTAATGGATGCTGTGGTGTCAAGATGATAATACTGACAGGATGAGTCGTAGGAGTGTATGTAAATTGACGTGTACCAGAGGCGACAGACGCCCGCGACGCATATGCTGTGACTGGGTTAGTACAGATGGGAGACGTCTTCATGATGGGTGTGCCTACATGACACCAAGAGTGAACATGATTATCAGTGTCACTCTTTGCTTGAGGGAGATCCGAATTTTTGCGAGATCTTTTGCAGGCCAGAGGAAGATCTGCAGTGGTCAGTCTGAGTCAACGGTTGCTGCATGTCTTCTCGTACCAGAAAATCACTGAGAATGTTGAGGCCCTGTGTTTGCGTCAGTAATGCCTGCTGTCGATATAGTTAAAAGAGCTTACTCCAGTGGTATAAAAGAGGGGAGCTATGTCAATGCACTCGCGGTTTGGATATTTAGCAAGTAACCAGTATGCCTCAATGGGTCTGTTATTCATCAGTAAGTCGCATTTAGGAAAGACGTAAATAATTACGTACTTGCACTGAAACAAAGCAAGAAAGAAAGAGATAAGCGACCATATCGCGGTGAACGCGAACATGCAATAGCAAAAGTACTTGTTTGTGGTTGACGGGAAAATTCCTGGAGATGTGAGCGTAAAGACAAATAGCCCAGTCGACATAATTTAACATACGTAAATAAGTTAACAGAATCGAAACCTTGGTCAAAGCAGTTATTGGGATAAACAGCAATTGTGTCGCCATTGCGATCTAAAGACTGTAATCAGCAAGTTTCAAACTATTGAATCTAAAAAAAAAGTACCTGGGCAGGTTTGACTGGATTGGCAGCGATTTCAGGGCGCAGATCCCCTACGTACTGTCAGTGTATCTACACGGTCATTGATCTGTGAAGTTTACATATGTGATATCCGGTTTGGTATTCTGCTTGCGTGGAGATGCAAGTCATTATACTTGTAGCTACAGAAATCACTGTAGCCACAAGCATGCACCAATCGTCCTATTGATAAATATTAACGATGTTCGAAGGCGACATGATTCTGGAACCTACCGCTCCAAGTGCGCGAATGAGTACTGCTCGACTGTAAAACCGCATCATAGTGAATATCACGATCAAGCATAACAGTGGTATTTCTATGCCCAAGACTAGTGGACGCCTGGTCTCTGGATCGATGAAGTTGGGAGGCGGCCATGAAGCAAAGTCCGCAGCAGTAGGCAACTGCTGGAACGACATGATGAACGCAATTTGAAAAGAGATGAAGAACAAATTGAGGAAGAAGAACGGTGGAAACAGCAAAAGGAGTTCGAAGATTGATTAGCCATGCACTCCTTGGTTTCTTCCAAGCATGGAAAGGGTGGAAGTGACATGAGTGCCACCCGCCGACAGTTTGACTACAGTTTTCTAGACCGTCTAGGAGTGCTGCCCCTACTGACCGGGGTGAAATCCCATAGGCTGCAATTATGCCATTGTAGATGATATGAGTGCTAAGCATGATCGCCGCGTGTTGACGGATCGCATACAGTGATCCGAGGTAGATCGATCAGGGCTATCCCATCATATTGGGTAGTGTGCCTGAATTATGAATGGCGCAAGATCTGCCGTCTCGAACACTACAGTATAATGGAACAAGTGATGCATCAAGCAAATGATGCCCAACTCCCAGGTCCATTTGAACATGGTCTAGGTCTATGTATCGAAGTAGCCAGGAGGCCCTATTTCTTCGTTCAATGCTAGCAGACTACACGGAACTTTTCAGGTTGCGTGAAGAGTTGCAAGCTGTGCCGGCAACATGTCCGGTAATGACTGATAGGTCCTACTCGACATAGTTGACAGGCTCGTCCGCTCGAAATGGGCTGCCAGGTACGCCTTCTTGCAGTCTAGCCAGTCACTGTGGTCACTACGGGTGCCAATATTGAAAACTGCAATTTGGTGGTTACTTGTAGCTGGAAATGGACACGAGTCACGGACTACTGACACAGTGCAATCAAACAGAATGCCGTGGGTCTAGATGAGACTAGATACTGACTAGATCCACCGTCCCCACACGGCAGATCAAGTGCATTGTCTAATATCCACATCTACCGCAAGGCCGGATCCCAATTCCAGAGATTGCTATGTTTCAAGAAGATGTTGTGCCTGAACAGCATCTGACTACGGCCGGTAGCCTTTTGTGTACTTAGGTAGAGGGAAGGCAGCTGGGAGGGGTTTGAGTTCGCCATGGCGCAGAAACATCATTTGTTCAAGAATCAGGACCTAATGTGCGAATCCTTGCCTTTGATTACTGTCGCTACTTCGAAGCAACACAAATACAAGGTCCAGTCGCACGTGAAAATAAAACTTTGACTGAGTAGTTTGTTGGCCATAGGTACGGAGGAATGACCTAGAGCAATCTCGAAGAGGACATGTCTAAGCTGTTGAACAGGATGGAAGTTGGTACATCGAGGGATAGCCATCAGTCCCCGGACATTGATTTGGGTGCATCTTCCCCACTGGCCCGGAGCTCATTGCTAGTTCCACCCTAAGATTGGATGGATGATTGTCTATCCAGCGGGTGGCAGAGCGACCGAGGTGAATCTATTCCAGCAGTAATGGTGGCCCAGAACGCGTGATCATCTGATACAAGGGGCCGGTCACCACTATATATACGCGCAGGACAGAAGATGTAAGGACAAGAACAAGGTTGTCCTTGAGAAGAACATAATGCCATATGTACGCCTACTCACAAGCTTCTACCGATCAAAGCAAGGGTATGAAAAGGTGAGGCAGTTTGAGCGAGAGGGCGGCACGGGTAGGAAGCGGATCCCTGGGTGACGGTTGCAGTCAAGAGAGTGGGAGAAATGTTAACGCGTTCCTGTTCCTGGTGGTGATGTCAGCGTCCAGCCATCCCGGTTCCAGCCATTCACGACCGCCCGCCCACGTCCACACTCCACAGTCCAGCCATTCCCCGCTCGAGTCCAAGAACTTGAATTCGCAGTAGAGCTCTCATAGCTCTCTCCCAACCTCATCATTCTACAACAGCCACTACACCACCTCCACCATCGTCCTCATCCAGGACAATATCTATCTACCTCTCGCCATCCCCTATGACTGCCCCCCCTGCCTCGCATGGGGGATTGGCAGGACCGCATCGTTTACTATCGTGATTTCGCTTATACTGCACGCCGACTGCGAATGGCGAACGGTAACATAGGCGATGTGCCTGCTTCATCTTATGCCGAGTATGTATCAGCTTCTTCTGATCTTTCCAACTCCTCCAGTGATGGCGCATCCGATCCTCCATCAGATCCATTTGGCCATCCTTCTCCAGACACCGTCCAACCCCATGCGCCGCCGGCAGAAGGACCTACACACACTGTCTCGCCTGTCACAAGATGTGTAGCCGTGCGACCGGGCCTGGCGCATCGCCTCTACTCTCATCGTCTTCATGTCAGGGCCAAAGCTAAACTGCAACGCGACAGACTTCTCTCCGGTCCTATGATTGATATCTACGTTGGCGAGTCCAAGCGCCATTGGGCTCTGCATCGCAACCTGCTATGCCACCATTCCGAGACGCTCGAGGCAGAGCTGCAGAGCAGCGGAAAGAAGCAGAAGGATAAACTCGAACTGCCAGATCACGACCCGGCTGGCTTCGAGCTACTCGTGAAATGGCTGTATCAGGGCAGGCTTGACGACGTGTCCGATCTGATTGACGCAAATCAGAAGTACGAGTATGCTGTGAGTTGCCACAAGCTATACCTGCTATGTGAGCGATTCGATATGCCTCAGCTCAAAAATGTTGCTATCGACCAATACCGCAAAGGTCTGAACGAAGCGGAGCTTGTACCGGACGCTGAAGAGATCAACGAAATCTACCGCAAAAGTCCCTCGGGCTCCCCATTTCGTACCCTCATGACAAAGATCGCGGCTCGACAAATCATGGACCCTGAGAGCCATAGAGACGTCGGAACTTACCGCGATTGTTTCGTTGACAATCCCGAGTTCGCAATCGATCTCGTAAATGCCATCAAGCAAGGCACTGGTGGCATGCTGTTCGTCGATCCTACCGATGCTGGCAACGAATGCGAGTACCACGATCATGATGCCGGGCCGAATTGCCATATCAAGGGAAAGGGAAAGACCAAGCAAGGTAATTAAGGCCTCTCAGCATAGTTTTCATTCCCGACCCACGCCACCATCCTCCGTGGTGAAGAGGGGCTCGTCTCCAATAATCGGTTCGTCTTCAAAGTACTCGGGATAACACCAATTGACATATAGCTCTCAAGGCCAAAGCCCCCCTTCACGACCCCAACTCCACCAAATCGGAACTATCCATAAATTCCGTCCCACGAGCCCTCCCTCACCGCCCTCCTCGCCTCATTCCGAATCCCCAGCCTCCAGCGAGGAGGCAAGCTCGCCTACAGGACGGGACCAGCGTGGGTCCTCTCCGCCGTCGCCTGACCAGTCCGGCATCCTCTACAGTCGGGACGACGACGGAACACGCGATGGCGAAGCCACTCAGCCCAACCGATCAGAAGGATCAGCCCTTGAAAGCACCACTCCCCGAGGAACGCCTACCAGACCCGGCGCAGGAGGAGTCACACCCAGTCCACGACGACCACCTCCCAAACTCCGAAAGAAACTCTCTCCAACCCCCGAATAATACAAAGGATGAGCGTAATGCACCTATCGAGGCAAATCAAGACACTACATCGACCATAACGGATGACTCTTCGAATAGGCGAGGCATTTGGGATTGGGCTAGGGCTGGGACAGGGAGACTGAACTTAATTGGCTACATCCCACATCCTGAATGGAAGGGACAGCCAGTTATGGTGACATCCAAGACTGCGACGGATGCAGTTAACGGGGTTCTTCAAAGAAAATCGAGTAACAGCCCCCATGACGATTTCAGTGTTCCGTCAACGACATCGACGGGCACGAATGGTGGGCAATCGAATGACGAAATACTCGTCGCGAAAATGGAAGGACTGGGGATTTCGAGTGCATCCGTCGACGAAGCATTATTCTCCCAGACGAAAGACTCTTCAGATGACTTAGTTGCTGCGGCTTCCTCCATTAATGGAACTCCTTCTCCAAAAACATCTAAATCGGATGCCTCGACGATTCGGGGAGATTTTGGCAGTCCGCCGGGAACCCCTTCGCCACCATCTCGCAAACAGACACAGAATGGAGGTGCAGATGCTGCATCGAGCCCCCATCGAATTCCTAAGTACAAGATTGCGCTCGCAAGTAATCTTCTTTCCTCACCTAGGAAAGCAGTTTCATGATACCCTCTCAATATCTTTTATAATATTTACTTGGCGGACTCGGTTCATGTCCTGTTTTACTATGGCAGCTATATATCATTGTAATCAATGCGGTGTACATGTGGCAATATATATAATTTTTTGGACAACTGCAAATAGTACCCCGTCTAATACATTCTTACGTACATATAAACTCTTCCAAATCAAGTTTCAATGTGTTACATATTCAATTTCCATCGACAGCACCAGTGGTCGCAGTGCCAAGCCCAACCCTCATTGGTCGTCGCAACCGCGTCTCAAGTTGTCCCTTCGAACAGCTTAACAACCGACGTCAACACCACTCCTTCACAACACTCGACAAGAGTGCCCAATAGCTACCATGGAGTCCATGGAGACCAAGCTCCTCAATAAATACAATATTCCTACTCTTTTCCCTGCACAATGGCCAGAAGAGAAAGATAGGAGCTCCGACGAGGAGGAAGACGAAGCCCCACGCACCGCCGCCGTTCAACCCCTCCGCCGTTCAAACACCAAATCGCGATATTCCGTACTGGAAAATACTCGAACGTATTCAAGGCAGCTTCCGGGTGCTGAAAAGAACCAAGATGGCGTGGAGAATCTCGTACAGAAAGACGAGGCCGATCCCTTGGGCACCTATCCCAGCGTTGTCCACGTCCTACGACAGAGGGGATTGCCTGTCGAGGAGGACATCAAGCTACGGAATCGGTTCCTCCTCAGTTCTACGTCCTTCTCGCCGTCACTCTTCTTGTCACAGGTTCACAGTTCTGCATCTACAGATTCCTTGCTCGCCGGTCTCGACTTCCTCTCTCGCTCGATCGAACAAAAGTCCGCCTCTCTTAAGGTCCTCGTGGAGTCGAACTTCGAGCGCTTCGTAAGCGCAAAGTCTACAATTGATAGGGTATACAATGAGATGAGGGATACGGGCCGTGAGCCTGAAAACCCTGGGCTTCGGCGCCCAAGCCATGGTCGTGGAGCTAGTCGCGCGAGCTTCTCTTCTCGTAAACCGAGTGGTCCTCTCAGTCCGAGCGCGATGATAGGAACAAATCTGGGCGATATACCGAGCGAGAAGAAAAAGAAGAACGCATTGACTAAGGAGTGCGAGTACGGCGTACATGGTATCAAGGTCCCATTGACCGAGGTTGCGGTCAAGGCGGAGGAGGTTTGGGGCCCCGCGTTGAATGGACGAGAAAAGGAGGAGACACTCAAATCTATCCTGGGATCGGTCGAGAAGAACCGTAGCCTCTTCGAAGTCGGATCCACCATCCAGGATGCGATTCGTCGCAAAGATCATGATACAATTATTGAGGAGTACACAAGGGCAAGAAAGTTTGCGGAGGATGCACGTTACGATGTGGAGCAGGCGACGTACAACAAGACCCCTCTTTCAGATGTCCAAGTTCATCAGATCATCGTCACCGCACGTATGTGGAATGATGTCGAGACACAGATTGAGTCATTCAAGCGGGATTGTTGGAAGCGTCTTGCGTCGACTCATTTTACCAAAGAGCAGGCTGGAAGCGAACAAGCCAAGTCGGAGCAATACATGGAGATGATCTCAATCATGCTTGAATTGGGTGTGGAAGACAATCCCATTTGGATATGGCTCCTGTCACGATACGACTACTTGAAGTCGCGCATAATAGCGACGTGTGAGAGATCGAAAGTGGAGCTTGAGATCCTTCGTCGTCATCTCTCGAACACGAGTAAACCTGGGTTGCGGACGCTGTCAAAGCATTTCCGTGCCATTCCGGTCGATTCAAATGCTGCTGTAGAGCCAGCGAAATTAGACTCCGCGAAAGTTATCGAATTCTGGGAGCAAGCCAACTCTTCCATGACGAATCTGCTCTCCTCAAATGGTGGCCTCCTAGGAGAAGTTGTGGAGTATTGGGACATTGCACAGTCTTTCATCAGTGGTCGTGCTCAGCGCACAATGCCCATGGGTTTCAACAATCAGTCCTCGGTGCATCACAAATTATCTTCTTCCAACGTCATCGAGCTAGAGAAGGGTACCACTGAACTCTCCAATCTCATACGCGAACATATATTCTCCGTCTTTGCGGACCCGCCTATTGAAGATATCTCGTTGCTCTTCTCTCCAGCTCCAACCGATCCTGAACCGGCCACACCTCGTACCCCTCTGAGTGCAGCACTTAGCCCTACCTCTTCTACTCGGTTTCGCTTCGATCCCGCAAATATTCCACCCCCGTCACCGAGCCGCGGAGAGACTTGGGAGAAGTACGCTTTCTGGCCTCCAAATTCGAACGCACTTTCAGGATCCCATTACCTTGCTAAGACACTTCTTCTCATTGGCACAGCTGCTAACGAAATGGCTTCTCTTCGACTACCCGAAACTAATAACTCTGCTGGCCTGGGAGATGCATTGCGCGCCCTGGTCGGTGCTGTTCGTGAGCGCTGCGTGCAAGCAGTGTGCGTGGCTTGGAACACTGACGCCGAGAGTCTCAAAGTACTGGAAGATTGGACCCGGGACCCAGATCGAAAAGACATCACAAACATGCCATCTCGGTTCCTTGCAGTGCAGAGCTTTCTCTTGACCAATTTGCAGAAAATCATGTACGTCAGCGGCAGTGAGGGTGGTAGCAAAACAGCTGTCGACGTTGTTGTGCCCCCGAGTAACAAGTTGCTGCAAATGGTGAGGAGTCAATTCGTCACAAGTCTGTATCGTACTTTGAGTGGGATGGTAGAATGCGCAGAGAAGGGACGCCGAGCGCTGGGTAAAGAGTTCGAAATCAAGGGCGATGATTTAACAATCGATGAGAGCCAAATTGGTGAAGATGTGGATGGCTGGGGCAAGGTTGATGCCGACAAGCAGGTGCGTATAATTAGCTCTCCACGGTCTATGATGATACATCTACTAACAATTCGCAGCCAATCCGCCTGCTTTTGACGCTGTCAAACATGACCACTCTCGCAAATACCACAGCACCTCAACTCCTCAATCACTTCGAGACTCTGTTCTCTGTCGCCCTTACGGATGAGAGCAATCGTATCAGGGATGTTCTTTCCCAGCTTGACCTACAGCTCTTCAAATCCTATACCAAGCCGCACATTGCCGCGATCAACAACACTATCCAGACTGGTATCTTCGCACCAAACTGGGCAGCACCACCGGCACGACAAACAAGCTCGGTCGCTGACCGGGATCCATCTCCATACGTCTTCAGTGCACTGCTCTCTCTAGTCATTGTGCACACGGAGGTGTCCACCACCTCTCCTCCCCTTGTTCCCCGCATCCTCCGCTCTCTCTTCGAATCATCGACAGAAACCCTCATTGCCACGTTTTCATCCCTCCCTCACTGTAACCTGGACATGTTGATGCAAGCCACACTCGACGTCGAGTTCATGGCTCAGACGCTCTCCGCATACACAACGGAGAAGGCATCGCAAGTCCAGACAGACATCTACCAAGTTCTTGACCAAAAGACGGATAACGCTGCACGTGTGAGGCTGCAAGAAGAACTAGGCAATCTGAGAGGGGTGTTGAAGAGGTTGAGGGAGGGCACTAGGACAGAGTTCTTGTGCTTTAGAAGGAGTAAAAGGGGCAATGAGGCAGGTCAGAGGTAATGGCAAAGATTAGAACAGAACGACGGTTTTAGTTGAGTTGATAGTGTTGTGGTGTTGTTAGTCTTTGAGCGAGTGCGAATCTGAATGTGAATACTTTTATCTACCACAAACTTCTATTGACTCGGTATCGAGGCTTGCTACATTGACATGATTTCACATTACCTACCTAGATGTCGAGGAAAGGAAAGCAGCAGTCGTCCCTGGGCCATCCACGATTCAAGTCAATAACTGAACGACATGACTCGCTTACCCCAACACGATATGATTGCGATGGAAACCCACAATGCGGCCCGCTCGCTCGCTAGGAGGGCCTTGCAGAACCCGCATCCCGCCTCATAAGAACCTGCATGATGCTATCCGCATTGGTATTGAGCATCCGAGGGGAATCTTGCGGCGTATACTCGCCTCGTACAAAAAAACACGCAAGCATCGCTTTGATTCGAATAAAAAGGCCCGTCTAGATTTAACACACCGTCCACCCAGGACAATAACTTCAAGGAATCCCTATTCTCTCGATCTTCATCCATCCATAACTTCAATAACCTCCCTGTAAATAAGTGCCCAGCCAATACAACAATGCACAACGCAACGATTCGACCGGCGCGTGTGTCCGACCACTACGCCATGGCCTCAATATGCAGCGCCGCGTTCTTCGAGGAGGACCTCTTCGGCCGTATTATCCACCCCAAGCGCCACGAATACCCAGATGACGTTGCACTGTTCTGGTTGCAATTCATCCGCGAGCAATGGTTCGATTGGCGGAACAAGTTGTACGTTGCTGTGAGCACCGGAGATGAGAAGTCTGCTGGGGACGAAATTGTCGGAGTCGCTGTTTGGCAGCGACAAGGGAAGGTTGGGGATGGTATGAAGTTGAGAGCTTGGGATCCACGTATGTTTTATTTCAATGTTCATCAGTCGTCCTGGGTTTAAGTTCATCAAAGCATATCACCTACTCTGCCCTCTTCCTAGCATTACCCACGTGCCAACCCTCGAAATTCCATTATATCTATCCAGAGAAGATCTCACATAAGTAACAACATCCCCCAAACCCACAGGCAACATAATCCACCCCCTCCTCACCCTCCACCACACCCTCCTCCAACCAACCCTCTGGCCCAACCGCGCCCTCGACCCCACAAAAACGACCCTCCTCCCCTCCGCCGAACCCTTCGTCGCGCACCACTGGGCCGGCGCCCGCTCAGAGAACTGGTACCTCTCCCTCCTCGCGACGTCGCCCGCCGCGCAGGGCCGCGGCATCGGGAAGCGGCTCGTGAAGCTGGGGCTGGATCTCGCGAGGGAGGAGGGCGTGCATGCGAGTGTGATGAGCAGTGAGGGAAACGATGTGTTTTACCTGAAGAGTGGGTTTGATGAGGTGGTTGGGTGGGCGAATGAGGGGGAGGAGAATCCGTTGAGGAAGGAGGGCGTGAAGGGGGGTGCGATTTTGTTTATGTTTCCTGAGGGTCAGGGTGGGAGGGAGTAGGTTATAGGAGTAATGAATTGATGAGATGTTGAAGAATGTTTATGTGTTCTGGTTTTCCTTCCTTCTCTGCGTACTAGGCGTGCTAGAGTATTACCACTTGTTGTAAATGATCAGCAAACCTCGAGAATGTTCCTAGTGTAGATCTCACGAAGATCGATCAACAAGAATCGAGGATCATGATCGACGATGAGCAGGAAAGTTTCTAGACCTGGAATATGAGAAGAAAGATGTAACCCAGAGTAGTAGAGATCAGTGTTGAAACCATATTCTTGGAACTCGCATACCACTTCAAATTGCATTCACCGCTTTCCACCACAATCATATGCCGGGCGCCACCCCCACGGGATTCCTTACGCCCAAACGTTTCCACCATGCATAGTTCCAACCCGCCAGCTAACATTTCACACGGCTCGGCTAGAATAGAATCGAAAAAGAAAAAGGACAGAATGCTGAGTTTCGCAACGATCAAGGAAGTTGAACAATTCCAGTCTCTATGCCATATGTCATTTTTCGTGCTTCCTTTTTTTCCGTGACAAACCTCGACTTGGCGCGGGTGCAAGCAGAATCTTGAACGACCTGCAATTTGTCTAATGGCGTTTGATATCTAATCAACCCATGCATGTAGGCCTGCTCACTATCAAACAGGTCCCCCGTACTCGGCCTCGGCCCCTCGAAATGTGACCCCAATCCAGCCTCACCCGCAACATCCCACTCCAAAACCCCAGACCCACACCCCACTGGCTCAGCCAGTCCAACTATCGATGTGAAAGATCATCGTCGGATTCGCGCCTTCGTCTGGTGCGAAGACGTCGATCCTGGTAACGTATTTGTTTCCCAGCTGTGCCTTGTGCTGGACGAGGAGGTAGCCAAGGCCGATGCCGTTGGGGGATCCTAGGAGTGCCTGCGCGGTTGGGAATCCCAAGTGTCAGTGTGCTGGTTCCTGGAAAGTTGGGAGGGGGGTTTACGATCGTTGGGTCTGGATCGTGTTTGTGTGTGTGCATGTTGTTGATCTATGTCCAGAGACGGGTTATGTGGAAGGGAGATGAGAGTGAACTGGCATGAGGTGGCAGAAGGATTCTTGGGAATTGACATACTCTACCTTGCTCCGACATCGAAGAGAAGCTCACGCCAGGCCACTTCTTCAACGGGGAAGCGTTTACCGACTCAATAGCCCGCTGGATGATAGGTCCCGTGTCGACGTTTGTGACGGCGTTGCTGATTAGGTAGCGGACGTTTCCGACGTTGCCTTTGGTGTGGAGGGTCCATTGGCCCCATAGGATGTCGGAAGAGCGCTTGAGATCCGGGATATTGGTGATTGGGGGTTGGGCTTTTGCGGCCATCTGCTGGGGACTGTACCGGCGGAGAAAGATGAGTACTGAAGGGATGCTTGATTAGTGCGGAGTTTTGAAGAGCTTGGTTAAATTCAAAGAAACAATCATGCTGATAGTGCACAATCTACATGGCAGTGTAGTTTTGCAGCTTTTTGATACTTTACCTCCATCTTGGGCGTTGAGGGCCATGTTGAGTTCGCCTCTCGTGGCCTTGTATTGCAATGTCAATTATGTACTAGGATGTTCAAGTTTACTATGGTCTCACCTTGTACTCTTTACCATCTACAGTCCTGTCGAACGTGTGCTGCACAAGGTAACACGCGATTGGGCCACCCTCGTCCTGGCTAACACTAGAGACATGGAGTGCATCTAGCGCACGCTTGATGCCTAAGAACTCCATGTCGCACTCGAAAGGATCCTCCAATTCGCCGTGGGAATATCCCCATTTGTCGAACTCGTCTTACCAACATCAGCACAGATCATCGAATGCCTCTATCCCCTTCCACCACTCTTCGGCAGATAGGTCTACGTACATGGAAAATTGACGAACTTGCTCGCGGCAGAGTCAGCCGGAGGCACGAGTAACTTGCCGGCTTCGCTATCACTGCTTTGCATCATGGCGAGTAGCTGGCTGCCCCGGCATATCGCTTTCTCCCAAACCGCATCCGAGGCTGGGCGGTCGAAGGAGACTCTCGCGACGGGGGACTCGACTTGTCTGGCTTGAACTGGTCGTGCGACGGAGGTAAGGGTCAGGCCCCACGATATGAGAGTCGCCATTGAAACGAGCATTTTGTGTTGCCGGTATATCGGTTGTGTTTGGAGACGAAAAAAGAAAAGAGTTTGGGCTTTTGTAGTTTGTCCATTCTGAATGTATGGACTTTGACGGTGAAATGAAGTGAAGAGTGCACGGTGATCTCTCAGATTCACTGAATGACGCCTTTTTGCGATGAACCAGATGGGATGAAAACGATAAGGTACGGGTCTTTGCCTGGATGGTTAGCAGATGGTGAATACGGTTCATCTTACTTCGCCAGGTGCGTTAGGAGTTGGAAACTTGAAGTCTGTTATGACTGATAATTTTTTCTACATACATTGGTTCTATCAACAAGGGATCTGAGCTAATATGAATGATTGAGTACACGATAACGCCATACAATTCGTCCTTTTGTTAGCTTTCCAGGCTGTCATCCTTGGATGACTCTATCTACCAAAAGGCAAAACAAACTTAACAACATCGATCGAGTCTGTATCCATGTCCTGACACGGTGTCACGCCATTCTTCCCCTATCGAAGGTTCTCCGAGTGCACCTCCCATTGCACATCACGACGTATGATCATTTCCTGGCTGCCATGGCTCGCTCGATCCGCCTCTCTCTTCTGGCCCGAAATCGGGTGTGTGATTGCTGTTACATGGTCAGGCGAGTCTGCTCGCAGACGGACATGGCCTTCTTTCTTGAATGGCTTCGTACTGATCTTAACGTCTCCCTTATCCTCGTTGCGACTGCGCGTTGCGCTTCCTTGCCCGGTACCGAACGACTGCATTTTGTATGATTCGCCATGTGCGTATCCATTCGAACCGTATGGCTGCGATGAGTAGTTCGTGACCATGCCTCCACTTCCTGTGTCAAAGCTGCGTATGAAGGACTTCAGACATGGGATTGTACCGGCGATGAGGGAGTAGCATAGTTGAGATTGCTGATAGACGATTGCGGAGCTGCGGTCGACGCCTGGGTTTGGACTTTGCAGTGAATGCTGAAATCGCAGGAGAGCAAGTATGGCGAGGGGGATGACGGGTAGGCGAATACCGAAGACGAAAACGACCTGGACCTTGAGCTGGACGGACATGTGGAGCTGCCAGACGAGGTATGCGACTAGGGCAACCAGAACAACGTCGAATAGTGCGTCGGTCGCAACAACTACTTGGTACCGTGGAATGATGCCAGTGCATGTGTGGTCTCCTACGTGTGGTAGTATTTCCTTTGGCGAACACCCTGCAGATACCATGATAACTGCGAGTAAAGTCCACGCGGCTAAGGCTGCTGCAACGACGTTGCATGTCGCCCAGAATCTCTTTGCATCGCGAGCTGAGAGGCGCTGAACAAGCAGTAAAGTCGCGAGCTTCGAGGCCCCCAGTGACAGGTAGAAGATGATTTGGTTGCTGTACAATGTCTAATCCATTGGCATAAATTGATTAGAACTCACTCGATCAGATGGTAGATCTGCGAACACTCACCGTCGCGGTATGCAAGTAATCGCTGGTGCTGATGAGATCAAAGCTCTTCCCCAGACCCGCAGACAAAGAAACAATTAGTAGAACGAATTGTACTAGATTGAATGCCTTTGTTCCTGTTAGCATCATCCTTTGTCTCGAACGGCTGTGCGTTCATTGTGATCGGCACACGCTGGAACCAGGAGAGGCCTACCTGTGCAATTGTCATGGCCCAGTCGTCAATCCCAAACATATGAAATTTTATGTAGCATCGTGTAAGAAATGTGATGGAAGTGTATATGAATGTCAGGATGGCAGTGATGTAGATCAACCCGCTGTGGTCATATGGTGTAATTGGAGCAAATCGATTGCTACTGAGAACTTGTTCGGCCATGACGATCTGCGGTGTCTCGTCGTCAACGACGTCTGGAGAGCCATTTGCGAGGTTAACTAGTTAAAAGGTTGTGGGTTTCACAGATCAGGCGCTGCCGAATCTCACCCCCCTAAAGGATCCCGCCTGCCTGGGTAGGATGCTTGTTCGAAAAGCGTCTAGCCAAAGGTACAGCCCGAGCGGAATATTGTCATGGTTCTTGAAAAGCAATGCTTGTTGAAGGATCTCGTTCGCGCTTGTCCGACCCATGTCCTTGAACACTCTCGCTATCCACCAAACGATTGTAAAGCCGAAATCTCTAGCTCTCATCCCGAGGCGCTGTGGCTTGGCCATTGTGTCACACAAACCGCAATGCACGAAAGTCGATCCCATCAGCAATTATGTTCACGAGCTACTAGAATGGCTGATCGCCCCCACAGAAGAAATGAAAAAGAAAGGAAACAGAAAAGAGAGATTGGCACAGTGCAGTGATTGGCAAAGGACGGGTACACTACGTTAGAATGGGGTACTTCAAACCGTAAGCTCGCGGGCCGTAGAGGTGGTCTTGCGCCGGCTGGGGTATTCTATTGGCGAGCTGCCCACGGTGGCTTAAGACAGCAGTTAGAGAGCTGCCTGGCTCATATGTGGCTGCAGGAGCTGCACCCAAATGCAACCGAAGGAGTCGGAGCACGAACCGGGATAACTTAAGGCATGGTGTGATGATTATGGGATAGGTCTAGGTTGGATATGTTACTCCTTATAAGGGTTCTGGAATGATAGGTAACGCCCTGTCTGTATGCATGCAGTACTCGGTCCGTATATGATTGTCACCATTAGAGCTACGATATTAAGAATCAAGGCCCGATTCAGAGAAGTTTATTATCTAGGTACGCAAGTAGGTAGGTACTTAATGTAAGTACACAGGCCTGTACAGGATCCAACAAGGAGACGATCCATGTATTGCCAGTATTGGAGGATCGACCGTTCGTATCAAGCATTCAAGGACTGGATCAACCTTTTCTTGCTAAGCTTTCGCCCTCCTTTTAGCGATAGAGACTTAGCTAAGATGGTACTCGTACATAGCTACAACAAAAACACAACACGATACGATGAACCAACCTCTCAGGCCTTCTCGCCTCCTTCTTCTGACCCGACAGTCTGGGTCAGTTGATTCGCGCTATATCTATATTTGGTTTAGTGCATTACTCTGCTGTAACTTCATCCCAGCCCAACCACCCTCAAGCAACAACAAATCTCCTCCCATCCCATCCCCATTCCGTCTCATCCAACGCCATTTAATTTATTCCCTCGTCTCTCCATAACAATCATGATTTGTCTACCCTGTCTGCCCACGCTTCGGATCGTGGTGGCATGCGTAAACGACAATTAACACCCGTTTACGCGCGAGAACTGCCGACTGGGAATGATAGCATACCAGAACGTGCCAGTGCCTTGTTGGACCCATTCAAGATCGTTACAACGTGGCTCTACTCCGTACCGGTACAAGTACATCGATCGCTTCAAACACAAACAGATCGACAGTATTGCAATGTCCAACAGCACCAGTGAATCGCTATGCCCCAGCAGGCAGGCCAAACATGTGGGCTACGGAGCTGCTCCTAACTAGCGATAATCAACCGGTCTACCCGCTCCGCTCCCGTCGACGCTTCGGCTGCGCTTCGACCCATCGTGTCATCCACCCGCTTCCCCGTCCGTCTGTGAACCTTGTATCCAATCATAGATAATATCGAAACATGTACTGTGATGCCTCCCACACTAGACATGGGCATTTCACCTTCGCATATACGACCCGTATCGCAAAGGGTCAACCCCCCGCGAGAAGCGCGCCTCAATAGCCTGGGCTTCTCAACATGTCTCAATACGTATCATTCAGTGGTGTCGCTTCTCTCCGTGACATGCCATTGGAGTGGAACGTTGCTTCTTGCATACTGCTGTGTCACTCAAGCTTCACCCCGCCTTCATGGGCAAGATCGGTCAAAAACCTTCCCAAGCCTTGTAGAAATTACTTTTGCTCGGATTTCGTATTGCCTCTCGAGATGTGTAACCGATTTAAGCTGAAAGATGCTTCGTAGTACTAGAACTTGCCGTGTCGTTTATCCCAGAAAAAAAGAACTACTTCTATGTCCCGCCGCAGCTTGCTTTGTGCTCGTGGTCAACACTCCCAATTACAGCCGGTTAATTCTATTTTCACGTAGCCATGGATGAGCAGCAGAAAACCGAGACCTTCGTCCATCAGCGCGACAGCGCCAGTGCCGAATCGCAAAATGACCTCGAGGTATCTGAGAAAAAAGGGACGCCAGATGATCGAAAGGACATGCACCGCATGGGCAAGACCCAGGAACTTCGAAGAAACTTCCGTTTTGTTTCCATCTTTGGGTACTCAATGATTCTGATGGCCACTTGGGAAACCGGTTTAACGTGAGTACAATGATTGTCTTCAAAAATCAATAAATGACGCCCAAATCAGGACACTTATCATCCCACTGACCAACGGTGGTACCGGAGGCGCCATAGTATTGTTTCTTGCCACTGCAATCGGAATGGGTTTCGTGATCGTCTCCATGGCCGAAATGGCATCAATGGCACCTACCTCAGGAGGTCAATATCACTGGGTATCAGAATTCGCTCCCAGAAAACACCAAAAGTTTTTGAGCTACGTAGTCGGTATAGTATCCCTGCAGAACGCACGATCAAGAGCTGACATTGTCAGGATGGCTTTGTGTTCTCGGTTGGCAAACCGGCATTGCCTCCATTGGTTATCTCGCTGGTACACAAATACAAGGCTTGATAGTCCTGAATAACGATTCGTATGTGCCGGAGAGATGGCATGGAACCCTTCTCGTCATTGCTGTAGCAACCTTTTCCATCGTCTTCAATACTCTCCTGGCAAGGAAATTGCCCATGATCGAAGGTACCGTCTTGGTCCTACATATCTTCGGTTTCTTCGCCATATTCATCACAATGTGGGTTCTTGCACCTCGAAGCTCTGCTAAAGAAGTCTTCGGTGGGTTTCAGGACAATGCGGGATGGGGAAACGTTGGGCTTTCATGTCTTGTAGGCCAGCTCGCACCTATCTTCTCACTGCTAGGTTCAGATGCTGCAACGCACATGTCTGAAGAGCTCCGCGATGCCGCCTATACGCTTCCTCGTGCCATGATCTGGACTGCAATCACCAACAGTGTACTCGGGTTCCTCATGCTCGTAACCTTCTGCTTCTGCCTAGGCGACGTACAGAGCGCGATTGAGTCACCTACCGGATACCCGCACATTCAAATCATGTACAACGCCACCGGGAACCGCGCTGGAGCCACCGCCCTCGCATCCCTCACGACCATCATGGCCGTCTTCGGCTGCGTAAACAACGTCGCCACCTCCTCCCGACAACTCTTCGCCTTCGCCCGTGACAACGGAATCCCCTTCGGCGCGTTCCTGTCCCGCGTCCAACCCGGCTGGGACATCCCCCTGAACTCGGTGCTCGTCTCCTTCGCCATCGCCATCCTCCTCTCCCTCATCAACATCGGAAGCACCGTCGCCTTCAACTCCATCGCCTCCCTCGGCACCTGCGCCCTTCTCTCCTCCTACATCATCTCCATCTCCTGCATCTTCCTCAAGCGCTGGCGCGCAGAACCCCTCCTCCCATCCCGCTTCTCCCTCGGCGCCGCGGGCATCTGGATCAACGGCGCCGCCATCGTGTACCTTGCCCTCGCGTTCGTCTTCGCTTTCTTCCCGACGTTCCCCCATCCGACGCCCGACCTCATGAACTGGAATATCCTGATCTACGGCGTCGTTGTCGTGTTTTCGCTAGTGTATTTTGCAGTTAAGGGGAGGCGGGTGTATGTTGGTCCTGTGGAGTATACTAGGAGGATGGAGTGAACAAGGCCACCGTCACTCCCTCCTTCAAACTCTTCATACTTTAGCGTCCTTTCTTGGCGGTTAATAGGAGGGTTTACTGTCTTTTTTTGGGTGGGTGGGAGATGTTGATTATATTTAGATACCAATATAGTTAGCATGCATATGACATGGGCGGGAGCGTGTCATTTCTTGAATTAAACATTATGCCTATGTCTACCAGGTCCCACTAGATGACAGTAAGTGAAGCCTCCTTATCCCCTTAGTTGTACTAAACATTGATGTTAAATAAAATCGAGGGGAAGTGGATCTGTAAAGATGCAGCTGAGTGTAGGAGAGAGACTGTGTTTTTGTTGTGTTTTTATTTGATTTTTCTTCCCCTTGGGTGATATATTCTACTTTGATTTTCGGGTTGTTGGGACTGAAGAGTAATTCGTACGTAAAGTATAAGAAAACGGACAATGGTTCTACCTTGATGGACCTGTACGTCTTGACGCGAACAGCATATCACGGTGGTAACACCACAAGAGCACAAATCCGAAGACAAAAGCGCGTATGGGAAAAAGGGTATCATTTTATATTCCGCCGACAGTATCGGTGCATCAATCTCTAACCAAAGTGTGAATAGCATAGCCGTCTCGCATCATCATCAACTAAAGTGATCCCCATGGTCGTCCTCTCCAACCCTCCTACCACCCGCCCTCCCCTGCCTCAACTTCCACCTGCGTCTCCTCTCCAGCGCCTCCGCCTCCCTTTCCTCCCTCATCCTCTTCTTCCTCTCGTAGACGGCGCGGACCGTGCGTTTCGTGCGCTCGGCGCCCTCTTGGAAGTTCGTGCGCGCGAGCTCGACGACGCTGTCGATCTGCTCGGGCGTGTAGACGAAGTTCCACGTGCTCATGAAGTCGGACGTCTTCGGGTCGACGCCCTTGACTTTCGGGTTCGCGAGGAAGGGGAAGTAGATTACGGTTATGCCGTCCGCGGACCCGATGGTCTCCCAGTTGTCTTCGGAGGAGAGGTTGGGGGACGGTGGGGATGTGGGCTCCGAGGTGCGTTCTTCGGTCGTGCCGGCCCAGATGTTGCAGTAGCCGAGGTCTTTGGCTTTGGATTTGGGGCTCTTGGATGTGGGGGATGATGGGTCCTGGGAAGAGTTGTCTTGAGCTTGGGCTTCTTGGATCTTTTCGCGGGCTTCGGCGGGAGATTGGGCTTGCGCTGCGGAGAGGTCGTCGCGGAGCTCTTCAATGGTTTCGTCGTCGGATGGCCAGCCGGCTCCGACGGGCCAACCTTTGATGTCTCGCTGGCGGGCGTATCCCTCTGCTACTTTGAGCCAATTGTCCGTCTTCACATCTGCACTTGCGTCGAAGGCGATGAGGATGTCAACATTGCGGCCGGGGCGGAGAAGTGGGTAGATTGGGAGGTTGTTGCTCATTCCAGCATCCATGAGCTCGAGGTTTGGAGCGTCGAATACGGATTCGGGGCAGGTTGCTGGGAGGTAGTTGCGCATACCGTACGCGAAGTTGGGCATTGCGGCCGGGTTGATGGGATGCACTTTGCTGAGGTCGTCGTTGCGTTCGGATATCATGTCGTCCAGACCTCCAAAGCCTGTAAGGCCTTTCACAGCGGGGCGAATCTCGCGGTAGTAATGAGATAAGGTGGCGCAAAATGCGCTTCCCCAGATACCCATGAGCATGGGGACACGGAGCTCTGGGAGGGAAAGACCATTCTCTCGCCAGACGGTTCGGCCGTTCTCAAATTTGCGGCCAAGTGCCCACGTTGGTATACCGGCTTCCCATTCCTCACACCAGAATTCGTAAGGAGTGAATCTGTATCAGTCAGTTAAGCTCCAAATTGCGGGTCTTCAAACGTACTCGAACCATTGAAACCATGCTTCTTTTCGTGCTTTTGCTTCTGCTGCCACGGGGTCCTTGATATCTGACTGCTCGGTGAGGGGAATCTCGTGGCGTACGGCGGTATAGATTGGGAGAGGTTGGGACCCAGTGTCAGTATGGATTCGTTGATTCGAGATCTTGAAATCTCTCTCGTCTACCGATAGCTCGCCTCTGGGAACCAACAGACGCGCCGCTAGTAGAAGGCCGTAAATGTCGACGATACCAAACTCTGCATCTGGGGTTCCCTTTGCTTTTTCTACAAGCCCACTCAGGAGGTGCTTGTTGGTTGGGGCACTGGCAATGAGCTCGAGGGCGTCAGGAGGAAATGCAATGTGGACGCCGAGTCGGTTTTTAAGATGTCGAATAAGTTTGGCATGACTTCGTTGAGTAATCTCCGAGTAATACAGGGTCTGAAGCCAACAACTACCACTGACTCCCGCAGTGTACGTAACACAGTCGAACAATCCAGCTTCGTGGGTAGAAAGATAGGATGACGTGCCTGCAACAAGAGCACGCAAGCCCCCACCGGATCCACACATAGCAATGACTGGGACGTCGTCCGGATGAATCTTGCTTTCGGGAATATCCAGATATCTGGCCAGACCTCTTCGAGTAAACACGGATCTCTTTTCTAGGAATTTCTTCTCGTCTGGGCACAAGTCATTCGAAACTCGAACTGATGCATCCCATAGTATTTCTTCATTAATCTCTGGGTTGTTTGCATCATGCCATATCTCCTCCGCCAATGATCCTGGCGACATAGAGAGTTCGTTCTGGATCTTCGTGATATAAGCCGGCAACAGCTTCGCCCAATTTGGTAGGACGTAATCTGCAATTGTATCTCCGAGGGTAGAGAATGATATTGAAGCGTTCGACAGCTTAGTTGTGAACCCTAACCATGGCCCGGCATCCTCCGAGGCATCCTCAATCTTCCTGCTGTCGCCATCCCTTTTGTCCGTAACAATACGAGATTGTGGAGGTGGTTTCTGATTTCCGCTACCGGTAGAGTCATTCACGGTCTCCTCTGCCTCTTTTGCGGTTGTTGTCTCATTTTCTTTATCATTACTCTGCAAGAAGCTCGGGGCAAGGCGTTTCCATGCAGAGCTCTTGGGCGCATCGTTATGGACCGGGCGACAGAAAGTGCTAGAGAGAGTAGGCGACGACAGTACGCTGACGGTAGCTACTGCGAGGAAGAGGGGAGTACCAAAGCGTCGAGCAACAGTGGCAGCATTGGACCTATGTAGTATCCCGCTTCGAGTGTAAAGGCTGTCGATCATGAGCGTGTGTGCATTTTGAGGGGCGTTTTGGAGCTATGAACCCACCTTCGACGCGGTCCTGGCAGCCATTGCTGCCGAATTTGCGACAAATTCCTCAATGGAGCCATGTAGGATTCAGAGGTTTCAAATTAGAGACAAAGAAAGTCGCGCGTGTGTCTGGCAAATACAATTCCATGCCTAGGCTGGCGTTACTGGAATGTGTTCAGCATGACGGATGGGTGATAAAAGTGATCAAGATCTGGGATGGCCGGGGGAAGGGGGGCCATCGGAAGAAAAACGCCCGCGTCATAGTTGCACGGCGGAATTTCAAGGAAGGATAGTGGACATGTGCCAAGCTTGGTGGGAGAAAACCGCGTCTATTTCGATGAAGATGAGGGTGAAGAAAGGGAATATAATGTCTTTGGATATGAAGTGAAGTGAAGTGAAGAATGGCAAGTCCAATAATAAATGTTGATGGATCTTAACTGGGTAGTGGTATTGCTTGTCGCGGCTTTCACCAATGCTTGAACTGTTGATCGCCGCCGTTCCATCCGCGTTAGTGTCAACAACAAACATCTCCGGGCTACTCGTACACGTCTTGATCAATTGATTATCAGATGCTCTATAAGCCTTCTTATGAGTGAAATTTCCCAATTGAAACCGGTATGCACTCTTTTACTGATACGATTATTTACTTGTCCCACCATGCTGACTTGGGTGAATTCCTTAGGTACCTAGACCTATAGTCTCTATAGGTAGGGAGGAAAGACCTGGTCGAAACCCTTCACGCTTGTTTTGAAATATTCATGAAACACATTAAGCATCTTATAGTCACTACTGTATAAAATATATAAAAGATTATTTGCAATGCTTGCAGGTATAACTATCTAATTCCTGTGTAGGTAGCGACGAGGTGTCTATAACCATCAAAAGAGGGAACGGATCAATCATGTTCCGTGCCAGGTACCAATTCATGACCATGAGAACATCAACTCGTTGAATGCCACGAGTGGGCGGCATGTTGTCTTTGATAGAAATACTTACTCGCCAGTCTCTTCTCGTGCTCCTTTCCCTTCAGACCCAAAACAGTGACAGGGCTTGTCTGACGTGGAGAAACAGTCTGGCACATTTGACAGGCCTCTTCCCCATTTAGCGTGGCCCCTGTTCCGTCGTCATTCGCTGTGTAACTCCAAATCGCCGAACCCAACTCCGCAAACATCCCTCCCCCACACAATCCAGCCCTCCTTCATTACCTTTGTACCTAACCTATAACTAACCTATTCTATCCTTCTTAAAGCATGTTTCGCGCGCATTCTAATAGACGTTAATACTTCATCTTTACCTACTCGCAAAACTCCCGGCGCGATTGCCATTCATCGAGTCGAAATCCCTCCCTAGATTCCTTCCGCATCCATAGCCACGTGCAGGAGCTCCTCAGAGCTCCACCGGTCGGCGCCGACAAGATGGTCGTACCGAGAAAGGGAGGAGCTTATGCAGAGGAGTCGGCGGAGGTCGAGGTCCTCTTCGCCAACATGGAGAAAATGAAAGGCTTGACCAAGAAGATACAAGGCTCCCTGAATCGATTGGAGACGAGCGGCAAGACGGTTCAGGATTCCATTGGACCCATATATGGCAATACCCAAAGGCTCCAGGTCACGAATACAAGTAGGATCGCGGCTCTTGTGATACATGGGACGAGAAAGCTGACCACCGCTGCTAGACATTGACCGTGTCATCGATGCGATCGACAAGCTCCGGGCTCCTGTGGACCAGACGAACCGGGAGGAACGGATCATACGTGCTGGGTCCGTCTTACTTTCTTTCTTCTAATATGCAACAACTACTGACAGGATGCCAGCCCACGCAAGGCAGATCTTCGCGACTACTTTGCCTCCCTCGACCGTACCACGCTTGCGCTCTCCGACCTTAAACGCTCGAATCTACGCTCGAACCAGCAGGCTGTTACCGAGCTTAGCGGTCTACTGAAGCTTGGGACGAAGCAATTGGAAGATGTTTTCAGGGATATATTGAGGGATAGCTCCGCTCGCACGGTGGAGCCTCTCGAATACGTTGCTAAGAGTGCGTGCATGAATACGTTCCAACATGTTGCTTGCTAATATTTCTAAAGACAACCCATTCCCTGTCATCGCCGAGAAAGATATTTCCACCCTTCGCTCTATCAACTCGCATATTTCCAATTCGTTCAAGCAGCTAGCTCAGCAAGGCAACCCCGAGACACCAACGCAGAGGATCTATGCAGATATCAGGGGCGATTACATTATGAGCTCCCTGCGGACGCTCGCAGCTGCCTCAATCAACACTGCACGCAAGGTCACGGCAGATGCCATATACAAGCCTGGAACGAATGGTATTTCCATGTACGCACAAGGAATGGAAGGGTTGTTCCTGGCGGAGTACGAGAACGTGTGCCCGATCTTTGCGCGCGAAGAATGGGGAACTGTTTACACAGCCACCTGCATGTCGTCGCTGGGTGAGTTCTCCAAGACTCTACGCGAATTGAATGGACACATTCAGAAGAACATGATGACGGATTGCTTCCTTGGATACGAGATCGTGGACATCGTCGCCCGACTGTCCATTCAACTGGAGACGAAGACTGGAGAGCTGAAACGCCCAATCTACGACACCATGAAGCCAATCCGTGAAACGTCGAAGTTATCTCTAGGCAAGCTACTAGACGATACAAGAGCCAGGGCGCAGGCGCTCGTCGCCCTGCCGGGTGATGGAGCAGCTGTTCCGCTGACGACCGAGACCATGGTTCGATTACAGACCATGACAAACTACCTCTCGCCCCTGTCATCGATCATGACGTCTCTGGGCGACGGTGGCTGGAAAACGACCAACCCAGCTGCATCATCGAACAGCTCTCTGCCAACCATGAAAGCATTCGACGTGGGCGCCGATGGAAAGCAGCTGTTTGCACATTACGCTTCCGACACGATTGATATGCTGTTACAAAACTTTGAGGCCAAATCGCGATTGCTGCTGAAGTCCAAGAGTTTGCAAGGTGTTTTCCTCACAAACAATGTGGCGATTGTCGACAGAATGATCAGATCATCCGAGCTACAACCGCTCATGGCCAGCTACGCAGGCAAACTCGAAGCCTGGCGGAAGAAGGGCACTGCGATGTACCTGGATGCCTGGCGCGAGCCCTCCGCATATCTGCTCGATGTTCAGTACACTAACCGTAATGCACGACCTCAATCCAGTAGTGCAAACGCAACCGATTCCGTCGCCATCGTCAAGGGACTAAGCTCCAAAGACAAAGATGCCATCAAGGAGAAGTTCAAGAACTTCAACACAAGTTTCGAAGAGCTCCTCTCCAAGCATAAGAGTTATAAACTCGAACGTGAAGTGCGCACACAGTTGGGACGGGAAGTTCAGACCATCATTGAGCCTTTATATGGCCGATTCTGGGACCGTTACCATGAGATTGACAAGGGCAAGGGCAAGTATGTCAAGTTTGACAAGGGCCAATTGACAGCCGCGTTGACCAGTCTGTCATGAGATTTGGTGCGTGTGGTGCGGGCGTTTTTGGAGTCTTCCATCTTCTTATTCTTGCAAAATACCCTTTGGTTTCACGATTTAGGCTGGATGATAGGAAGCGGTGGAACAATGCCGTGGACGTTCAGTGGATGCTGTGTCATTGTGATTGGATGTGCCAGGATTGCTGGTCGGAACTTGTTGGCATCGGGTGGATTCTGTGGTGCCACGCAACGTTACAAGAATTGATCGTTCGAATATATAATAATAAATACCTCGCTCACGCCTTCATCATTAAAAACTTGAGGTTTTGGATTGAATTGAAGGTGACGTTCAACAATGAACCTCCTCCTATTGTGAGCACCGTACATAACTATATAGCTAGTTCGGAGCTTAAAGCTCAAGCTTCTATGGGGTTCGGGGAAATTACACTGAATGACAGCCCAAGCATATTGCACGTGACAGCTTCCCCTTTGGGCGAGGACGTCTCCTCTCCCTCCTCTTCCCCCCGACTGGTACGCGACTGCGACTACTGGGATTCACGAAAAGCGAAGGCACAACAGTCGCTTCAATTTGATTTCATTCAATCGATGCAACACCGTTACAGCTTCAATTGTTAAATGACAGATAATTCTCAAAATCCCATCTCTCCGTGCATTCTCCGTCCACCATTAAATATTCCATTGTTGTTGTGAACTTTTTTGGCGGGGATTTTCTGTCCGAGCGCCCACGTCGTCTGCTCTGCTTGTCTGCTTCTATCAACGTTGCTCGCATCCCTGCGCGGCGGACCCCTTTCTCCCATCGACTTTCGAGGCGCACCAACACCTTCCTTTCCACCACCCGTCGCAACCTCCACCCTTCCTACAATCAACATCATAACAATTCTCGTCGCTCTCTCGTCGACCTCCAGTCCATCGCTCTGAGTTGTTTCTTCACTCTCAGAAGCTTCGCAACCCTTCCGACCGGTACGCTGTCCTCTTTCCGTCTCCACCTCACCACCCCCGTTCCAACACAATTTCTCTGAGATTTTGATCCGCGTCGCATCTCTATACACTGTGGCATCACAGAGTGATTGCTCTCATCATTCTTGCTGAATTTCGACTGACTTGTGTTCGTTGCCATAGGAGTCCCTCACTTGAACGCCCTGAATCTGTGTCTGTCTCTTGCAATACACGATGGGTAAGACACCCCCGAGCTCGTTTATATTTCTTTCGGCCATCAACAGCAGCCTGCACGATTCTCGAACGTGCAAAACAATCTCTGCTGGAACATCTAGAGACGTGAAGTGCTCAGCATCAGAGCAGCCTGCTGTTGTGGACACGATGGAGATGTTACCTATTGGCAATCTCCCCGTCTTAGTACAGACTGACCGTGTATCACAGCATCTTCCCCTAACGGCACATCCGACGCCCTCCCGGCGTCACCTTCCCCCCCAGCCTCCAGTGGCTCGCCTTTTGTCGAGCGAAGCAACCACATGGGCAATGGCGAGAACTCGGTTCCCCAGACCATCTCCTCCTCCAACCCCAAGGCCGCAGCCCAGGCTGCCAGTGACATGAGGAACATTGTCCGCCGAAAGCTCACAGGATACGTTGGCTTTGCGAACCTGCCAAACCAATGGCACCGCAAGAGTGTTCGCAAGGGATTCAACTTCAACGTCATGGTTGTTGGTACGTCTCGCTTGTGATGGATGAGGTGATGCATCACTGCAGGGGCTAACGGACACGACAGGTGAATCTGGCCTTGGAAAATCCACTCTCGTGAACACCCTTTTCAACACCTCATTGTACCCTCCCAAGGAGCGCAAGCCCCCGAGCCTTGACATCTCCAAGACGGTCTCGATACAGTCCATCAGCGCCGACATCGAGGAGAACGGTGTCCGCCTCCGCTTGACGGTGGTTGACACCCCCGGATTTGGAGACTTCATTAACAATGACGAATCGTGGGAGCCCATCGTTAAGAACATTGAGCAGCGATTCGATGCCTATCTCGACGCCGAGAACAAGGTCAACCGCATGAACATTGTTGACAACCGCATCCACGCCGTTGTTTACTTCATCCAGCCCACTGGCCACTCCCTCAAGCCTTTGGATGTCGAGGTGATGCGTAAGCTGCACACCAAGGTCAACTTGATCCCCGTCATTGCCAAGGCCGATACCCTCACTGATGAGGAGATCAACGTTTTCAAGCAGAGGGTGAGTCGAACTAATACCATCTCAATCTATAGTCACTGACTGTATCAGATTCTTGCCGACATCAACCACCACAGGATCCAGATCTTCGAGGGTCCCCGCTACGAGCTTGACGACGAGGAGACGATCGCCGAGAACAACGAGATCATGTCCAAGGTTCCCTTTGCCGTCGTCGGTGCCAACACCGAGGTCGCCACTGCCGATGGACGCAAGGTCCGTGGCCGTGCCTACCCCTGGGGTGTGATTGAGGTCGACAACGAGGAGCACTGCGACTTCGTCAAGCTGCGCCAGATGCTCATCCGCACCCACATGGAGGAGCTCAAGGAGAACACCAACAACTTCCTGTACGAGAACTACCGTTCCGACAAGCTCACTGCCATGGGTGTCCAGCAGGATTCCAGCGTCTTCAAGGAGGTCAACCCGGCCGTCAAGCAGGAGGAGGAGCGCTCGCTGCACGAGGCCAAGCTGCAGAAGATGGAGCTCGAGATGAAGATGGTGTTCCAGCAGAAGGTGCAAGAAAAGGAGAGCAAGCTCCGACAGAGCGAGGAAGAGCTGTACGCACGTCACAGAGAGATGAAGGAGCAGTTGGAGAGGCAACGACAGGAGCTCGAGGAGAAGAAGACGAGAGTCGAGCAAGGCCGACCGCTCGAGGAGAAGGGCAAGAGGAAGGGTTTCTCTCTCCGCTAAGCCAGTGCGCCATGATGACAGTTTCATGGTGTTTACGGGCCTCGTTCGGACGACTACTTCTCACACCCACACACCCCCACACACACAAGACAACAAAAGCCGCTTCTCTTTTCTTCTTCTTGCCTCTACCCCTTTCACCCCTTTAAAAGAACTGATTTAATATGACGCCGCTGGACGACATCACTGGGTGATGGCCGGGCAGCATGAATAATAATCGTATACAACATGGACAGCGACAGCTACCGGCCGAAGCTGAGGCTGAAGCTGGAGAAGAAGCAAAAACAAGGGGCAAAAGACGGAAGGGGACTTGGGCGGGGTCCGGATGTGTGTGCGTGGTTGAGGGGAGGGGAGCGGTGTAATTCTCCTTTGGTTTAGCTTGCCCCGGTTGTTGATTGATACCAGCAGCATTGCGCTCCTTCTCATTCCCTTATTTTGTCATTGTCATTGAGATTTCCTCTTTTCCTTTTCTCCTGTTTCCCCCCTTCTTTACCCCCGGATTCGACGACACCCCTGGAGTTCTCTCTTTCTCTCTCTTGCTCTCATATTATATTATTTAGTGGGGAGGATGGTGGGAGGGAGAGTGGAGAGTGGAGAGGAGAGAGGGAGAGGGAGCTTCTTTTCATGTATTCTACAGATCATCCTAAATAGTAGTGAATTTGGTTTCATTTGTAGGATTGCTGTGCAATATCGTTTGAATGTGATGTGATGTCTATAATATGTATGTATTTTCATATATATTCAAACGCGTGTATCCATTTCCATGTGAGCATACACCTTATCTGTATGTACAAGTCTGCGTCACCTCATACGAACATGCAAGGTCATTAATGTAGTCATTGTTATCATTCAGCAGTATCCAGTCTTTCCTACCGTTTTCGATGTATCTACACACAAGTGTACTCTTATGTATCCTTACGTCACAGGGCCATTTCTTTTTCTATATCTATATCCAAGAGTGCTCGCGCGTAGTGGGGAGGGGCTAGATATATGAACTAGTAGGACGTAGTACATTGCCTAGTACATAGCTACTGCTGTAGAAATCGGAGGGGGAGTATGTTTTGCATAGAAGTGCGAATCACGATACATGCTGAATGTGGAGAGTGGGCTTGAAGAGAGAACAGGAAGAAGGGATACTTGTATGGGAAGTGTAGGTGGATGTCTGTGTGAATGGGTGTGAAAGTGGCTATAGTGTGGTGTAGCGTGAACTGTAGTGTGGCAGAGCAGAGCAGAGCGGAAGGAACGTGCGTGGGTGGGTGTTTCGTCATGACGCAAATTGGGCCCGGTTTCCTTGCGCTTCCATCATTCATCATCTCCCACTTTCACTGTTATCTACCTCTCTACTTCTACTTCCTACTTTCTCTCTTCCTTCCAACTTCCTCAATTCCTCCTCAACAGCTTCACCAAGAGCAACAGCAGCAACACCACCATCACCTCACCCGTGTTGTCCTGTCCTGTCCTGTCCTGATCTGCCGTATACCGTGACAAACATCCGAAATCAGCTTCCTGTAAGTGGATCCATCACCCCCGCCTGATGCCCTCCTTTGGCTCTGGCGTCACTTTCGAGTAACTACATGACCAACCTGCTTCCGACTTCATATTATTGCCTGTAACTCGACTGGCTGGCTGCGTCTGTTTTACCGTCGGGTGTCTCTGTTGCAATCTCTGTCTCTGCAAAGCTTTCCGTTTTCAATTCTCGATTTCCTTTTGGAAATCCTCATACGTCCACGTCTGCGTCGTCTCATTGCGGGAAGAGAAGGACGAGCTCCAGCTTGAGGCTACCGAATCGCCTAGCCACCAGCGCTTCTTCTTCTTCTTCCCTTGCCCTTCCCTGCCATCTTCCATTTTGACAGATCGCAACTCCGCCCTTCCTTCTTTCCTTCCTCCCCTCTTGCTTTCTTCTTACTTCCCCATCTCTCCCTTACACAGGAAACACGGCACGCGCGCAGAGGCAGAGAAGAGCTTCCAACTCATCTCCCGCATTCATTGACCGCCTGTATCGTACACGCTCCAGAGCTCTACTGACCTTGCACCCCTCCCAGTAGCTCATCCCTCAACCCCACACACGACCAGCTTCGGCTTCAAATCACCACCACCAGGCAGCCATCCATCATGGGCCCTCCACCCGCATCCAACCTGCCTGTCGGCCAGCGTCTTGCTCAGCTCGCCCAAACTCTTCAATTCGCCTGGTTCGGAGGTCACGTCTTCCTCCTCCTCGCTACCCTCCGCTACAGCTTGTCCTACATCACATTCAACTCGGCCTCGCGCTGGGCCACCTTCTCTTACCGCCTTGCTTTCCTCTCTGCCACCGTCACCTATGGCATCGTCGTCTACAAGGCGTTCCGCGCCCGCGCGAGAGCTGGAAAGCAGAGCGGTGTCTTCGCTCTGGCGACCGACGAGAACGTTCAATACCTCAGTAAGCAGCCTTCCCTCCCCTCCAAGCTCGCACGGCTGGCACAGCTCGTGCGGCGCTTGCAGCTCGGAGAGCCGCGTCTTGCAACTACATGAAACTCACAATATACTACAGTCATGGCTCTAGTATGGCTCTTCTCCCGCAAGATCCCTCTAGCCGTCCTCCCCTTTGCCGTCTACTCGGTTTTCCACGTTGCAACCTACGTGCGCTCCAACCTCCTCCCCACCCTTCAGGCCCCGCCAGCAGGAGCCGCACCCGGCACCAAGCCCCCGCCCTCGGCAACCGCCGACACCATTGGCAAGTTCGTGAAGGAGTACTATGACGGAAGCATGACCCTCGTTGCCATCCTTGAGATTGCTCTCTGGTTCCGCGTCTTTGGATCCGCCCTCCTCTTCCAGAAGGGCTCCTGGATCCTCCTCGTCATCTACACCGTCTTCTTCCGCGCCCGCTTCGCGCAAAGCGGCTTCGTCCAGGGCGCCATCACCCAGCTTACTGCCCGCGTCGACGCTCAGCTCGCCAACCAGAGCACTCCTCCCGCCGCACGACAGGGCTGGGCGACATTTAAGAACGTCGTCAGGCAGGCTGCGGACATCACCGACATCCGCAAGTATGTCGGTGGACAGCAGGGTCCCGTTCCCAAGAAGGCCCAGTAGAGCATTCTCTCGCATAGCGACGGCTTGATCTGCAAGGCGGCCTTGCTATCTCCAGCACATTGACAAGAAGTGCATGCCTGGAGATGTGTTCTCAGGGCCTTTTCTCTTTTCTTTGGAAACGGCATTGGCACGTGCAAATGGACGATAGATCTCGAGCGTTTAGCAGGGCTTTGTGATTCGGTATTGGGATAATGGATGATCAGGACGATTGAACGGCTTTGTATTGACGATGGCCTTTGCTTTTATCATGCTGCAAATGTGTGTTATGGACGGGGTGAGGGTCGTGCTACGGACATTTCAAGGGTGTCATGGGTTGGGTTTGTGGCTCATGAGTGGGCGACATCGAACCGTCTGCCCATCATATCACGTAGGGCGTGCTCTCCCGGCATGATGTTAACGTTTGAGCAGCGGGAGGGAGCTGAATGGAGTGTGGTGGTCGTGGTCGTGTAGTGGAGCGACAGTGCAGTACATTATTATCGTTTATTTCTTCCGGGGCAACATGCGGCCTTTGGACATGAGCGGAACGACGGATGGATGGCATTGATTTGATAGATGATGAAACGTTTCTTCGGCGGGGGTAGTTCGAAAAACCCAATGTAGAGATGTTGGACGGGGCTGGGTTTGGTCGTCGCAAACTACTGGTGTGCGATTGAAATGTTTAATTTAGACCAGACAGCAGACAGCCAGACAGACAGACAGACAAAGCGCGCGAAAGGAAGGAATTGAGTAGTAGTTTTATGCCCTTTTTGTTAGTTTTTGAACAAAGTCTCTCTGCTCTTTAAGTGCCGCACCCTATGCTTTTTGCCGAGACCCGTAGACGAGAGTGAGAGAGTAACTGACAACCACAGCAACCACAGGGGCCGAGACGGTATGCACATAGATAGATAGGTGGTGTAACTGGGCATTACATCAAGTGTTTATATTTTATTTTATTTTAGATGCGTACCTATGTTATGCTTCGTTTTTCTTCTTTTTTTAGATGCGCAAAGATGGGTTTTAGATTATTTTTGTTTTGTTTTGTAACCTACTCGTTTAATACTAAAGTTGCCCAGGAGGAATTGTCAAAACTCGCATACATCACACTGGTATTCTTCCCATGACATCCCCTTTTCTCTCTTTCTGTTTTGCTCGGGGACAAGTAGTCAGGTCGAGAGCAAGTTCGTGTAGAGAATCTACGAGTTTGATTTTATTCTAATTGTATTTTTATATGTCTTGGTGTGGTATATCTACTTCTCCAAGTTTAAGAGCACACACAGGAGAGAAAGAGCAGAGTGAACTTTTTGATATTCATATTTGTGAGTCTTTTGTGTGTTAAATCTGTTATTGATATGTAACTACCAGTTGATGTCCCGGTCTGTTGCTGTTTATTTTTAATTATGTTTCTTCCACGATTGTTTCCTACGGCCTCGGAGCTGGTACACGAGCTATAAGCATTCATATAGATCCACCCTATGGATGACAATAACATCATCTTTCGAATGAATGTAGAGAAATGTCCCTCTGTCACGCGATACCTCTCCCCAGGCGAAAGATTCGTGACATCGTTTCATACGTGAACTCGTGCCCTCATGCGGCGGATATACTGTGGCGATGAGCATAACTATACGGGAACGTCACAAAGGTAGGCCGAGAGATCGAGAATATCACGAAGGAGGCGGATCTCGCGGTTTTCTCGGATCCCATGTGTCTTTCGTTTAACATAGGCTTTGGATGTGATGCAAATAAACATCTACCTTTCTATAGTTATCGAAGAATTTCGTTTCGCTGGAGGGTCGTGTGATCTTACTTGTTCACGAGAACGATAGCGAGCGGGATTGAAGGCGTCGTGCGAGAACTTATTATATATACGAACCTTTGATGTATCATTTAGAAGAGTAATTGGAATTGAACGATTTGTTTCTCCTCTGTGGGCATCTGTGATGTAATGGCGGGGGTGGTATGGCGTGCGTGGACATCATCTGTAGTCAGAGGCTGATGTTGTATGCAATGGAGGATGGACGTACATATGGGAGAACCAGTCTGGATGTACATACATACACAAATACCATGCACCGTCACCGATATCTCAGCATACTGTATAGTCATTCCCTCCGTCCTCGCCTACACACACCATAATACCACGTTCGCCCAGTCAATCCAAGCATCGGAATAACCCATTCCCTTCCCGTTCGTCTCGTCTCCCCTCCGAGGCGGTGAGCAAGTTGCGCACAAAGAGGCTCGAGGCTTGTCTGTGTTAGCGCAACCTGCGTAGCTCGGTGCGTAGCGTGCGTGCGCGCGAGCTGGCCGTGCGGCTGTATGTGCGGCGGCGGCGGCTGTGCGTGTAACTACGGAGAACGGAGTATAGGTAGGAGAGATAATGAACGTGGTCTGTGGTCTGTGGCTCGCTGGTAACTACTGGTTCGATAGGTGAATTGATATTGGAATGGACTGGATTGGACTGGATTGGATTGGGGTGTTTAGTGTGAGGGTTGTTATGGTTCGTTGGTCGTGGGTCGTGATAGTGTGGAGTCGCTGTGCAAATGTATCTACATTCATACTGTTTGTACAACACATAGACACAGCTGGTGTCTCTACAGAGTACATCCATCAATACCCCATAGCCTCATACAGAACCTACTCTTCCCTCGGGATTCCAGAAAAGAAGAGAAAATGCAGGGAAGAAAAATGGAAGATTCTGCGTGCGCATGTGCAGAAGCATCGGGATTCGGGACGCAGCGGGTGGCGAGCAGCATAACGACAAATACCATCATACTCCACGGAGTATGTCTGAATAACTAAGAACTTACAACACAATTACCAACACGACATCTCGTGCCTGACCTGTAGAGACAACCCTCCGCCTGGACCCTGATGGAATAATTTGGGCATGGGAGGTCTAGGTCTGTAGGGGGAGTATGATAATGTGTCGTTTACAGCACGCATGATTTGTACATGTGTATACCGATATTTCGTACATACACGGGGCTTGTATAGTACAATACACGCATACATAGGTAGATACACATACACGCGACCCTGAACCAGCATCACTCACAAGCGATCCAGATCCAGGTACATACTGATACGCATAGACGCAGCGCAGCACGTCCAGCCAGCCTGTGCACGCCACGACTATGCCTTTCTCACCTCCTAATTCCCGTTCATCTACATACACTTACCTACGTTACCTCCATAGCAGCGTACATACATACATATCAATAGATACATCCAGTCTCGTTACTCGTACACGAGAAAGATAACGGTGAAAGGTTGCTGAATACGAGCCTTTCTGCGCGGCACCTCCGCCTCCTCGCCTACTCGGGGATATCCGCCCGTGAAATGTGGGTGTATCTGCGAGTTTTGAGGGTTCGGCCGATTTACATTCACGAGCGATGAGGCTCTTTCTTGATTTTTGCCTCTTGCATCTTTTCAGATGGAGACGTTAGACGCAGGAGCTGGCTGTAGACTCTAGTATGTATGATACGGAGGTACGGAGTTAAAGGCGTATCGAATCGTATTGTTCGTTCCCCCCCCGTGACCCCTTAACTATTCTACCTACCCTCACCATCACTATCCTCCGAGGGTCTGTGGTGGGTGGGAACTCAACCATTTATTTTTGGACACCTTGTTTTAAAACTAAACTAGCAATGATACCTTTTTGGGGGGATTTTATTGAATTAAAGGGATTTTCATTGGGGATCTGCCATTTCCGATTGTTTCGATTTTTTGGAAATTTCGAGGGGGTGGGAATTTGTGGGTTTGGTGAGCGAGCATAGGCGGGCGGGCACGGGTTATCCGGGCTTGCTTGCTTGGGTGCTTGGTTGTCTTTGCTGGTGCTGCTGGGGATAAGTGGGTGCGGTGGTGTGAGCACTGATATGTACTGCACTGTGTATGTACAAATAGCATAGCAGCATTACAGAGGAGGAGGTGGGTACGGAGGACTCCGACATACTAGATACTTCCTGCGTCTTCCCTACCTCGCATACAACAACGTCACGATAGAAACGGAAAACGGGCATTGGGAAAATAAGGAAAAAGGGTGGTGGTGATGAGGTGGGTGGCTGCTGGCCGTTCCGAACACGACAGACAGCTATTACGGAAGGATTTTTTTTTTGGTCTTGGGATTGGAAGAAGTTATCCATCCCATGGCTTTGTGTGCGTGTGCGTGTGCCACATACTTGCCGAGAAATGCTTCTTTTGCTGTTCCTGTTTTCGCTTCTCCGGCTGCTGATGAAGGGGAGGAAGGACGAATACTGGTGAGTTTTAATGATTGCGTGCGTACAGGGGATAATCGATGGATATGGGTGTGCATTTCATATTCCGGTATAGTTCTCCATATGCCGGTGTCGGGGCAGAGAGGGGGCATGGTTTATTAGCAAGGCCTCTCGAGTCTGGGGTACGGAGGAAGAAAGCAGTGAATAATATCACGATAGATTGATTATTAGATTATTAGAACGTTCGTTGCGTATGTATGGCCCCCCTCCCTCCCATCCATCCGGAGCCGGGCCAACATTGACACGAGAAGGTGATATGGAATATGGAATATGGACTGCATCTGGAATCCAGGATATGGGATCTGGATCGGGATCTGAGATGGATGTTGTTGGCCTTTTTTTTCGCCTGATTAATATGGATGGATGGGGAGGAGGAGGTGGGAGGATGGATGACATGACTGATAATGGACAGTCTGGCGATGTATCTGTGTCTCTTCAGCCGCAGTCCCGGTAATGGTGTTTTCGGGCATTGCACGAAGAGAATTGGAGAATATTCCAAGATTCTCTTTCAGTAGTAAGTACGGAGTAGATGTAGGTAAATGAGTTCCTCTTCTCGTGCGGCTGGTGCAGTCATCATCACATTACTGCGTCGAGCTGCGTGCTCATACAGGTGTTGTTCTGGAATAGGTAATTCGATGCTGGATTGTACAACATACCAGCTGCCTACTTACCGTATGTACTTTTGTGTTACTTACCTGAACTGTGTACCAAGAAATGAACATATTCTAGCGGATGTCGTTCTATGAATAATATGTTGTATGAGTGCACATGTGTGTGACAGCAGACAATGTGTATGTAGTGCTTGCACATGCCAGGTCTGGCTAGTGAATACCAAGTAACCAAGTAATCCAAGGCCCATCAGCCGCCCGACGCCCGCCAGTGACCAGCCTTTGCTACATCGCGCAATCCATCCACCATCCGCATCCGCTTCCATCTTCCTCTACATTCTAGCTACACACTGCACACTGTACTCTCCCACTTGCACAATAAATGATGAGGATCAATATTAGGTACATCGTAGGCAAGGAGCTTCGCAGGGACTTGACTCGAGCGCAGTCCCCACTTCTTTCTGGAGCTCGTTTCGTTTTGGTGCCGTCGTCGTGCGGTGGCAGTGAAGTACGGCGGGAAACTTTAACTTGGGATACTCCTGGGAGGTCTTCGTCCTGTCATTAAGCCATAGTAATTGACATCCATGGTTTCTATTTACTATCATCGTCATAATCATTTCATTAATTACTGTCACTACAGAGTACAGTTACTAATTCCCAGTATTGACAAATACGGTGAGTGGTGTGTATGTGTGTGTACATAGACTATAGTGCTGGCGGCGGCAACGGAACTAAGGCAGAGCCGAATGCATCCTCTCAGTCTCTTTCACCCCCTCCCACCCATACGTATTACGCATTACGGCCTACGGGCCATACCGCCCAACTACGTCTACGAACTCTCAGGCCCTCTGTAGACCCCCTTGACGCCTCCCTCCTCCGTAGACCCTAGTTAGAGAGAAAGAGAAGAGAAAAGCCCAGCACGTCAGCCGCTAGATACGATACAATACTAGTCAATACCATCAACGTGTGCGGGCGTTTGGGCCACTTTCAACTCCCACACTATTACCGTGACTACTTACATGCACACACACACACACACCTCTGGCCCTCTACTCTCATACAATACTCTAACTCTTAACTACATACGGGGATCTGCATACTCCTTCTCCCAGCTCTACCTAGATCCATTCTACTATATAGAGTACCCGGCACCCTCCCATACCCTACCCTTTCCATTCTTCTCCCCTTCGAGACATATCCATCCTACCCACAAAGGTTCCACTCTGGAGGTAGCAAAACAACCTTCACCAGCCGATCTCTACACACACATTCTGGAATGCTCCCACCGCTTCGAACGCCCTTGTTTGGATTTTGGCCGGGACCTACGCCTTGAAGAAAGAGAACACCATAAAAACCATGGACCGAAGAGATGTACCACTGTCTCCCGCCAGCACGGTATCAGACATGTCGGACATGACCGATGAAGAGTTGGACAAGTACTTTGCGACCTACGTTCCGCTGTCGAACCTCCCAACGCCGCCGCCCGTCAGGGACACCCTCTCCGATACTCCCTCCGCATCTGCGCTATTACCATCATCAAGTCTACCTTTGTTGAACCCCCAGGTAGCGCAAGAGGCTCCTGAGCTAGAAGGTTAGTGTTAGTGGCTTGTCACGTGCTCTCAGCCCCAGCCTGCCCAGCCCCAACCCTGAATCCAACTTTCATGTTTCTGTGGAGCATCATCATGGCATCGAGGACATCAGGCATGAATTGCAATATTACCACCAAGATCTCCTTCCCCGTCCAGGGAAGCGAAGTGGAGGTGGATGCCAGGTACCGCCGATGATTGCTTCGCCAAAGACAAAACAGTGGACCGACGTCATCTCCCCCTTGTTACCATTTCTATTCCTGTAATACAATGCTGTCGATCATCATGTCACTAACACGGCATGAAAATAGTCTACGCTACACAACTCTCCAACCTCGTCCCCAGCAACGCATCTCCTCACCGACCATCCCTCCCCGTCGTCCGCGGCATCCTGGAGCGCTCCAAGCTGCCCGTCGAAATCATCGCCTTCGCAGCCTGCATCCTCGACGCCCTGACGCAGCGCTTCGCCAGCTCGTGGCGAGCATGCCTCACCCCTGGATCATCCCTCACGTCCAAGTTTGACCTCACCACCCAACCGTCCTCGTCATGCCCAGAACTCATCCTGCTCTCCGCCCTCGCCTTGGCCCATGACTTCATCGACGACCGCAGCCGCTCCACCAGGCACTGGTCGCTCATCGAATCGCGGTCCCTCTTCTCCGTCCGCCACATCGACGCAACCAAGTTCTGCATCCTCGAGGACATGCACTTCGGCCTCTTCCGCATCACCCCGGAAATGGTCGACGCCAAGGTCCGGGATCTCCAACGGCCAGCAGCCCTCGCCCTCGCCCTCCCGAAGTCGTCAGCAGGAAAGAGGAGGAACACGTGCTGCGAGACGGACGACGACAGACGCCCGCACCCTAGGATGTCGCTCGATTTGCCTCGTGCGGCGGTATGGGTGCACGGCATGCAGACTCCGGAGCCGAGTCCTTGATTCTTGGAGGACGACGTTGTGGAACGAAACGATGACGATTCTTTTTTTTAAGCATAGCGTAGCATCTCTCACACGACATTTTTCTGCTTTCGCTTCGCTGTGCGAGGCATACTCACTACCAGTCCAGTCTGACGAAACGAACAACATCACCACGATATCGTCCTTTCCATCATATTTCTGGCATATCTTGTAATCCCTCCCACGTCCCACAGCTCCGGTGTTTCATCCCCTCAGACCTTTCCTCCTTTTGTCGCCATCTCAGTTTGTAATGTACAAAAGATATCACGATACCCCATCTTGTTTATTTTTTTTTTTTGCAGGTTTCTTCTTATTTTTCCTTTGGTTGTTTGGGAAAGGGGATTTGTATGGTGTTGAATTTAGTTTGTGATTTTAATCAAAGGGCGTTATACCCACGAGTTGAAGAGCGTTTAGAGAGAGGAATTAAGGTGTAGTTAGGTGTAGATAAGGAGATGTAGAAATGAAGAAAGTATAACTATGAACTTGTCCTCCCACATATCTGTTTATTTGCAACCCTCGTGTCGTGGTTTATGCCGTCTTATTTTCTTATAGTGAGGTGCGTGATATTTTGCTCTAGGTACGTACGTTCCCCTAGCGTAAGAGGATGTCTTTACTCGATGTGAGCCTTCGCATAACTTCACCACTCATACGTGCCAAAGACAGACTAGCCACGATATCGCTGTACTCACACTCACACTCACCCACCAAAAGAAGCACACACAAGTAGATAGCCAAAAGTCGACCTCACGTTCTAGACTCTCTCCCACACTCTCGCGTAGACGCGCGCACCGCCGCCGTCGTCTATGGAATCTTCCGCACCGCGTACCCTCACATTTCCACACTAGCAACTAGCAAAAAGCGTGGTGGCTGTTGGAGGAGGCTTCGATCAACTTCAGCCTCACGAAAACGATAGTCAGTATCGCGAAAAACGAACATGTGTCAAGCATGTGTGTGGCCTTTTTGAAGCACGTTTCGTTTTCGTTTGGCTTTCGTTTCTGTTTATTTGTTCCGAGAATTGTCACGACGCGCGAACGCGACTTTAAACTTAACGGTTTTTATTTACTTTTAAGTTTTTCTTGGTCGGAGGGGATTTGGTGAGGAGACGTTTGTGGTGAGTGGATATCGCTTAGCTTGCATCGATGATGGGGTGTGGCTTGAGGCTGAAAGATCTGGATCTGGAGTGTACACAGTAGGGCTTTTTGGGCCTTTTTCTGCGCAATGCCGTTAGATACGAATTCTAGGTAGGTACGAGTCGGAGTGCGTGTGTATGTGCGTGGCTTTCCTGTAGATAGGTACAAGAGGTAGTACTAGTAGTTCATGTGTGTAGTCGTTGGTTAGTTAGTTAGTTCACGCCGTTGGTCAGTAGGTAGGTAGTTCTAGTCTTGATCCGACTGATCTTCTTCGGAGGAAGGCTTTTAGGCTTGATGCTTTGAGGCTGAAGAACAGAACATGTCTCGGAGGCTTTTCACGTTTAATCTCCTTTCTGGCGTTTTATCTGATGTGGCTTTGGGAGTCGCGATCTAGTGCTCTGAAAACCGCGAGCTAGAATGTTGTCTTGGAGGCTGCTTTGGGATGTAGTTTTCAGAGGCGTCGAAAAATCAATGGTTCGTGAAGCTTGCTTGCAGTTTGAGGCTAAGAGGCGTGTTTTGGGCAAGGCGTGGGATTGGATTGGGCTAGGTTGGGGAGAGTAGGTTAAGTAAGTTCGTGGGTTGCTTGGCTTCGATCTTCGATGAGGGAGTGAACTATTGAGTCGAGAGGAGATGAGGTTGAGATGGGGTAGATCTAGAGATGAAGCAGTTATAGGTATGGCTTCCGCTCGGAGGTGTTGGTGTATATTTCCTTCTTGTTCCTGGTCAAATCTGGCAGAAGGTATTTAGAGAGGCGATATTACTAGAGACGCGAACAGGATGCAGGATCTGCGTTACACGTGCAGACCAAGGTACGTAGAAATGTTAGACACTCGTACATGCAAAATTGTTCGCATCGTACTTGGTATGCTCCGTACAATAATGGACGACATTAAACCTTGCACAGTATAGCCTTGATGATATACTTTCATATCAGATGTTATCACATCCCACACAGAAAGGCATTTCCTGTTTCTTACCCAATGCCATTCTTCCTCTTCATAGATTTTATTGTCTCTCTTTGTTGAAAGCGAGGAGTGGATCTTTTGATACTGGGTAGAGTAGAATTTGCAAGGTTGATTGAATATATCAGGTGAGGAGGGTCTCGATGCTGGCCGTGTCTAGCTACGAGTAGAAAGGCGCTGTGGGTACGGAATCTATCGATAGGGACGATATGGAACAACACCAACGGAGGGACCGGAACTAGGAAGTTGGATTGTAGATCTGGCATGATTGATGAAATTTGATAGGCATGCGATGGAGATTGATATGAATTGGCTGATAAATAACGAGGTTTTTGTCTGTAGATACGTCGCTTCTTGTATGTTTATGTGTTTGGAGTATTTGTGTGTTTATTTGTGTGGAGGGGTAACATGTACGTATGTATGTATGTATGTATAGATCTAGCCCTATAGGGCATAGATGGACGCTAAGGACGAGAAAGGTCTAGAACGTCGAATGCGCGATGACGACGTAATTGGCTTGACCGACTTCTCTGTACCTACGACTAAGACCACCACCACTACCTATGAATATAATGAATGCATCGCCTCTTCCTACGGACATCAGAGAGTAATACCAACTGTTTCGACTGTCAATTTTCCGATCGCTCAAAAGTCACACAATTGGTCATTTCTGTTTCTCTTCTGTGTCGGACGAAGTATGGACTGATGGTGATTGTGGGTGAAGAAGGTAGCACAGCACATACTCGGTATTGATTCGTCTGATTGGCATGGAGATTAGCGCAACGCGTGGGGTCATCCGTGCAGCTGCAGCTCTCAACAACATTCATCCCGTCCCCATCCACAGAAACACGAATACACGAGTAACAGCAACCAGAACAACCCTTTTTCACAATATTAATCAAGTATTCACACACATCTTCATCCAATCCTGCCAGGAGAGTAACTTAATGGAACCGTACTACTCCCATCTCCGCCTAGATCACTCCAACTTGCATCCAAGGGCCGTTTCTTCCCCGCGATTTCTAAGAGACCCATCCCACCTCGAGTACCTCACTAGGTACCTCTACTAACCATCGTACTCCACCTCCATCCCTCCCTTCCGTCATGCTCTCCTGATCACCCGTCATCGTCTTTTACTTTGCGATCTTCTTGATCTCCTTGATCTCCTCTGCATCCCGTGTATACACAAACAAGTAAATAAATAAGTACATACATGTCGTGTGCATGCATATAGATACATAACATACATATCGCAACTCCGCCCCGCGGCATCCCGTTGCTTGAAACACCATCCAACACCTGTCCCCTCCCCTCCCTCCTCCTCCTCCTCCTCCTTCTCACCACCTCCTCTTTCTTACGGCTACACCTCCTGCACGGCTTATATTTACTTTATAAGCTTGCTCCCTCCTCTTCCTCCTCCACCGCCTTTCTCATTCCTTCATCCTCCAGCCGTCTCTCCCGAGCGAGCTACCCCTCCGACCTCAACAATCATCTCCCTCACACCTCCATCAGCGCCAACTTTACACACCTACCCCGCCCTATATTCTCTCCAATCGTCTCGTCTCTCTCGTGCTCGAGTCAACCAACTGTCTCCCCACCTCAATTGACATCTCGAAGCTCTCAAGATGTCCAACGACGCTACCAACGTTCGCGAGCGCCGTCCCTCCACCAGCGCTCCCCTCTCCGACCTCAAGGGCCCCGTCGGTCCCGCAAACTTCACCAGACCCAAGCATAAGCGTACCGTCACTGGTTTCGGCCCCAGCGAGATCAAGAATGTAGAGGCCAGCATCCCAGAGCCCCAGCGTGAGGCCTGGAGGAAGTTCGTAAGTCTCCCGCAACCGCCGCGCGTATCTAATCGCGCTTCCTCGACTCGATCATTTGTCTGATTACTCTCTATAGACACCCAAGCCCTTCTCAACTCCCGAGGAATTCGGAAAGGAGGCCGTCCGACACATTGAAACCACCCTCGCGCGATCCCTTTACAACTGCGACGAGTCCGCTGCCTATGCCGGAACCGCCCTGGCCTTCCGCGACCGATTGGTCCTGGACTGGAACAAGACCCAGCAGACGCAGACCTTCACCGACCAGAAGCGTGTATACTGTGAGAATGGGCGATTCAAACCATCATAGTTCGAAGACTGACTAGACCAGACCTTTCCCTCGAGTTCCTGATGGGACGTGCTTTGGACAATGCCATGTTGAACGTGGAGCAGAAGGATCTTGCTACGAGTGAGTGTCTCAATTGGGTGGAACTACGGTACAACTACTAATATCCTTATCCAGAGGGCCTCAGCGAGCTCGGCTTCCGCATGGAAGACATCATCTCCCAAGAACACGATGCTGCCCTCGGAAACGGTGGTCTCGGACGCCTCGCCGCCTGCTTCCTCGATTCCCTCGCATCCCTCAACTACCCCGCCTGGGGCTACGGTCTTCGTTACAGATATGGTATCTTCAAGCAGGAGATTGTCGACGGATACCAGGTAGAAGTCCCAGACTACTGGCTTGACTTCAACCCTTGGGAGTTCAAGCGCCACGACATCACTGTCGACATCCAGTTCTACGGACACGTCAACAGGTGGCAGGATGACGAGGGTAAGCAGCACTCCTCATGGGAGGGCGGCGAGATCGTCCAGGCTGTAGCCTTTGATGTGCCCGTTCCCGGATACAAGACGCCCACATGCAATAACCTCCGTCTCTGGGGCAGCAAAGCTGCCTCGGGAGAGTTCGACTTCCAGAAGTTCAACTCGGGCGAGTATGAGAGCTCCGTCGCCGACCAGCAGCGCGCCGAAACCATCTCCGCTGTATTGTACCCCAACGATAAGTATGTACTTCAATGTTGCTTGTGAAACTATATACTGACAACGACCAGCTTGGAGCGCGGTAAGGAGCTCCGCCTGAAGCAGCAGTACTTCTGGTGCGCTGCATCCCTCTATGACATCGTCCGACGATTCAAGAAGACCAAGCGCTCCTGGAGGGACTTCCCCAACCAGGTCGCCATCCAGCTCAACGACACCCACCCGACCCTTGCCATCCCCGAACTCCAGAGAATCTTGGTCGACGTTGAGGGTCTTGAGTGGGACGAGGCTTGGAGCATCGTTCAGAAGACCTTTGGCTACACCAACCACACCGTTCTCCCCGAGGCATTGGAGAAGTGGTCGGTCCCGCTGTTCCAGCACTTGCTCCCCCGCCATCTTCAGGTAGGCTGATCCTTAGCCCAACGTGAATCTCCAAATTAACATACCATGTAGATCATCTTCGAGATCAACTTGCACTTCCTGCAGTTCGTCGAGAGGAACTTCCCCCAGGATCGCGAGATGCTGTCTCGTGTATCCATCATCGAGGAGTCTAACCCCAAGATGGTCCGCATGGCCTACCTTGCCCTCATTGGTTCTCACAAGGTCAACGGTGTTGCCGAGTTGCACTCCGACCTGATCAAGACCACCATCTTCAAGGACTTTGTCAAGATCTACGGCCCCGACAAGTTCACCAACGTCACTAACGGCATCACCCCCCGTAGGTGGCTCCACCAGGCCAACCGCAGACTGTCCGATCTCATTGCCTCCAAGCTCGGCGGACACGACTTCCTAAAGGACCTCACTCTCCTCCACAAGCTCGAGGCCGCCGTCGATGACAAGGACTTCCGTAAGGAGTTCCGCGAGATCAAGTACGCCAACAAGGTCAGGCTCGCCAAGCACATCAAGGAGCACAACGGCGTGACCGTCAACCCCTCTGCACTCTTCGATGTCCAGGTCAAGCGTATCCACGAGTACAAGCGACAGCAGCTGAACATCTTCGGTGTGATCCACCGCTACTTGGAAATCAAGAAGATGTCCGCCGAGGAGAAGAAGAAGCAGGTCCCTCGTGTCTCCATCTTCGGTGGAAAGGCTGCTCCCGGATATTGGATGGCGAAGACCGTCATCCACTTGATCAACCAGGTCGGAAAGGTGGTCAACAACGACCCCGACGTCGGCGACCTCCTCAAGGTCATCTTCTTGGAGGACTACAATGTCAGCAAGGCTGAGATTATCTGCCCTGCCAGCGACATCAGCGAGCACATCTCGACCGCAGGTACCGAGGCTAGTGGAACTAGCAACATGAAGTTCTGCCTGAACGGTGGTTTGATCATCGGCACCTGCGACGGAGCTAACATCGAAATCACTCGCGAGATTGGCGAGCAGAACATCTTCCTCTTCGGCAACCTCGCCGAGGACGTCGAGGACCTCCGACACAACCACTTGTACAACCAGTACCAGTTGGACTCGCAGCTCGCCACTGTGTTCGACACCATCTCCTCTGGAACTTTCGGTGACGCTGGCGCTTTCTCTGCCCTTCTCAACGGCATCGTCGACCATGGTGACTACTACCTCGTCAGCGACGACTTCGCCTCGTACCTCGAGACCCAGAAGCTCATCGACGAGAGCTTCAAGAACACCGAGGAGTGGACCACCAAGACCATTCTCACGGTCGCTAGGATGGGTTTCTTCTCCAGCGACAGGTGTATCGACGAGTATGCCGAAGCCATCTGGAACGTCGAGCCCCTTGTTCCCAAGGACGACTAGAATGGTTTTCGATGACGAATGTGATAACGAAACATATTTGCTTTTTTTTCATATATAAACCTTCTCTGACTCGCATCTGGATACGCCATACCGGCTTGGCTTCGGTTGGAACACTAGAGCGGTAGATCGCTAGAGATTGATTTTATCTTCTATATTTCTACTTTATATATTTCATGTTTCTAGCCTTTCAATACTTTTCATTCTGTGTGAGCCAGCTTGTTAGTCTTCTTTGAGGTAGTCATCACGATCCAACGCTTGAAATGAAACATCTCGTTTGAAATGACACATCCATACACGTTCTCGTGTTGTGCAACCAACCCAACTCACCAACCAACACAGGGGACAGCCACGTGACGTCACCGCTAAACAGTAACTACCCTTCCCGGGTTAGCGGCCGTTCCCTGGACCCTACAACTCTTTTAGGCCAACCTCACTCCAACATTACTCGTAACCAGCCTGACTAACGACGGCGACAACAAATCCCAACTCCTTCAACCCGAACGCATTTGCGATGCACTCTCTGCGATGACAGTCGTCCGATGCCTCTACAACACACATCATATACGCAACCACCAGTATAAGTCGACCGACCCAGCTCTCGAGCGCTAAATTACCGCTATTACTTCCGTGCCTCACTACCAACCGGCGAACTCATCATTCGGCGGAAGTGCCAGGTGGGAGCGTACTGATTGAGCTCTCCTCTCTCTGTCTGCAATCACCGACACTTCTGCTCTATTCAAATTCTATGCGCTACGGCCATACCGGGTAAGAAAACACCTGATCGTTTGAGAACGATCTTACGCCTGCCACGGCCCCGCGTGCCATCCCACCTTTCTCACCCCGCGCATTTTATCCACCACCTATCCTTCGTGATATAACCATGGTATCGAGTGCTGTGGGAGATATCTTGACAGTGAAAGATTACATACAGAGTGCGCCTCAATTGACGGCCATGAAGGTCTCCATGTCGCCTTCCCGGACGAACTTCCGCGCGGAGGATGCCCAGATGGCCGATTTCCCACGCTCACTCGAGCGCCACCACGAGTACACATACAGACTGCCTGCGCCTCCGCGAATCGTCGTCCCGCCTCCTACTGCCACCTCGGATATGCCCTCGCTGAATGTCGGCATGCACGATATCACCGAAGCTGACCTCGACACGACTTTCTTGCAAGAGATGAATCTGAATAGTATCATACAGAAGAACACGCTGCTGGATTGGTCATACGAGATGAGGCGCAAGGCACAGATGATCATCCCCTGGCTGTATCTGGGCCCTTTCACTGCTGCGAAGGATGTCAACTTCCTTGCTTCGGCGGGCATCACCATGGCGCTCGCTGTCCGGACCAACTCAAGCAGCATGAATGGCGCGATGGAGACTACCCGGGTCGTCTGCCAGGAAGTCGCATCGATCGAAGCACCGAACTACTTCGCACTGATCCCCAATTTTTCGAAAGCGACCCGCATGATCAATCAGCATCTCGCAAAGGTGCGATTAGCGGGTCTACAGAGCACCGGCGAGGAAGCGCTGGGCAGGGTTCTCGTGTTCTGCGAGTCGGGCAATGAGAAGTCGGCTGCGGTCGTGGCCGCGTATCTGATGGAGACGATGGGCGACTTCGACTTTGTGCAGGCCATGCAGATCTGCCAGGCACAGCGGTTCTGCGTTAATTTCGACGATACCATCAAGACGGTCCTGCGTTCACACTGGGATATTCTTTCTGCGAAGCGTGCTGTTGCGAGATCCAGCGCGGACTCTGGCTCAGGCCCAGGCACACCGGATGCCGCGAGGTTGCAGGTTCTGGGAGGCAGAGCGAAACGGACTATCCAGGATTACACCCTGGACGAGGATATCGAGATGGGGAATGATGTCGATCCGACCGACGTGCTGCGCTTTGGTGGCCGAGACAACACGCCTTTCCGCGATGCGCCTTTCCGCGATGCTTGATACGGGAGACGACTGTAACCGAGTAAGTGACGACACTTCACGAACAAACTCATAGCGTTCGATTCTATCACGTCCCCTACCCTTTGGAACACATTCACCCGGCTCGCCGGGTCGATCGATTTAGCTGGCCGAGAATTTTGGTTTATTTCATTATTGTACAAAGATACCCTGCATACACATCAACGGCGTTCCCTCCTAGCTTTTCCCCTACTTTCGACGATACAACCAACCCACACAGCATATCTATCCATCATCATCCTGATGGGAAACGAAAACACCACGCGGACGGCTTTTGGTTTTCCCTCCCCCCATAGCTTTGGCATCTTTCTTCTGGCGTATTTTCAAAACGACCTTGGGATCGGACTTTTGCGGCCTTGTGCCATCCTTCTTTTTATATGACGCCCTTTGCTTGCTTGCTTGTTGAGACAAGTGAGTGAGTCAGCTCTTCCTGTCGGAATCGATACAAAAGGGGCGCAAGGAAAGACAAACGGGCGGTGAAGTACTTTTAACATACAAGACGACGGATAAATAAATGAATGAGTCAATGACTAAACGAACGTGGTTTACATGCGATTGCAGTGATTGGACATGGCATCATCCTCTATTTACGAGCGAGTGAAGTTGAGTACCTAAAGTTTCCACGTCCGTGATTTTCCCATTTGTTTGAGCGGTGTGTCTGTGTGTGTCTGTTTGGTTGAGTTGGATCCATCCATTTCCGTCCAGTCAAAATCCAACATATCTGACTTTCACTACACAGACAAATCGCCACTGCTGCCTTGCCTTTGCCTTCACCTTTACCTTCACCTCATACCATCTCATCTCGTCCTGTCCCGTCCCCAGTATCCCACATAAAAGCCAGGTGTACCTCCCACTCTCGCTCCTGCCATATAGTGTCTCCTCCTCCCACTCACTTCTCACTTCTCACTTCTCACACACTTTTTACTTTGCATTCTAACTTCTTAATCCACAACCTCACCCACTCACATACAACCTACACACATCCAACACAACAAAATAACACACCTCACCCCCCGCACACCCAGACACCATTCCATCCCACAATGGCGAACATCAAAACCGTCCGCAAACGCCGCAAATCCCCTTCCCCTTCCCCACCCCCTGCCACCACCGCCGCCGCTCCCGCCGACGAGGGCACCGACAACAGCAAGCCCCCAAGGGCAAAGCGCGCTCGCCGCCCCACGGAGAAAGCCCGCGCGAGCTTGAACCCCCCCAGCACCACCACCGGTGAGAAGAAAAACCGCCGTCCGAGGAGGAGCAGTAGACGGGACTCCGGACCCCTCGGCGACGACGACGACGCAGATGAAGCCTTCCAGGAAGAAGAAGCGGCTGATGATCGGGAGGGCGAGGGGAAAGAGGTGAAGTTAGTCAAAGTCGCGGCGTTTCCTACTCTCGAAGTAGGTCAGACGCCCGAGATCCCCTCGCACCGCCGTCACGGTCTCGAGAAGTTAGTCGACGAGCGGTTCGGACGCAAGAAGATGGAGTGGCGAGCTCCGGACGGCGAGGCGTACGCGGCGCTCGCGCTTGCGGGCGTGGGAGAGGTGGCTGCTGAAGTGCAGTTCGGCGCTGTGTTTCCGCCGCTCAGGAGGGTGATTGTCGAGGCGATGTGGGAGGAGCTGGGGGCCGTGTATATTGATACTAACCTTGCGGTGTGTTTGCTTCTTGACGTCACGCGCGAGGAGATGGCGAGGATTGTGGCGGAGAATTGTGCGGAGTGGTGGGAGGATGGGAGGTTCATGGCGGCGCTGGACGCGAAGCGGAAGGGGCGGTTGGAGGGGCAGGTGGTGGATGTTGAGGAGCCTGGGAAGGTGGATGTGTTGAGGGCGATGGTGTTTTTGAGGGGGAGGGGACTGCCGTTGGGGTTGTTGGGGGAGTGGGAGGGGGTGGATGTTAGGGGGGCGGTTGAGTTGGAGACTGCTGGGAATGGAGAACGAAGTCCACCGGAAGGCCCCAATGAGAGATATGATTCGGCTCGATGGGAGCAATCTTTGGGGTTTGAGGAAAGGAAATGGGATCCTCATGAGGGACAGTTCACAGCGGTGAACAACCAGGCATCGAACGAGATGGGACGTCCGACAGTGACATCGTATGGGTCGCAGAACGTCGACACGAGACAGCCCGTCAATGGAATCCTTCAGTCTGGTATCCGTCGTTCTGAAACCGAGCACTTGTCACCCGCGATGACAGCTAAGCATTTCCTCCAGCAACGCATGATGGAGATGGCTCAACGGGACAATAATAACAACCACACTGGCCCACCACCACCTCATTCTGCACCTCCACCTCCAGCTCATGCTTCACCTATCCAATTCACGCAACCGATCACAGCCCCCCATCCTCCTGGTGGTGCTTCCAACCGCAACGTCCCCGACGCATCAGAAGCCCGCGACGCCCTCAGACAAATCATCTCGCAACGCGGCAACAACGCCGCCCACGGCCGCCCTACTACCGGCGTCAACAGGCCCACCACGGCCGCAGCCTTCAACGAACACTACAGCCTCATCTTCAGCCGCGGCGATGCCCAGCAGCAGGAGCAGCAACGTCAGCAAGAACCACAGACGCGGACGCAGGGGGAACCGGGCGGCGACAGAACGCACACACCGACCCGTCTGAACTTCTTAGGCCAGACGCCTCAGGAGGAGCAGGAGATGATGGAGCGACAAGTACTGCCCAGTGTGACAAGGTGTCTGGAAGCCGTGCCTGGAACCCCCAAAAGAGGCCTGAGAAACATGACGGCAGAGGAGCACCGAGTCTGGGAAGTCTGGAACCGGCTAACAATTGAGAAACTGGAGAGGATGTACGGACCCGGTGGCACGCATGAGATTTGGGATCCGAGGGACTCGCGCCTCCAGCACAAGCACAAGTCCAAGCCTAAGCCCAAGCCTGTAGCAGAAGCAGCAGAGGAGGAGAAACCGGAGAGAGTCGATTACCCGACGTGGTTTCCCATCGATAGACCTATCCCGTTCACTCACTGGGGGGGGAACGGCCACACCAACAGGAGCGGCGGAGGGAACATCGATCGCAACAGCAGCACCGCTACCGCTGTACCGGAGATACCGTTCAGACAGATCAAAGTCACCAACCCCAGGCCCCCCCTTCACCCCCCAGCAGGACTCCCATCTTCCCTTCGACCCAGCTTCGCCCCAGGGGGAGGTAGCAGTCTCGACCACAACCACAGCTTCAGACCGGGCATAGGAACGGCAACGGAATTCGCGGCGCCCATGAGCCAGCAGCACTCCCCCAGCGTCCTCGCATTCATGGCAAACAAGTACCCGCTCCCTCCCAACTCGCCGTCGCTGTCGCCGCCGCTACCTTATGAGGGGCTGTCGCTCAGGCCGAGGCTGCCAGGCGCGGGGGACGCGGCTGCGATGGATATGGAAGAGTGTGCTGAGGAAGGGGACGATGAGATGGACGTGGACGACGAGTGTGTGAAGAGGGAGGGCAGTGTTGGGCGTGATGAGAAGGCTTGATTGTCACTCCGCTCTCTGGGGAGCGGCCGGCTGTTAATGTTGGCTTTCCCCTGTTTTTGTATGACGGGTGCTGGGGTGTTTGTATATGAGAATGACTGACTGACTGATACGTGCGTGGGATTCCCAACCCTTTTCCGTCCTGGGAGGGGAAGAGGGGGGTTCGGGCTTGTAAGATAAGATAATGGTACTTGGGTACTTAGGTATATAACTATGAAGTCTACATGAATTTCCTTCTTCCCACTGCACTGCACTGCACGTCGCTGAATGAAGATTTGATATCGCCTTTTCACTACGGTGCGATACGGTACGCTACCCTTGCGTAGAGCTTTTCCGTCTACCCAACCAAATAAAAAATCAAAGGCAAAGGGGAAAAGAAGAGAGAAAAGGGCGCCTTAAGCCCTGAAGACCATCCTAGCGACCATCCTCGCGGCCTCCTCCTTCCCCTTGCCGTCCCCCCCGTCCTTGGGCCCAACGGGGCTCGTGGCAGCGAAGAAGAGGATCTTGATCGCGATGGCGAGGCCCGCGTGCAGCGCGACGACGACGACGAGCAGGATCTTGGAGACCTGCTTCTCGGTGGCCGAGAGCACGGGGTACAAGTTGCGGACGAGGAAGAAGGTGGATGCCGCGAAGCCGATGGCTACGAAGGTGTAGTTGAGGACTATTTTCATACATTGTTAGCTTTTCCCTCCCCTTGATTGCATGATGGGGGAGGAGGGAAGAGAGGGAGGGGGGAAAGAGAAAGAGGACGTACTTTGTATAGGCGAGACGGATGCCAACGCCACGGGAATCCAAATCAGATTCGCGTAGCCGTACAAGCATGCGCATTCCAGCAGATTCGCGCTCTCGCTGCCGAACCACTTCAGCGCTGCCCACAGGACGACGGGCACGAGGCCGGTGTACCCGTATATGAGGCCCGCGCCGCCGCTCAGGAGCTTGAAGTCGTATGCGAAGTGGTCACGGCCCGTGTGTGCGAGGTACTGGGAGATTGTGCCGGTGAGGAAGAGGATGACGACGACGGTCGTGGCGATCCAGACGGGGCCGTAGAGGTCTGGGTTCCCCTCGAGGACGTCGAGGAAGTTCTGGCGCGGGTAGATGGCGGCGAGGCAGCGGCGCACGACTTCGTTGGTGTCGACGTCGAAGGCTTGCGCATAGAAGGAGAGGGACCAGAGGAAGTGCTTGCGCGAGCTGCCGCCGCCGTTGGAGTTGGAGTTGGAGGAGGTGTTGGGGGCAGGCAGGAAGCCGGTGGAGGAGTCGGGTTGGATCTTGTTGCGGGAGTTGGAGGGGGTTTCGAAGTCTATGGGAAGTTGGGTCAGATATTGGATTACGTGGGGATACAGTTGAGGTTGAGACAGGACGACGTACTTGAGCTGTGGAATTCGAGGTCTTCTTGAAGGTCGGTGTGGCCTAGATCGCCCTAGAGTTGTTCAATGTCAGTCGGTGCTTGTCCTTTTGCTTGCTGAGGTATGCGGTCGTGGGTAATCGGGGGATGTGATATTATGTGAACAGATCGAGGATAATGGGATTGCGGATGCACACACCTCCTGATCGACGTCGACGACGACATCGTAGCCTCTGTTCGCCATCTTCTGTACTGTCGATTGAGTCCTGTGGTTCGTCTCAGGGAGATCGGAGAGAAGAGTTGTGGTGGAAGGAAAGTCGGGGATGTGATGTGAGGTGGGAGCTTGGGGAGCTCTCGGACGGACAGGTTGCATCCAGCGTATCAAAAGTCGACGTCTCGGAGATCAGGGTACGTACCTTACGCGTGCTGGCCACTTTACTACGGAGCAGTCGGTGATGGCTATTGTACTCACACAGTGGGGAGTGAGCAGAAGTGGATTGGGAGCAGGGCAGAGCCTCACTCATCTGGAATGACTTTCCTATCTTCTGATTGGTCAAATATTCTCCGCGGGCGAGTGATCCTTGTCAGAGCGGACGGTGAACAGGTCAAGGGCAATCAACACTTTTTCAAATTAGTTACCTGATTAGGAAGGTTGACTGCAACACGTGACTGGGATAAGCTTAGCACGTGACGGTGAAGGTCGGTGAAGGCCAGTGAAGACCTTCGAAAAATCAGTGAAGTAAACTTCAGTAATCGACACTAATATCCATCACTTACCTGATTAGGCAGGTTGCCCAACGTTCACCACGAGGTCAATCCCCCTAATATACCGGTGCAGGGAATCACTCTCTATGTTCTTTTATTTTATTTTTGGATTCAACAGTCTTTAAAGATAATGTATACATATGTATTAACAAATTCGTTATCTACAGCTTAAGAAAGATAATAATTCCACACCAAACGAGGCCCGTTCATCCACAGAGAAAAAAGCAGTCACAACGCCAAACACCAAATAGCCGCTTCCCACCTATTTAAATGATACGACTATTCCTCGCCCTATCCTTCTCATCCAATTTCCCAGTCCTCCCTCTGAACCTCTGAATCCTCTTCCTCAGCGGCTCAAGCCTAATCAATTTCTTAAACCCACCCACACGGAAACAATAGTAGAAAAGCACAGCGATGAAGATATTGAACACAATGTAGGCCCAGAAGATGCCGAAGTTGCGCCAGCGGTCGTGGTACGAGATGGCGACGCTGCCGAGGAACTGGTCGGAGATCGTGAGCGGGCAGTACTGGCACTGCGACGTCGCGTCTGGGTTGAGGAGTTGGCCGCCGGCGGCCGAGGCGTAGGGGGAGAGGTACTCTCCGCAGGACTGGCCGGATGGTGGGTCGAGAACGGCGAGCTCGTTGGATGCGCAGTTGACGACGCGGTCGGCGCTGCCGGTTGAGGCGACACCGGAGATCCAGTATGTGAAGGGGGATACCCGGTACATGAAGATCCAGAAACCGGGGAGTGCTTGCGGACTAGAGGGGGAGTTGTTAGAATAAGGGTGTTGCGAATGTGGGGGAGTGGGGAGACTTACGGTTGCATGACACCGTTGAAGACCAAGCACATAGAGAAAAGGAATGTGGCGATGTTTCCAGCGGTTTCGGCATCGGGAAGACCTGCGATGAGGGCATGCGCAAAGGTGCTTCCGAAGACGAAGAATTGGATCATGTAGAGGAGGATGAGACCCTGGCGCTCCGACGATTGGATGCCGTCGCTTGTGAAGATGGGGTAGTAGTAGCAGGCGAACACGAGAATGCCCATGAGGACCTGCCATGGAATCTCGACGAAGACATTGGCGACGAGGAAGGCCTTCCAGCTGTAAGCTTTCGAAGGGCGTTCGCGGACTTCGTAGAGCGATCGTTGCGTGACAAACAAGGGCATGATCTATTACACAGTCAGTGCTGAATCAGTTAGATTAGGCTGGGTGAAGAATACCTGTTGGACAAGCGTGGAGAAGATAGTGGTCAGCATGAAAACGGAGAAGATGGAGTTTTGGAGACCCTGCTGGCTGCTATCCTGGTGGTAGAACGAGAAGCCGATAAACCTGGGACAATTAGCTGCGAACAATAACAATTTGAAAATGATGGTACTCACAATGACGACAGAATACCAAGAAGAAGCTTTCCCCAGATGTACGACGGCGTACGCCAGTACTGCTGGAACACACGTTGCGTGACGAAGAATAGCTGCTGCGGGAATGGCATCGCGAACTCGCGTTGACCTTCCGCATCAGAGCCAGCTACTTCCTCGTGCCTCTTGGATTCATGGATCCTGTTAAGCTCTCTCTGCACCTCTGTGGCCTCAGGGCTGGCCTTCCACACTTCGTGCCAGTCTTGTGTAGCTTTGCCCTGCGAGCCGGCACCAGCGATCTCGAGCATGAACTCGGCCGGATTCTCTTCGTCGTCGCAGCTGCGGGATCCATTGCGCTCGAAGTAATCGAGAAGTGTGCGTGAGTTCTCGCCAATATCGCCGAAGTAGATCGTGCGTCCGCCCTTCGCGAGGAAGAGGAGGCGATCGAAGGACTGGAATAGGATGGAGCTAGGCTGGTGAATGGTGGCAAGGACGGCCTGGCCGTTGTCTGCGAGCTTGCGAAGGAAGGATACGATTGCCCATGAAGATTGAGAGTCGAGACCTAGACATTGTTAGTAATTGTATTGTGTGCTTGCTGTGCGATGTCACATACCTGAAGTGGGTTCATCCAAGAAAAGAAGAAGGGCGGGTTTGGCTGCAAGCTCAACACCAATCGTGAGAAGCTTTCGTTGTTCAACATTCAGACCCTCGCCTGGCGAGCCGACAACCGCCTCGGCGAAGTCTTCCATGGCGAGCATCTTGATGACGTCCTCAACAAAGTCGTATTTCTCCTTCTTGGATACGGACTTTGGCTGTCGAAGCATCGCGCTGAATCTCAAGGCCTCTCTGACCGTGGAAGTCTCGAGATGGAGATCTTGTTGTTGAACCTGATTTGCCGGTTAGTGCCTTTCGTGCGGACAATAGAAGTATGTGTACTTACATAGCCGGTCTTTCGTTGGAAACTCGCATCCAGCGGTTTACCATTTACGAGCATGTCTCCAGTGATGACACCAAAAGACACTCTTTGAGCAAGAACATCGAGAAGCGTCGTCTTACCAGCACCGCTGACACCCATAAGAGCAGTGAGTGTACCAGGTTTCACCCATCCAGAAACATGATCAAGCAAGACACGTTTACCGCCCTTTACAGGGATCTCGTACTTAACGTCGCGCCAGGTGAAGATGTCCTTCTGTGGAGGAATGCCGTCAATCGTACCGTTCTGCTTCTCGTTTTCAATCGTGTCCTTGCTGGATGAAGAATCAGGTGGGCCTTGCTCAGAGTCGCTGTTCAGGTTTTGCATGTACGCTGGCACATTACCGCGGCGGAAGACCAGAACCTCGGCCGTGGACGATGTCGAGGAGTTGAATTCGGTGCTGGCAAGGTAAGTGAAAAGGAAGAAGATGAGGAATGCGAAGATGAAGCCGAGGTTGCGCCAGATGTGGGAGTAGCTGTATCCATAGGCCGAGTTGACCCACGCATCGCCAGACACGTCGAATTCGCCAGGGACAGAGCCAGCAACGGAGCAGACGAAGTTGGTACCAGAGAGATCTGCATATGAGGGGACAATGGTGGAGCATGGGAATCGACGACCATGGACTTCGTTCACCAGGATAGCTTCGAAGGCGAAGGCGATGGGGTTGGCGTACGAGATCCATTCGAACCAGGGGTGCATGTAGGTCCTCGGTAGCGTAAATCCAGTGTAGATGATGATCATCAAGACTAGAATGCCTGCACCTGTCAAAGCGACCGAGACCGTCTTGGTCAAGGCGGCAATGGTTCTGAAAATGCAGGTCATGCATAGCTGAGCGACGAAGTTGAAGAGGAAGAAGATGAAGAACTGGGAAGCCTCACGACGCAGACCAGCCAAGAAGTAAATGATGATACTGAAAGTGGTAGCGGCGATAAACTTCACGGGAATGTCGGCAGTGATACCCGCTAGGCCTTCAACGAATGGGTGGTAGAAGCCGTACGAGGCCTGTTTCTCGACAATCGGGCGTGAACTATAAAGCGCGTTGATTTCCGTGATGGCAATCAGAGCATTGAGAAGGATAGCGAAGAAAAGAACGGCTCCCTTGGCAAAGAATGAATTCGTATCGTTAGGGGTACCGAAATAGATGGAACCGATAATCAAGGCCATGATGATCTGGCCCACGACCGTGGTGACCGTCGCAGCCATATCGTTCATCGTTCTCTGAACTGAACGTCTCATACAGAGTGCAAGCTGCCTGGGAATGGAGAGTACGTACGGCGAGCCGGGACGAGCATGTTTCGATTGCTGTTCACGGTGCGACTGTTGGAACTGGCCCAATGAGATAGAGCCAGAGGTGGCACGCTCGTTGATGTCCATTTCTTCGTGGAGAATCGCATACTCGTCGGATCTCTTCCAGTAGGCGACAAATTCATCTGGCGTTCGAGGAACCCTACTTTCGAATCCAGGTCGTGGGATTCGCTCGGATGGATTAGTGACGGAAGTCAGGAAGTCTCCAGTAGTCTGTCGTGCAGGGCATTCCCAACCCATGTCGATGAAATACTGCCTGGCAACGTCCGTTGGGCCAAAGAAGATCTGCCTTCCCTTATAAAGAACGATAGCTTTGTCGAACAAGTCATAGATGGCCTGCGAGGCTTGGTAGATGGCTACACCGTGACACATGCCATTCGTCTTCGCCGCAATCTTCAGAGATCGGGTGAACTCAAGGGCGGATGCAGAATCAAGACCTCGAGTAGAGTTGTCCCATCCACATATGGCGCTTCCACCCAGCGCCATCTCAGCAATAGAGACACGCTTCCGCTCGCCACCTGAAACTCCACGAATGTAGTCGTTACCAACTTTAGTGTCTTTGGCATGGGTAAGCCCGAAGAGATTCATCATCACCTGCGTCAAGTGCTGCATGTACTCTTTTCGTGATATGCCAGCGAATCTTTTATCTGGCGTACGAGCTGCAGCAGCGAATTCGAGCGTCTCATTGACTGTCAAATGTGGAAAATGCCTATCGACTTCTTGGTTGTAGCCGAGATCGCCCTTGAAGTGCTTGACCATGGTCTCTTGAGGAATACCTATAGATAATTAGCGTTTGTTCATCCGTCCGGGGGATATACTCACCATTGTAGTTGATCACTGAACCATCGTTGATGTGTAGCCCGTGTGTCTCTCCACAAATCGTCTTCAGAAACGTAGAGCAACCAGAGCCAGGCCGACCAAGCACGATCAGCATTTCACCAGCGTCCACCATACCCTCGAAGTCGTGGAGGATCATCTTCTCTTGCCGTTTGCCAAAGCTGAAGTGCTCTCCCAGACGAAACGGGAGCATGAGTGGATCTACGACATCCTTCTGAAGTTGAAGCGCATTTCCAGATCCAGAAACATTAAGATTTTTGAAGGTGAATCCAGCTTGTCTCATGGATATGTGCTCTTCTTGGGACAATTTGAAAAACATTCGCGCCCATTTGTACATGTCAAACTCCGGCTTTCTTGGATCCAGTACAGGGTCACCGAAACTGACGCCAGCTAGCGTATCGAGTCTCTGAATCTGTGATCCATCGACTATCATCGAGGTGGGCCTCGAATGAGCGGTGACAAAACTTTGAGTTCGAGAAGCGATTCCACGGATGGCCTCGACGGCTTCGGGGTACGCAACGCTGAAGTAGTCATCTATGAGGGTTTGTCTCGCGGATATGGTAGATTGTCTTTTTGATATCATGGATTGCCTCTGTGACATGCGTCCTCGAGGACTACCAATGGGCTGATATCTAAGACTTGCATCGTCGACTGAAGAATCGTCGTCCACGATGAGTTCTTCTTCTTCAGCCTCTTCGACGAATCCTCCAGGCAGGCCAGGGTATTCTTCGCTAGCAGACGGCCGCGAGCCGTCTGTAGGAATATCATGGTGGTAATCTCCTATCGTTCCAGACATATTGGTTGCTGCTATATCTGGTGAGGTAAGGAGTGAAAGCTAGGAAACCAAGCTAGAAACGAGAGCATGAATAAACGGGGAGAACAATGAAATGGGAATGATTGAATTGACTAGTATTGAGTTGGTGACACAAAAAGTTCGGCCAATAAAAGTCGGGCAGCGAAATGTCGGGGAGCGGGCTGTAAGCAGTGTGACCGTACAACACAAAGAAAGGAGCAATGAAACACTTGATATAAAGTCAGAATCAGCCCCAACGCGCGTTTCGTCCGTCCGTCCCAGACCATCAGAATACATTCACCCAACAAACTCTCACTTGCAAGCATCATGACGTTGTAGGAGACACCCGCCCGACATTTTCAACGGTGCTCTCTCCAACGTCTAGCAGTAGCGTGGCTGGGCAATGGAGGACCTCCGCAATCACCAACGATGTGCTTATGCCACATCGGGACGGGCTTTGTGAATGGACCGTTCTTAGCTCCATCGATAAGCCTTCGGGATCTACAACAGGGGCAGTGCGAGAGATGCTCATGCGTCATGATTTCCGCGCGGATCCGTTAGCAGCCAAAGAAACAGCACGTCTCAGGCCCAAGGTGACATTCGAGGCCTTCTCGGGAACGGAAGCTCCATAGTTCCAGGGACGGATGAAGGCAGGACCCAAGCCCTCAGGAACCACAAGTACTACAGTGTTGAAGATTTACGACCGGATGACAGCCGTGTACAACTTCGCAATGCCCTGTCATAGCTGGCACGTTGAACGATGTATTACTTGCTGAGTGCCTGGATGCTCCCGGCGCAGTCAGCACAGTCACCATAGTCGCCTCGTGCTGTGAGATTGTTCTACCCGTAGGGTGGTAAGCCCTTGGGTTTGGACATAAACGATGCATCTGCCTGCAAGACCTGCGTGTTAATATAAATACTGAGGCCTTGGTTCACCAACCAATGACCCAGCCTGACTCAGGGATTGAGACAAAGCGAATGCATGCGGATGGTTTCCCTAGACAAATCTCGGGGGGCCCGGACGGAAAAACAGTTTGAGCGACTCCGTGTCCCGAGGTCCATTTACCAGCCACGCCCAGTCTAGCCAATCACGTCATCCTGCAATGACCCTCAACCCCCCAAAACGTGGGACGAACTGTGAAGAACCATAGCCATCCGATTACATGATTCTTATCACTGTTCCATTGTCTGTTTATTGCAATGTCTAGTCAGATTCTCATTGTTGGCGCAGGCGCTATTGGGGCGTTCTATGCCTCGAGGCTGGCTCAGGTAGCCGGCACACATGTATCTGTTGTCTGCCGTTCCAATTACAGTGCGGTCAAGAAGAATGGCTTCTCCATCAGCTCACCACAATATGGAGATTATAACTTTATACCATCCAATACATTTGCAAATCCGGAGGAAGCCAGAGCAAGCAAAATTCAGTGGGACTACATTGTTGTGAGCACAAAAGCACTGCCCGACGTCAACGACGACTCGACAATCCTCGAAGGGCTGGTGCATGACGGTACGGCAATAGTGCTTATCCAGAATGGACTCGGAGTCGAGGAGCCTTATTCGAAACGCTTTCCCAAGGCTGCCATTTGCAGTGCTGTTACTATTGCCAGCTGCGCGCAACCAAGTCATGGACAGATCAAACACAACCGCTGGACCCGCATAAATAGCGGACCATATCTTCCCCATCTTGATACCGGCAATGCACGCGACTCTGATGCTGGGATAATTGAGAAGAACGACAAATTTATCGAGTTATTGAAAGACGGCGGCATTAAGGACGCGAGCGCATATGATCATGCAAAGTTGCAACTCGTGCGTTGGCACAAGATTGCAATCAACGCTTCCATGAACCCATCGTCTGTACTGTCCGGTTGCACCCCCAACCATACCATGTCGAATGATAGTGAGCTCTACCGACATCTCAAAGGCGTGATGGAGGAAGTGCTTGACGTCGCCCCTAAGATACTCGGGAAGCCTCTGCCCAAAGAGTTTGCAACCCCTGATCAGATCCTGCGAAGCACGCAGAAGAATACTAGTGGAAGCAAGCCTAGCATGGCTCTAGACTGGGAGCAAGGGAAGATTATGGAATTGGAAGTCATCCTTGGCAACCCTATCAGAATTGCGAGAGAGCGAGGGTTTGAGATGCCACGGCTGCAGACACTTTACGCTCTGCTTCGCATGGCACAAGAGCAACGCGAGAAGACGAAGATCGGGAGCAAGATCTAGCATCAGATACTTTTGGGTATATCTTTTATCTTGAATTCAATTCATATTTTTTTTTTATCTCCGCTAGTGCAAGTCTACAGTGTCTTGTCGTGTATTGGTAGTAAAACTTGATACCATCATTGCAAGAAGTTTTCAACCAGTGCCATATCACTCCATGTACCTAACAAGATTAGCCACCTGTTACACAAAGTGGGTGCTCCGTGTTTTAGAACTTGAGACACCACCCAATAGGACCAGAGAGAAAACAGTACTTTACTTTCCAAGGACGAGCAAATATTTTCTTGTTCCTTGCTCTTCTAGAACATGTGGTCGATGCTGTACACACCCCAGACACACTGCCAAAGAATATTGCACTTGGGTCCAAATAAGCGAGTTCTTGTAACATAATAACGCTCTTAGGAAGTAAAGATTCTATATGTTCTCTTCACTCAAAGGAAATGTACCTTGGTTGGGATATCTTGCGATAGTTTGGAGTGAATGATAATGCCATGAGCTCCACACTTTCTGTGAAGACTGCATAGTCCATGGATGAAGCACTAAAGCTGTGTCTATATCTAAATCGATTTGTTTGTTTGTGGGTCTGGGCAGGCTGCTATTACCTTCATGTCCTTCAAAAATCTTTTCAAGTTTTCATGAACTCACCGCTACGGGAAATTACACAGACTACTGCCTAGCAGCACGGTGTGTAAACATTCTGCACAAACAGTGAAATCACTTGCCAAAAGCATGCCAAGGCAGTCGCCCATTCGTTGCTAGGCGCTCCAGGATCACTTTGAACATTGCCCTTAGATACAGGCACGACCTTTACTATTTACAAGGCCTTCCTCTCTCTTTAACTTCTTAGAAACTCTTTCCAACTCCTAGACACCAACTCGTATATCGACCTGCTAGTTCAAGTCTTATCGTACGAACTACCTCTACACACTAAGCCCTAAAGCAACACTGTTCAGTGACAGCCCTATCACTGTTGAACTGTGTAAACTGCTTAGGAAATGTTCGACTTAGGTGACCCTCACCTACCGAAGCCTGTCGCGATCATCGGCACGGCATGTCGACTTCCAGGCAAGGCATCGAGTCTTTCCAAACTTTGGGAATTGCTTCTTCACCCACGAGACCTTCTCAAAGAGATTCCACAAGACCGATTCCAATGGAAAGGGTTCTATCGCCCCGATAGCCTCCTCAGCACATCCAAATCCATCAAAGGGTACTTCCTCGAGGAGAACATTCGTAACTTCGATCCAACGTTCTTCAACATCGCCCCATCGGAAGCCGAGAATATCGATCCACAACAGCGCCTCTTACTCGAGAACGTGTACGAGGCAATCGAGTCGGCGGGTCTGACACTTAAACAACTACAAGGATCGGATACCGGGGTCTTTGTGGGTGCCATGAGCAACGAGTATTTTGACAACGCGAATGTGGACGTTGATGGTGCAAATGGAACCCTTTTGACGACCGGCACTAGTCGCTCTATTGCGTCGAACCGTATCTCATATGTCTTCGACTTCAAGGGCCCCTCCATGACTATCGACACAGCATGTTCATCAAGCTTGGTAGCTGTTCATCTCGCAGTCTCTGCTTTACGGCAGGGAGAGTGCAAGGTTGCATTTGCTTGCGGTGCACACCTTAACCTTTCGCCGAATGAGTGGATCGCACTGTCCAAGATGAACATGATCAGCTCTGACGGACGGAGCAAGCACCTCGATGCCACGGCAAACGGGTACGGGCGAGGCGAAGGTACTAGTGTCGTGTGCCTGAAGCTCCTCGAGGACGCGGTGAAAGATGGGGATCATATCGAATGTGTTATCCGACAGACTGGAATCAATCAGGACGGGAGAACTAAAGGCATCACTATGCCCAGTGCTGAGGCGCAAGCTGATCTTATACGCCGTACATACAACAGTGTTGGGTTGGATCCTACTAAACTGGATCATCGACCGTCATTCTTCGAAGCTCACGGAACGGGCACACCAGCCGGTGATCCTGTCGAAGCTCAGGCAGTACAGGACGCCTTCTTTCCTCCTGGGCAAAACTACAATGACGAGGTACTTCATATCGGATCTATCAAAACGATCATTGGTCATACAGAAGGTACCGCTGGCGTTGCTGGATTGCTCCGAGCTTCCCTTGCGGTTAGTCATGGCATTCTACCACCTAGTTTGCATATGTCAAATCTCAACCCAGCTGTTGCCCCCTTCTCGAATAATTTGCGCACGATAAGCAGAGCGAAATCATGGCCAGCAATTCCGGCGGTTACCCCTCGTCGAGTCTCGGTGAACAGCTTCGGCTTCGGGGGTACAAATGTTCACGCCATTGTGGAAAGCTACGATAAACACTCGAAGATTGACCTGGCACTTAAGTTACCCGCTACAAACACACTTCCCTTACTGTCACCTTTTGTTTTCTCGGCAGTCTCAAAGGCAGCGCTGGCATCAGTCATGAAGAGCTTGTCCCATTACATCCGCAGCGTAAAGCACCATTCACAGTTCAGAGATCTTGCATCTACCTTGCAACAACATCGGACCCAGTTCTCAGTCAGGCACACAATGTCGGCTTCAAACTTTGAAGAACTTAGCATCAAGCTAGCACAAGCACTTGCTAGCCACAAAGCTGAAAACGACCTTGAATCTTCCAAGTTTACCGTTGGCAGCGACGTGAAGCCTCGACTTATGGGTATCTTTACTGGCCAAGGCAGTGCACAATATTCGTCCATGGCAAAGTCATTGATCAAAAAATCAAGCTATGCACGCAAGATCATCTCCAGTCTCGACGAGTCATTAGCCAGCCTTCCCGAGGACGATCGTCCGGACTGGTCTTTGATGGGTGAGATGACAGTCGACGATGATAAGTCACGCATGGATGAAGCACTTATAGCACAACCTGTTACTACCGCTGTCCAAATCTTGCTTGTGGACTTGCTTGCCTCCGCTGATGTCAAGTTGGACATGGTCGTTGGCCACTCAAGTGGAGAAATTGCAGCTGCATACTCGGCCGGTCTGATAACAGCCAGGGATGCTATCCGGATAGCCTACTACCGAGGCTTGCACTCGAGTTTGTCTTCTGGCAACGGTGCCATGCTTTCAACGTTTCTGAACTTCCAGGATGCAATCAAGTTTTGTGCACGCGAGGAGTTTCGAGATCGCATTGTCTTAGCTGCCTCTAATGGACCATCAATGACTACCTTGTCAGGAGATGCAGAGACTATCGATAGGGCTTCGATTACACTTGGACAGGAGAATGTCGTCGCTAGAAAGCTCAAGGTGGACAAAGCATACCACTCTCATCATATGAATGAGATCGCGGATGGATATATGGAGTCGATTCGCTTGAACACAGCGAAATCTGCATTACCCGTTTCTGGTGGTACATCCTGGTATTCCAGCGTGTTTCCTGGGCGTGGAGCCGATGTACTCCAAGAGCTCGACCATGATTACTGGGTACAGAATCTGAAATCTCCTGTTCTCTTTTCAGAGGCGGTATCTGGTGTCATGGATGTAACTCACAAACCCGACATCTTCCTCGAAATCGGACCCCATCCCGTCTTCGAGCGAGCCGTAGCCAAGATTCTTGAAGGTACCGATACCAAAGAATATCACTATATCGGTCTCTTGAAGCGGGGTCATGACTCAGTGGAAACCATGTCGGATGCCCTTGGTTCAATCTGGACACTTTTCGGTCATGGTGCAGTCAATCTCGGGAATTACGAGCACAAGCTGAACCCCGAGCATCCGCAGCCAAATTTCATCTTTAATCTCCCTAATTATCCATGGCAGCACAACAAGGAGTATTGGTGGGACAACCGACTTCTTCGCCATCGCCATGGGCAGTCTCGTCGTCCTCTTGAATTGTTAGGAAAGGAAGCTTCGTTGGGGGCACAACACGAAGTCAAGTATCGCTGCTTTGCCAGCCCCAAGGACATCACTTGGTTGAGTGGCCACAGGGTCAATGGAACGATCATCCTTCCTGGAGCATCGTATGTGTCGATGGTAATGACAGCTGCCACACAAATTTTCCTCGCCAATAACATTGAGATGATTGAGGTGAAGGATCTACAGCTGCAGAATGCTATCAGTTTTCCCGAGGAAGACGCCGCTGTTGAAATTATCCTGACTATGTTCAAAATCAACTTCAATTCGCGTTCCGGTCGAGCTGAGTTTGTAGTCGACTTCTGTAGTGATCAGGGACAGGGCGAATTATCTACTGCCGTCCGTGGAGAGCTTATTGTTCGATTCGGGGAGGATGTAAGCAAGGAAGGTCAACGGCGCCCTCCCACTCAGTCCCATCGGCTGGTTTCAATCGATCCCGTTGACTTTTACAACTCAATCGCTCGAGATGGCTATGGCTTCACCGATTCGTTCCGCAGCATAACATCACTTCAACGACGCCGGGACTTTGCCACTGGAGTGGTCACCACAGGGCTGTCTGAACTCCTCTTCCACCCTGCACTATTGGATGGTCTATTTCAAGGAGGCTTGGCTGCAGATAGCTACCCGGAGGATTCTATCGTCTCAAATCTTCGGGTGCCAGCATCTATCAAAAGCGTCAAAGTCTTCACAAATCGTCTGAAAGAAGGCCAAATCCAGGAGTATGGTTTTGATACCAAGAAGAACAACAATGAGTATAGTGGGTCACTGTATGACCGATCATCACAGTTTACCGTCATCAGTGTGCAAGGCTTGATTGCAGCACCTTTCACGGTTGAAACACCCGAGAAGGACATAAAGATGTTCGCTGAAGAGATCTGGAAACATGACCTATCGGTCCAACAACTTCTATCACGACCAATCCCCTCGAACGAACACTTGATACGGCCAGTGTTGGTCGCTGAACGGCTAGCATTGTATTACTTGCGAAACCTCTGCGAGTCGATATCAGTTCAGGAGGAAGCGAATGCTGCGCCCCACTTGAAGAAGCTTCTCAGATGTGCGCGACGCATCGTAGTCGACACTGGACTCGGCTTGTTACCTCACCTGGATAAGCGCTTTCTTGAGGATACTGAATTGACGATTGCAAGCCTTCTTCAACAGTTTGGTGATTTCGTTGGAGTCGAACTAACCGATCGGATTGGTAAAGTCTATCCTTCAATTATTCGAGGCGAGGAAGAGGCTATCAATGTCCTGACGAAGGAGAATGGATTGACCAGGCTGTTCCGACAAGGCTTCGGATTGGGTGAGAGTAACATCGCACTATCCCAATTCATTGCGGCCAAGACCGATATGATGCCAAACATGAGGATCTTGGAGGTCGGAGCAGGAACTGGAGCAGTCTCTGAATTGATTTTGAAATCTAGCACATATGCATCATATACCTATACGGACATCTCTCCTGCGTTCCTTGGCATTGCGAAGGAGAAGTTCCATGGGTATTCTGAAAAGGTCAACTACCAGGTCTACGACGTGGACGAAGATCCTGAAGTGCAAGGCTTCACACCAGACTCCTACGAAATGATAATCGCGAGCAATGTCCTCCATGCATCGTCGAATTTGGATAACACTCTTTCACATCTGCGGAAGTTACTGCGCCCTGGTGGTTACTTAGTCCTGATGGAGCTCTCACCTAACGAAATAATCGTAAATACAGTCTTAATGGGCGGTTTCACAGGGTGGTGGCATCATGAAAACACGTATCGGCCATGGGCTCCGGTGTTCACCCGATCACAGTGGGATTTGGGTTTCAAATCATCAGGCTTTTCCGGAATCGACGGTTTTACTCAAGCGGAAAACGACCTCACCAATGGATACTGCATCATGGTCACACAAGCGATAGATGACAGGGTTAAGGCTCTCCGCGAACCACTGAGTACACTGCCGCCACCGCAAGAGGATTTGCTAATTATTGGAGGATGTCCTGATCTCACCAATGCTTTGGATAGGCTTCTGTACCCATATTTTAGGTCAGTGATCCATGTGGCAAGCCTCGAAGACATCTTGGAACTCTCCTGCATTCCGCAGGTAGTTTTGTGTCTTCTTGAGTTGGATAGACCAATCTTCCAGTGCTTGAAACAGAAAACGTGGGAAGCGTTGCGCACTCTGTTCTTAAGATCCACCAATGTTCTTTGGGCAGACGCCAGAGGAAGAAATCCAGCGAGTCTCTGCGAATGTCTTCTCAACATGACTATAGGTCTACTAAGGACAGTACGTTGTGAAATATCAACTTTGAGGCTCCAGCACCTGAGTGTCGATCAAGCAGACTATCCACAGTTGGCAGAAGTCATCGGTGGAGCATTGATCCGATGGTATCTGCTGGGTCAATTCGCGGAGCAAGGTTGGCAGGACGACGTGCTATTTCCTCACCACACTGAGATGGTCTTGGAACAAGGACAAATTCTCCTTCCCAGAACTGTACATTCGCAAGCGCCAAATGACCGATTCAATTCTCAACACCAACTGGTCATGAGCGATGTAACTCTGGATGATTCAGCGATTGAGGTGCGCTTCCAGCAATCGGGTCTCATTCATGAGGTGTACAGGGCACTACCTCAAAGCTGGGAAGCAGGCCACCAGGTGGGTATTGTGTATTCATCACTGCACGCCATCAAGATCAAAAAGACAGGGTATTTCTTCGTCAGTGTAGGCGTTTGGAACAACGACCTAGTCCTTGTCCTTTCAACTTCACTCGCCTCAACTGTGGTCGTCAAACAGAATATGATACGCTTCAGTGGTAGTTTGAGGCGTGCACCTAACACGTATCTCCACATGTTGGTGAGCAATCTCATTGTGCAGAACGTCATGGCATCCGCTCGATCGAAAGGTGCTTTGGTGATCCTAACGTCAGATTCGGCTTTTGCAGTAACCATTCGACAGATGGTAGAACCATACAAGAAACTGACCTTCGTTACAACGGACTCTCAAGTAGATATTCCAGACGTTGTCTTTGCCAGCCTGAATGCATCAACCGAGGATCTACGTGACCTTTTGCCAGCATCGACCTCCACATTCATCAATCTGTCTGATTTTGAGGATGATGTGGAGCTGTTCAATCGTCTTGGGCCCATGTTTGAGCGGGAAGGAGTTAAGATCAAATCTTTCGAGGAGTTCTACAAGCCTGTTTCCTCCGACTACAACGAGAATGGACAGAGGCTGCGTACCACTCTGCAGACCGTGATTGAGGCTTGCGATAACAACATCCATCATCAAGAGAACATTTACGACCCAAAGCATTTGATGCTCACAGTTGACGAGCTTTCTGGCGCCCGGAAACGAGGTTTCTCGATGCTAGTAGATTGGACCGCACCTGCGAACATCGCAGTCAAAGTCCGACCTTTAGGTTCTACTGTCAATCTCTCGCCCGAGAAAACGTACATCATCATTGGCAGTAGCGAACTATGCCAGTCGCTCGCTGAATGGATGGTTATGCAAGGTGCTAGGACCGTTATCCTGGGTAGCCGTAACCCCGTCGGCCTTGATGCATGGGTTACTCATATGCGATCATCCACTGGTGCTCGTATCTGCCCGATGTCGGTAGACGTTACAAAAGTCTTGTCTGTTATCAAATTGGCTGCGATGACGAAATCCGCGTCCGATGGTGGCAGCTTCCCTCCAGTTGGAGGCATCGTCCACATGGGATTGGTACTGAAGGACGCAGCATTTGAGAAGATGTCATACGAGGAACTGACAGCGGTGACGGATGTTAAAGCGAGAGGAAGTTTACACCTGCATGAGGCATTCAAAGAGGAGAAACTCGACTTCTTCATTTTAACCTCTAGTATATCATACACGACAGGAAATCCTGGTCAAGCGAACTACAATTGTGGAAATGGATTCATGGTCGGACTTGCCAAGTACCGGAGGTCTATTGGTCTGCCAGCATCTGTCGTGGATCTAGGTCATGTATCTGGACTGGGATATATCACTCGGACCAGAGAAGGTACCGCATACAAGTTCAGCAACGAAGATTTGCGTCTTCGTGGAGGTTACCCGGTTTCTGAACGCGACGTGTATCAAATCTATGCTGAAGTAATCCTTGCGAGTCCAGCAGACTCTGGAATTCCCGTGGAGATCATTACAGGAGTTCGGGAAATCGAGCACGACATGATGGATCGATTCATTGCAGCCAAAGAGCCGAGATTCGCTCATCTTCGAGTTCATAAGCAAATTAGCCATTCCAAGAAACACGAACAGCAGTTGTCTCTCCGGGAGCAAATCCAGGCAGCACATGGAACACCCTCCGATGACCTGCAAGACACTATTGCAAAGATTGTTCATGCGGGGTTTGTGAACCGCCTCAGCGTCTTGCTGCACATGAGCAAAGAAGAGATCCCAGAAAACAGGAGCTTGCTGGAAGTGGGCATCGATTCACTTGTCGCGACCGAGGTCGGCAGTTGGGCACGCAAGGAGCTCAAAGTGCAGGTTCCATCTTCGATGATCTTTGGAGGATCTAGCCTATTGGACCTAGTGAAATATGCGACGGACCATTTGGATGAGGAGTGGATCATGGGACGAGAGAATGTAGAATGATCGAGGAAATTGGTCGGGTTCACAAGAACGTGGGTTCGCAAGAGACAAGATTTGATATAGGACCTCAATTTTGTCCTCGCCCTTCCGATGTCTTTCTTTATGTACGATGTAGATAGCCTTGCAGCAGGCACGTCAGGTGCTCCCTAGATATAAATGTGAAGAATCATCAGATATCAGTCGCAGGATCAAAAGTAATTGAATGGGCCCTCAATTCACTTTCAAGGCATCATTCTGACGCGCCGAATTCTCGTCGTTTGTATCTGTGAAGTCAGAATCCACACACGAGGCACCGGTAGGTATCACCAAAGTTCACCCTTTCACTTTCACCTTCACTCATGCATGATCACATTGTTTTTCCCCCAGGCTTCAACCCAAGGCCATATTTAAAAAGGACACCATCCCCCCAAAACGGCATCGGTTCGTTCAACCTTGGCCCTTCGGACCCTTTGCCTGTTGTTCTGCCCTCTTTCTGGGATCGGCAAACTTCCCGAAGGCCTTCACAAGGAACCTTCGATCTCTATGGCGTATGTTCGTAGCAAGAAAAGTAGTCACCCCGATCAGATCTCATCCTGTGAGCGTAATAACTCAAAGGCGCCTGAGTTATTCATGCTTGGCAGCAGCACGATGGCGAAGACGGCCGTCACATGTTCCAACTCTGACGTTGCTACAATAGATGCAGCTCCAATGGAGCCTTCACTTGATGCTGCATCGACCTGGCTAGGTTCTTCTCCTAGGAAGCATCGAGCTACGAAAGCCGGCAAGGCTCACTCAGACAATGGTTGTTATGGACAGCCACTGAAAGGTATATCCCCAGCCATCACTTTCCCAGAGGAAACCACGTGGCGGCTGTGGCAAAACAGTCCCTCTCTACTCCGCGTCGCGTGCTAGCCACAACACCTTTTGTTGTTGTTGTTTATTATCCTGCGCGCCGCTAACTCAACCTCATCCAGCAACTCCTCCTCACACACCGCAATCCCACCACCTTTTGCTTCCCCCCATTCGCCTGAAATCCGCAAAGACTTCAACTACTGAGCATTCAATCATGGAAAGGCGTCCGATTGGTGGTCTATCTGACCCAAATAACTCCCAAAACAGCCTCGCGCTCACCATCATGCCTCGTTCTACTACTACACTGCTTGACACTGGTATGATACATGGACGACAAGCACAATCAATTTGGTAATGCTGACTCTCCTCCCAGAAAATGGGATTCCAACACCAGCGACGTCGCATAGCAATGATTTTGAAATTGCACACCTCCGCAACGAGGTCAACGGCGCGCAGAGCGCCAGTAATATCAACACCGTAGAGCGTAAGTCTTTGCATCCCATTACGAGAGTTCCCATTACGAGAATAAACAATCGCCATGAAGCTCTCGCCGTTTGGCAGTTCCATATTTACAACCACAGTGGCCCGCCAGAGCGACGTGATCGCGCACCTCTCTGGCATCAATGGGCGGATATTCAATTATCTGCGCGACCTGGATAACCGCATCGGCTCTCTAGAAGCAGAGAATGCGAATCTTCGTAATCGGCTTCATGATAGTGGATCCAACAGGTTCTCTGTCCAACACGTTAGCGACAGCTTCTACCGTCAGCGCGAGCCTCTGCGCATCCAGTACGGCGGCATCGACGATCGTTCTCGCTCTCGCTCTCCAACACCTGAAAGAGCCGAGCAATCTGTCAGCACATCCGATGCCCTAGACCTTCAGGATGAGCAATCTGCTAGTGAAATCGGTCAAGACGCCACCAGCGGCGGTGCATCCAGGTCTTCTGTTATCGGCGATTCTCTGATTGCCGATGCTGCACCACAACAGGATGAGGATGGCATCCTTACTGAGTGTAAGACGGAGCCGCAGTCGCCCTCAAAAGGCCGCGGCAGGAAGCGCGCTCGAAACGTCGCGACAAATAAACGTGAGGTCCACAAGTTGGACAAAGTTATGGTATCGTCACTCGTCAGGATGCCTAAAATCCCGATCACGGATACGGAAATCATCGTGTAAGTGCCTCGTAATCTAGTGATGAACCAAAGCTCACGCCTGTAGCTATTTCTTCAATTCCTTGTCCCGCCCGCTCGTCGCAGGCCGCTTGTATTCGCGTGGCTTTGGTCCAGCCAAGATCACTGACAGTACGTATCGCAAATCATTTTTTCGTGATGTATCTGACCGCGTTATAGCCATTAACGAGCATCGCGATCTCGACCCGCCCTTCCTGCGCAATACTTGCTCTGTAAAGTGCGTGACGGCAATCAGGCGAGGTGCCGAGAGATTCAAGTCAGAATGGGAATCTATTCGCGACCAGTTCAGCAACGCCAGCATCGCCGAAGCCACCACGCTCATTCGCGACCGCGACCGCGAGTCCACGGAAGACATCGATGTGCGCGAGCTTTTGACCGCGCTGATCAAGCATCCGGACGAGGAACTGCACGGTGTAGGTGGAATCTTCACTCGCTGTGTCAAGTTCTGCGAGGATAAGAAGCTCTCCTGGCCACTCTCCCAAATCGACAAGCTGGCCGCAAAAATCGAGGCCAATGACCTTGCGGACGACATCGCTGAGGGAATCGCTGAGGACATTTCTGAGAATAATGGCGACAGTTCCTCTGATCTCGATTCCATCGACGAGGGTCTCTACAACGACCTACAAAACTACGTCGCCGATCACGAATCCAAAGATCTCAACAACATGTAAGGTTTCCGCGCCGGTGAGAACCCTGCTGTTGGCCTCCCGAACGCCTTCCTACGGATGTAACGAAGCATATGATAAGTCTTCCCGCTCTTGTCCTTGCATTCTTGGCTGTCTGACTAGGGGTTTGCTGTTGAATCTCAACGGGAACATCAGGCTTGTAATATTTTGTTTGTTCTGATTCATGTTTGTGGTCTTGTGGGCGCGGGGCTTGGCCATGGCGACAATCGAACTGGGTATGAACACTGTTAATGGTCTCGGGATTGTATGATGTACGGAATAATATGGGAATGGCGTCTGCGGTTTTTCAACTCATGTAAACACACCTCCAGATGGTTCACATGGTTCACATCAAAAACTCCTGTTAACGCGCGTCGGGCAAGCTGGTGGTATCGCCTAGCTACTCATTCAACGCAAAGGCGGAAGCTCAGAGTGTGTGTAACTACAATCAAATAATTCTCAAATCACTTCACGCTATTCACTGTGCACATTGTGAATACGATACCGGGCGTCAGTAGCCACACTTGAAAGAGCTTTGAGTAATGTTGCGGATAGCGCCTCTGTAGTTGGGCGTACTGTGATGCTTCCTACTACAAAGGTAGGATAAGTAGATGTTTACCTTTGTCGACAAGCCTGGCGATGTAGGTGAACTGTGCCTCAATCTCTCTCGACAACCTTAATCGATCTATCTACTCCCTGCCTAGTGCCTATCTTCATATGCGAGATTTCCGAACAGCTTCATCTATCCTGAGACACCACCACAGTAGCCACAAAGAGAAGAGCTTTGGTATGTTAATACTCCACTTAACTTACAGAATCATTCGTACCTCAACTATACACGCATAAAGTCGCAGCACGCTCATCATCTGCCCCTACTATACAGCGATTCATTGAGATCTTCCCTCATAAAAGCGTCAAGGATAGGGTAACAGCTTGTCCACCTTTATTCAAGATGTACCACGTTCGAAACACGCTAATAACATCAGTTATTGCATTCTAGTGTTCTAACCATCATGGATACTATAGAGTTTCGCCCCCCTACACTTTCATTTGGGTGAATGAATATGCTATATCTAACCATACGCAAGTTCACTCACGCATGGGCTTCTCTTAGGCAAGGGCACTTGGATTTATTACTGTGCGATTTAGTCAGTGTTATATTAGGGTTTGTGAATGTTGTTGTCCGAAGTGGAACTGGACGCCCAATCTAGTGCCGGGACGTCACTGTAGGGGAACTATACGGGATGTTGATGGTGGTTGTCCTCTTTCGGTACTTCTAACTTCTATCGCCTCTCGTGTGCCTTGGTCAACTTTCTGAGGTTGGTGTAGTTTGAACGATGGTGAGCGATAGTGCTCTTCGAGCACTACAAGTGGTTATTCTCATCTGAAGGCCTATCCAAGCGCTTGATTTTGAATCAGCTCCATGAGGTTGATGTAAGTAGAAATACTATCTGGTGATAGATTGTTGAAGCCAGGAAGAGCTACTGTTCAAGGTTAGCCATCTCGGAGGCTCTAGTGAATTGTTCCTCTGCTATTTGGGCGGCGATCGAGTAATGTGTCTACGCAATTGAGCATGGTCATCAGTGGAAGAAGGATCAAAGGCAAAAAGAAAACTCCATTGGGGTACCAGATCCGGTCTGTGCCGTCATCTGTACGTCTTATCTTGTAACCAAACGCCGTCTAATTGACCATACTTCCCAGTAACTACCAGGGACCACCCAACTGACTCAGCTCAGCGAGCTGGTCGCCATCTCCTCCCGCCTCCAGCCTCGACTCGATCTGGGAGGGATACCAAGCCTCCATGAGGCTGGTGATCCACTCCGCCCGCTGGTCCTGTGCGTGCTCCAACTTCCAGAGCCGCCTGTTCCACTGCAAGTGGCTCACGATCCTCATCTTGATGCCTGGGAATCTGCGTAAAAGCTCCCCGAGGGGCCCCAGGTGCTCCTGGTAATCGTAGTATTGGCTTGTAGTCATACCACTCGGCAGAACGACCGCGAGGTCGAAGGTTGCTTCGCCGTGGGCGAGTTGGTGGGCGATTATGTTGAGGTAATGGACCCTTTGGGCCACATTCCTCTTGGTGTCGAGGATTTGCTCCAAGAATCTTCGGCGTGCTGAAGCCCGTCAGTCATGTTGTCGTAAATGTAGAAAGCGAGAGACTTATCTACGTGAGGCTCTGATCGAGCCCCTTCACCATCCCTCATGAATCGGGAGGTTTGCTCGCAAAGCAACTCGAGCAAATCGTAAAAGTGCCCGGAGACGATCGCCTCGAACGAGCAGGTGATCCTGGGTCTTACTTCGAGGAGCCAATCGTTGACTGCCGAGTCAACGATGCTGCTGGCTTCCCCGTGAATGATCCCACTTGATGCCAATAGGCTGGTGGAGACTGTGCCAATAGGCAGGATGATGTAGTGGGGATAGCGGAAATCCCGAAAGCTGCTTCGGAGTTTGATGTATTTGCGTTCGCGTGGTATATTCTCGTATACTATTAGGCGAAGCTCTGGTGGGAGAGAGAGGAGAGGAAATGGTGTCTGCCCTGCGTTAGCCATGTTTCTTCTTTGGTATTCGAAGAAAACAGTGCAGTTAGGTTGTTGGTTTGAAGAGGAACAAGGTAAAGGCGAGGGGATTTCATATACAAGGTTCGCTTGAGATCCCACTGAGAATCACTCACTACATTGTTTTTGCTTTCACCTTCACCTGAAGTGCCACACTATTGACTGCTACTGAGACCTTTCACTCGCTCGGCTACCACTTCTGCTTCACTGATCGATAATGAAGGCGCTCTAAACTACTCTGTCCATCGTTCAGACTTCTGGCTATCTGTGCTGCTTCAAAGGCCTTTTTAGTTGCTCTGTGCCCAATTCAAATTTCTGAACGATCTGCGCTTCGAGTGATAATTCGACCTCACTGCGGTGACATGCCAGACTCAGGACCCCAGCAGAGGTTCTCATCAGCAACAATTGGTATATTGAGAGGCGGGGACTGGAGGTTGAGTGGCTGGTGAGTAATATCTTTCAATTGTTGAAGAGCTGACAATAAAGGCAAGAGCACATGCTAACTAAAGGTAATCACATAGGATCAAAACGCAACCCCACGAAACACCATAGACGACGTCTACGATTCCTCCCTTCACCTCCCAATATACACAATTCGGAAGCCGTTTCTATTTGGGCATCGTTTCACTTCCTTCTGTTTCGGCAAGCCGACTTCGACGGACCATTCAGTTTGGCTTGGCATCTGGGTGGACAATATGATGCCTCTGTCGAAATGATAAGTATATCGATGATTGTGGCAAACAAGCATGAAAAAGGCTCGAACAGGCAAGTTTCCACATCTTCGAAGCTCGCTATCATCATTAACTGCCTCGTAGGACAGATTTCGAATACGATAATCGTTCCACCTTTCATCGGTTCAACCAACGTCGTTCCTTCATCGCAAACCCGAGTATGCAACCAGTATCGGCCGGAAAGACTACCGAAGGCCAATTTAGCGGAGTGGCCACGAAGACTGGTGTTTCAGAATCATAATGTTCGATAATTGGTCTGCAATCGCGAGATGTTCACATTCGGAGCACAACTGGCAACCTCGCATCACTGCGGGGGGCTAGCTCGGTCCGTACATTGCTCAAATTCGGGACAAACAACGGGACGGGAGTATACAGCAAAAGTTCGCAGGCCCTAAAAAATTCGGATTACCCACCTTTCTTTGATCAAAGTGCTGTGGGGATATCGGAACGGCCATGCTACGGTGCTAGTCGTGCACTACGGCGACATCAGGGATAGCGGCGTCAGCGACCGACATCCGCGCACTAAGCTCAACGGGCCATACTGGCTCGATTGTGGGAATCTTGCTAGTGGTGGACGAGATGCAAATGAGAAAATGGAAGAGATTGATTTGAATAATTTGCGTGGGTATATATACGTAAGTTTTCGTCGAACATTCATCAAACAAGTCAACCATCAAGTTTAACAACTTGGCTAGGTGGCGCAATGGTAGCGCGTGGCCCTCCTAAGGCCAAGGCTGTGGGTTCGAGTCCCACCCTGGTCGCATTCGATTTCTTTTTTTGCTCTTTGCTGATCTTCGACCCGATCACAGCCCAGGGTAGATTTCTTTCTTTTTTCCCTTCTCTTACTCTCTCTGTCCATACATTCTAAAATAATATATTACTTGTTGTATAGGGTTTTATATCTATTACTTATAACTTTTGATGCTGTAGCTCTAGGTTTTAAGGTAAGTAACGGATCAAAGTTGTTGAGGGTGACACTGCAGCTGTGCCACCATGAATGCGCACAGTCAATAATGGCCGTGAGAATCGCACTCCAAACACGACACGAGCACCGTGCAAGGCAAGTGCAAGATCTTCGTTTGAGCGTCCACTATACCTCTCAATCATTTGCCTGAAATGTGGGTGCAAAACAGCTGCAATCTACTTGCCGCGCTATCGAAGCCTCCATGGACGAAACCACTGAAGTTGGACCTCCATATCACAATGGACGGCGAAGAACGCATTCCATTCCATTCATACATCACGTATGAAGACGCTCCACCCTATACTTCATCGCAAGCCGCGCTGCTATCACGCTTCACCCAACTTCCCACAGAGCTTCAACTGCGCGTCCTGGACTTCTGTTCTGCGCCTACGCTCTATCGGATGATGCACATATCCATGCTTCGCAACGAAGCTGCAAAGCGGTTTTGGTCACAACCGGATACATACTATCTCGTCCATGCTCGCTGGCTCTTTTCAGGTGGGCACGCAGGCTATACATGCTACGATCTGTCCTTTATGGCTTACGTGCAAAATGTGGAGATCGAGTACGACCCGTTCTGTGATAATAGAATAGCTCGTGTCCGAGGAGACGATGATTATGGGGTTGATTACGATAAGGTTCGACCGTTTTGGAGGGCGTTTCGAACGAGATTTCCTCGCGCAAAAAGGGTAGTCTTCAATAAAAACTGGGAATCGTGGACTCCATACGATGAGCCCGTTGCCTGGACTCTCAAGGCAATCATCGAGACATGCCCAATTGACCTCGAGATTTCGGCTTTCGCGCTGATAGAGAAAAGCTCTGGTCGCGGAAGGCGGACTGTGCGTCCTGTTGCGAAGAATTGGCACAGAGTGCTCTTTCGTCTCGCAGATGATGGCAGATGGAGGGAAGTCACTTCGTCTAATTTCGATCGCAAGACCGTTCTCATGCCTCCTAAAAGATTTCACGGGCTGGTTGGTGAATTCAAGGGAATCTTGCATCGAAGAGACATGATCGATTTGCGTAAAGAAGGCCTCAGGGCCATCGCAATCGAAGCTTTGGATCGACACTATTTTTGGAAGGAGGATCCTGAGCCATTTCATTGCCCTGCGCGTGGATGCCATGCCTACTTCGAAAAAGCTGGACAGTGGACGCAGCATGCTGCAGAGGCACACATGGGGGACATGCTTGAGGCACCACCTGAGATTCTACTTCGCCCAGTACTACAGAGTCTACCTCGCGCATTACAACAGGATTTCGAAGAACGCAAGAACAATGTGATAGAAGGGTTCGAAGCAGAAAAAGGAAAGCTTAAGAAGCTCTTTAGCGATTGGAATGAGGAAGGGGGCAAGAAGCAACGGGAGCTAGAACGGGGTTTTATTCATCAGTTGGATAACGACGAGGCATGGAACACGGGGGTACATGTATACAACAGTGCGCTCTTGAGAGAATTTAGGGATATGATGGATCCAAGGTGGGCTGGATACTGACCACGGTCACACACACACTATAACAGTGCTTCTCTGTTAACAGCGGAGGACAAATATGCCGACCAAGCAACGCCGACCATATTAGATACAAGCAACCTGTACTGCAGAGGTACATAAAAGAAATTGAGATATTGAACGCCTGTGTTCGTTAGATTTATTTCCGCTTCCTCGAAGCATACGCACCAGGCCAAAGCATATAATTCCTCAGCAACACAGTCCAGAAAGAATCTTTAAGACCTTGACTTGCACCATTCAATCGAGTTTGCAAGGACGATGAGTTTGGTTGTAATAGTTCTCGTAGGTAATACAGGCCGACAATCGAGACGGGCGCAAAGACTGTCTGATCAAGGAAAACCCGAGCTACGACGCTGTGTGTCTGCGACCGAAGCGAAACCTTTCTCTGCAGATAACCATACCTTGAGCACCCTCATCAGCAACGCTAAGTACGAAGGGCAAAAGTCGTCAAAACAAACCATATACTCATAGAAGGCCCAAGGGCGCATCCGCCAATAGTGGTCATGACAGCTGTTCGTTTCCAATTCCATTCTTCCTTGCTGCCGGCGTTTTCAATCTTCTGTGCAATTACATCTCCAATTGTATAAAGCGTCTATGTATTAGAATATGAGCGGAGTTTCGTGTATTTATTGGAGGTTCTATCCTACCGCAGCTGTGCTGCATTGCACCATGAGTGGTCGGCGACCAAGCAGCTTGTTATAGGCTCGAAATACCATCTTTGAATGATACTCCTACATAGTGTTTTGATAACAAAATATGCGAGAGGTAGCTATTTGAATTCAACAGGATGGACTAAGTTGCTGCTTTCACCAATGCCGTCCATTGAGGTTACAGCATAATGCTTCTCCTATGCTGTCAGCTTACCTGTGCAACCTGCATTACGAATATCAGTATCATTTATGTGGGATGTCGGTACTCCAATGAGGTAAATAGTGAACTTCGCTGTATGTATTCGACGAGGGTGCTTGATGGGCAATGTCGTGGTCGCAATGCAACCCTGATGCTACGTCCTCATCCCACCAATCAGCAACGCTCACTGCATGATAGAGACTTGGCGAAGGCATCAATAAAAATGACATCGCGACCATGCTGCAACAATAGTATAGAATCAATTGAATTCGAAAGCAGTTTGTTTTGCTGAGATGGCTCTTCGCTCTATGTTAAGCCGCAACCTTCGTGGGAAATGTGGAACTCGTTTTCACAATCACGCTTGTTCATTCAATCAGATAAGGTCTGCTTCAAGTGCTCCAGCAAATCGATCAGAAGGGTCTATAGGAGATGCATTCGCCACGCTTTCAAAGAGCCAAACGGAGCTACCTCTTCGTTTCTCCGCTTTGAAGAAAGAAATCGTCGGCGAGAATGGCGACGCCATACTCGATAGCTGGCACCGAATCTTGGGACACATAAAATCCGACACAATTCCTCGAGTACAAACAGAGTCCTCCGCTGCGGTCCCCGAGGTCGAGTTCCGAGCCATAGCTGAGAACAATGGACGTCTTCCACCGGGGATCGAGCTGGCATTGAAGAAGTGCGGCACCATCATAGTAAGAGGCTTGGTCCCAGAGCAAACGGCGTGGGACTGGAAACAATCTGTTCGAAGATATGTTGCCGAGAATCCATCGACTAAAGGTTTTCCCAAAGATGACATTCAAGTCTATGAACTATTCTGGAGCAAAGCGCAACTCGAGGCGCGGGCCCATTCAAACATGCTGATGGCTCAGAAAGCATTGAATGCAGCCTGGAAGAAGGATGCTGGAGATCGAGTCGTGCTGTCCGAACAAATTTCGTACTGCGATCGACTGAGGATGCGCACGGTATGTACCCCTACATGCCTAACTGACCAACTGCTTATGGTTCGTGTAGCCTGGAGATAAATCATTCAATCTTGGACCACACTTAGACGGTGGCTCCTTGGAGAGATGGGAAGACCTGGCATATCGTAAATGCTATACTGAAATACTTCGAGGCGATTGGGAGCAACACGACGCCTTCAGGGTCGGTCCACGGCTTGACGCATGCGTGGACATGTACAATGGACCTGGCGGCTGCTCGGCCTTCAGATCATATCAGGTATGTGACGCTCCATTCATCAGTATCCTTCATCCCTAATGTCGACAGGGCTGGCTTTCACTCTCCGAATGCGGGCCATCAAACGGCACACTGCGCGTCATCCCCGACCTAACCGCATCCACCGCCTACACAATGCTGCGACCATTCGTGACGCCAACTTCAGGAGGAGGCTGGCAGCTGGATACAACAACCCCCGTTTTCCATGGCGCAGCAATGGGCGCAGGTCAAGAACTATCGCAGAACCATTACCCACACATCAGCTCCACCGCTTTCGTCTCGATCCCTTTCGTCTGCCCCGGCGACGCTGTCTTCTGGCACTGCGACGCCGCGCACATGGTCGAACACGAGCATCAGGGGGATCAGGATGCCAGTGTTTTCTACATACCCGTCGCGCCACTCTGCGATACCAATATAGGGTATCTGAAGCGCCAGCGGGCAAATTTCTTGGCCGGGCTGCCGCCGCCAGATTTTCCGGGTGGTGTTGGTGAGTCTGAGCACGTGGGACGTGGAACAGTGGACTATCTGTCGGAGGGAGGAAAGAGGGCGATGGGGTGTGCGAGGTTTGATGAGACAGAGGCGGTCGATGAGGTTGAGAGGGGGGTTTATCGGGATGCTAATGCTGCTTTGTTTGACTAAAAGATCATGTAGCTCAAAACGAAACTAGCGTTTTTAAATTTGTTCTGTTAATTCTAACTGTGACTGGTAGAGACTTCAATATAGTTTATTAGGGAGTTGCGGCAATTGGGCGATTCGTTCGGTCGCTTCCGAAATGATGATTTCTTGGTTGAATCAAATCAAGCTCAGTGATATATGTCTATCCTTCAAGTGCATTGATGTCACCCAATAAAGTGGAGAATAAACGTGGGAGAAACATGAAAGTCGACAATCAAGCTTGCTAATAATGAGGTTGATCCAACAACAGTAATTGTTCCTTAAAATTCTAGTGATCCTCAACACTCATATTTACATATACGGATAGTCTCAGGTATGTACACTACATTGCTTGCGCATGCAAGGAGTCACGGATGTTCATGCAATCTCATCTGTCGTGGGCTTCTCATCCAACTCAGGCCTTGACTCCACAACGTCCAAGTCAATACTGTGCTCCTTGACCTTCATCAAAACCACGGGTAGCGTGCACAACAGACTCGCAGGCAGCATGATCCAGTTGCTCAAGAACAAGGCCATATAGGGGTGTTCCAAGCTATCGAGGCGATACATGATGGCGGCACCTGCTGACTGCAAACCCTTGTACATGCCTGCGAAGTATGCGAGACGGCCGCTTGAGTTTGTCAATGCACCCATTAACCAGTACACGTATCTATTATATGCAAATCAGTACACAATGAGTCGTCGGAGAATTGGAAGGAAAGCTTACGTTTGCCAGACTGCATCGAAAAATCCATAGAACCAATACAGAACAAACGGGCCGGGGAAGTTGCTATCAGTCCAATCGATGTGCTTCGTTTCGCCGCTGGCAACGCTCTCGCGAGTATAACCTTTCTGGAACTCGTATCCGCAGCCCCAGATGACCATGGTTATGGCAAAGAGCGCTCCAAGGCCGGCCAAAGCGCGCGTGCGTCGTTGGAACTGCTTCAAGTCGAGGAGATAGCCAAAGAGTGCGGAAGCGATGATTTGGGCTAGCCAGTACATTAGGTTGTTCAGCGATCTGGTGCGGATGTTGAAGCGGGCCAAGTTGACGTCCTGGTGGTATAGTTTAGCTTAGTTGACCGCGGTGATCAAATGTTCAGACTTACATTGAATTGGTAGGTATAGAACCAGTTCGATGCGAAGAACAGGGGAAATAAAGTGACGAACAGTGGTTCAGTTCGTAGAACGTGCCATAAGCCGGTGAGCTCAGCCTTCCAAGAAGGATGCGCGATGACCTCAATACCGGAACCGTCTTTGCGGGCGACTGTGCTCGTCCTTGTCAATGTGAATGCGCAGGCGAATCCAAGCACGGTAAGCGCAAGGAAACCGATGTAGGTCCCATTGCCGACGGCGCTTTGTGTGGAATGGACGTTTTGAATCAAGGGAACTAGACCACCAATAACGGCTCCCATGTTGAAGATAGCCCAGAAAATACCGATGTAGCGGCCTTTCTCTCCCTCGGTCGGATAAGACATCATAATAGCACCCTGTGCTGTCCACAACAATCCAGCTGAGAGGCCTACAATTGCACCTGCGGCGATATTGAAAGCCTCATTCTGGTTGTAGTTGTAGGATAGGAATGATCCGACGTAGATCGGATATCTGCGATAGTAATAAGTATTTGCATAGTCATTAGAGAGCGAAATCCAAAAAGCTCTTACCCAACGGTTCCTAGAATTACAGTCGTCTTCACTCCCAACATGTTGCATATCGTTCCACCGAAAAAGGCGACTGGCGCAAACGTAGAGTAGAGCGCAACGGTCGCTTTGTTTGCGACATCAGCGTTCACTTGACCCGCACCACCAAGCCCGCTAAGTGCGTTGAACATGCCAGGACATCTGCGTTATTAGTTCCATGCTCCTTCTCTTGTCACGTCGGAGACCACCTACAAGAAGCAAATGACTGAGATGAGTATAACTTGGACAATAGGGGACGCATAGTGAGGCAGTTTGATGCCAAATAGGCCGACTCGTTTATACAACCACCCCTTTCGAGGCGCGATGTACGCGATGTCATCTTGAACCGATTTCAAGTCAGACATTATGAACAAAGAAGAGGAGACTGCCGTGGAAGAAATTTGAGTCGCTGGCTGAGATCCGCAGGTTGCGAAATTTCCTACAGATTGTCGTGCGTCGCCCTTGAGCTTATATATGAACAGTCCGAACGCGCGTTCTCCAGATTCCTGAGATAAAGATGTTGTTGCATCTGGGGAAATCTGGGGATTCTGGGTACAACAATCGAATACTAGGGTACCTTAGGCTTCGAGCGGACGACCGGAAATGCACACTGGACAGGTAGGAGATGCCATGGCTGCCCTCGGCTGCTACTTTTCCTACTCTGCTATCGTGAAATTTCGTAGTGGAGAAGGACAATAAGAGTGTGTTGCGCACTATTTTGGGGAGTCCCGTGGGGTGTAACATTGAGTTCCCTCTTTTAGGGGTGGCGTCCGATGTGGTTGGGACTAGCCGATGCCACCCAGCCCTCAGGGTTTCAATCTAAGAGATCTGCGCTAATAGCAATTCCTTTGCTTTCCCTTTCATCCTCCCTTCACACGTGAAGACAAAAGATTGATGGCAACGCTTGCTGAGATGGCTTTATCTTCGATTTCAATCGTCTGCATAAGATCTTCGATATACTACGGGATGATAACACGTCTTTCACTGATGAGCGTCTACGTACATACAAGCCGATAGCCCAGATACGCACCTTTAACCTCTTTCTCCATATATGCGCACTCTGAAGCTGAAACGATGTACGGAGTATTCCAATGCCAACTAGCGGGCTTTTATTGAGCATGGGGAAATGCGATCTTCTTTTCTCTCCAACCCCAAAGTCCCACCAGAGCGGCACCAGGACCTACAATAATCTGTGCACCGCCGAGGGTGGCGATAGCCTTGCATGCGCTCTCTGTTGTGATCAAACCTCGACTTCTTAGATCGAAAATGGTGTATAGGCCATGGAGAAGTGTCGCAATGACCGCGAAGATGAAATTCCATTTCAGAGATATGAATGCCCCAACAAAGCACGAGTCTTGCGCTTGATCGGGTAGATCAAGCGAAGGGATGAGCATTCGCAACAGCCAAAGTCGTGGATTTGTAGAAAACAATCCAACTGCAATGAAAACGACATGACAAAAGGTTGCGAAGGCAAAAATTGCTCTGTAGGCCGTGAAAAGATGCGGCAGGTCGGCGGCTTTGGAGCGATAATATTCCGCAACAGACTGTGTCACTGCCTTCTCGTCTGAACTCTCTGTGGTTACCAGGCGACCGTAACGAGTCGACAGCATCTGGATGAGGATGCTGACAAGGATAGCAGTGAACTGCCATTCGAGTTGAATACCTTGGTGTAAAGAAGTTGGTAGGCTTGGAATGAACATTAAGAGAGTGGGGAGGACGAAGCCGAGCAAAATGGAAGGCAGGATACTCATTGCAATGGTCCTTGGAACATGGCGTCCGACTGTTGTGATGAAGAATCCATTACTTGTTGACCATAAGCTGATGAGAAAGTAGAGTGGAGCAATTATCCCGATACCCAAGATACTCATTGCAACACCATATATGAAGGGCCTGTATATCGTCAATCAGATGGACGACCAAAAAGGCATACAAATAAAATACGTACCATGACTGAAGGCCCCCACGAGCACTTGAGCGGTTGCCCTCTATATACCATATAAGGAAGATGGGTACTAAGAAGAGAAAGAGGTTGAGTGCCTGGACAGTGTGACCGGGATCCGTCCATCCTACAGAACCGGCGAAAGGAAGTAGGATGATTTGAAAGACGTTCTCGAAAGCCGCTATGCCAGTGAAATGCGATAGAATCTTCTTGCCTAGGATATGTTCGGGCGACGGAGTATGAAAGGGAGGCTTAGGGGTGACGTGTGCCAGGTAAATGCAAGCTGCAAAGCAAGCCGTGGTAAAAATCCGCACGAGTTTAGTAATTCCTTCCTCAAGAGGAATCGCAGGGCAGTCTTCAGAGTAAGGCTCGTAATGTGCTCGATTGGGGGCATCCAGCATTTTAAGGCGCGCACCGGGCTGGGAGAGAGCGGAGATCATATTAAGGGTGGCCTCACCATCAATTAGATACTTTGCGATCATCTGGGAAGATAAAGAGTCTCGCGCTTGAACACTTTGCATCAGGTGGGAGATTTGGTTCCTGAACTGTGCTCTGTCCATGCGTTCGGATTGTACGCTGGAGAATATTTTCGTGAGAGATGTAGTCGTCAAAGGTTTTCCTGCTTGTCGCAAAACATGAAGATGATTGACGAGAATGGCTACATCTTCGATTGCACTATTTCCTCCCTGTCCACCAATAGGGTTGAACTGCAACGCATGTCAGCAAATTTGTGTAGTATTGCAGTGAGTAGATGCATGGTGACCTTGTGTACAGCGTCTCCTATCGTTATCATTCGTCCATAATGCCACTTTGAGAAAACCATCTCGGGCAGGGCCTGCAAAGTCGCAGAGATGCGCTGGTCGTATATCTCTCCGAATCGCAAATCCTCGGTGATTGGGTCGTTCGCATGTTCCCTGGCCAATGCATCCCTTTCTGCATCAGTGAATCGTGGAATCTTCTCATACAATCCATACGATGTGTGTTCCAGCTTTTTGAACAAGAACCAGCAAATGCGAGATCCAGGACCGGTTCCTATCACATACGAGTAGTTGTGGCCATCGCACGTGACTGTTGCGGATTGAATGAACTTCGTCATGGGTTTTGATATACCGAATATACAGCAGTACTCAACAGGTACATTGCGCTCTTTGATGGGAAAATATCCGGGACGTTCAGCATCTGCCATTCGCCACATTTCGCGACGAACGATACTATGTATACCGTCGGCGCCGACAAGCATCTCGCCAGTGAATATTGTCCCATCTCTAGTTGTCACACGTACACCATTCATGTCTTGTACGATATTGACTACGCCCTTGCTAGGCAGAACTCTCGATTTGTCCTTGAGGTTGTCGTAAAGGACTTGGATTAGCATCTGCCGTTCTAGAAGGATAGGCGAGTACCCAAGCCTGTCACAGCAATTTAGCATCCAATACCCCCAAATTGAGGAATTCAGACCTACCGCTGAACGAAGTGTTGTGACGCATTTGCAATGTGAGATTTCAGAGTTCCATCAGGATTCCTGATATCCATGTACCCAAAAGCATCTACGCCACTGACCGTGGCTTGTATAGCTTCGTAGCAGCCAAGTTGGTCTAGTATGCGCATCCCATTCGGAAAGACTCCAATGCTGGCACCAAGATTTGGAGCAATATTATCGTATTTTTCAAGGACAAGAAAATCTATGCCAATTCTCTCGAGTGCGTTTGCAAGTGTAAGGCCGGCGACACTACCGCCGGCGATGAGGACCCTGGCGTGTGACTGCCTGGACATGATCAATGAATGTCAAGCTTGCGACTACTAAGCAATTTTCTTAAAGACATGTACCTGATTCTTATAATTCTTGCTTTCCAGCGTGTATACACAGAATCTAGCAGGAACATTGTAATTCTAGTCTCCATCCGGATTAGCAGTGTTGTTCTTGATTCGCCGAGATAGCTAAACGAGAAGGATTCTTTAGACCATATTGTATTCTTGTAATTCACCGGATCCCAACTATTTGGTAATCTCTATTGTGGAGGCAGGCGCATCGGGCCGGGATCCTACTAATATTCAATGCCCACAACCATGCAATTGCGAATTCTTTAGAGCGTTAACTGACTACGATATACTTTCGAATAGGTACTTTAGGTATAGGAGATACACGGAGCCGGCAGGCGCTTAGCCTGATATGCCTGCCCTCTGGCAATGGACGCAGACCCACTATCCTGGATGGAGACTAGAACTATGGTATTTGTGCCAAAATTATGTGGTAGGATTTTAACCAAGATAACCGCCATTCAGGAACTGTTGCACGTCTTGGTGCCAAGCTACTGTTGACCGTGTTGGATACACATCCTGTCGTTGGTGGCTTCAGAGACGTGTTCGTTCGATCACATGAGTAAGCAAAACCACCGCCGCCACCAACGTTCCTACTCAACAAGCAGAAGCGCTGATATAGGAAACTTAACTATTAGTATATAAGATCAGAGGATCCTACAAGTTTCTTGAATATACTTGTATTAGCGACGGGCGAAGATATGTGCCAAGTTTTACAACAATTGTGAAGACGCTACTTGTAGACAGCTAGCTTAATGTCAAAATAAGTTAGAACTTTGCGCATATATTAGTAGTTGCGTATGGGTTGAGATAATCGATAAACAATTTCAGGATTGGAGTACTACAGAGTTGGTGGACTGTAAAATTGAAGGATTGCAGGATTTCTAGTTGCTTCTCTCTAACCTTCAGTCAGAATCTTGTTTATCTGCACTCACGCGATACTTGCATTGCACATGATGAAGATCATTTCTTTAAAAAGCCCCTTCGCCCTCAAGCCTCATAGAACAAGGGACTTGGATATTTCACGGGTCTTTGTGTGCATCCGAGTCTAATCACAGTCATGCGAATGATCGCAAAAGCAATGTCTCATCTGAGTAAAGCTAATTCGTGTACTGATCAGAAGTCTCTCTAGAAGAACAATCGTCACATTCAGGTCGTCAAAGCGAGACCAAATGGTATCATATATGTCTCATCAATCGTAACTATTTATAGAAATCATCACCAGCAGGCATCCAGCCATCCGCCGCCCTCATATCTACCACCACCCCCATCAAGTCTGAGAGTAATACCTCTTCGACCGATCATTCAAAGCAATCATCCTCGGATCCTCCGGCAACCTAAGCTGATGCACGACATGAGGACGATACACAGCGTCGACACGAGGCATCCAGTCATCAAGGCCTAGGGGGAAGTACTCGTACAGCATATCCGCGCTTTCTTCCTCTGGGCTGTAGATTGTGCCTGGCAGGAGTGAGGGAGGGTGTGGGCCTTCCAAGCGTGGTTGTTTCCTCGATGGCAGTGGTTCTGGCATGTGGGGTTCATCTTCTACGAGGTATAAGGGAACCGGTGCAGATGGTGTTTTCAGTGGTTGGGTATGACGGCGGGTGTTCGTCACTGAGGGTGCGAAGGGTGTGCTTAGAGACATTGAAGGTAATGTGTCTAGTGATGTGCCGGTCTCGATCTCGGGCATTTCCCAGCCATCCAGGAAGTCGAGACTTAACGGAAAGCCGTTTGGTTCATATTGGAAAGCGAATCCTGTGTTATCCGTAGGCGAGGAAATTGGTTGCGAAAATTGTACACTAGCCGACCTAATACTTTGTGGTGCGCAGGGACTGATATCTGACATCGTAGTATCACGATCGATAGCTGGCCGTCGAGGTAATGGACGCGTCGCTGCTGCTTGGCCTTTCTTACTAGATGGATTGTTGCTGACCCCAATAGGTATCTCCTTTCGGGACTGGAAGTTCTTGGGGCTACGCCCTCGTACGGTGACTGCTCCGGAATGAACCTCACAGATAGAGACCTGCGCTCCGGTCGCCAATGTCGCTACAACATTTAAGTGCACGACGAAATTCTGCTGGAGCTCTTTTCTTCGGCCGTTGTTCGCAGTAGCGGTTCTGAATTGCAGCCGACTCCAGCTAATGGGGAATTCGACAGATTCTGAATCAACATCCTGGCCGTTAATCATATCCAGTGCCCGCCGTGATGGGATGCTATCCTTCTTGTTGCCTGTCACTGCCAGATCTGAGGCATTTGCCTTCCAAGGTACCGAAACGATTTTAATCGAATTGCCATCCAGTGACTCTGTTGCCGAGACCACAACCTCTTGTTTTTCGATCCGAATTCGCTCACCCGTCTTCAGCCTGACAGCATGGAGGTTCCGTGAGAGAACGACATTGCCAGAGATTTGGAACAAGTTCCTTCGATAGCATGTCAATTCAAGTGGAGGAGACCCGCTGGTATATGGAGACTCGGCAAGAAAGAACATGCCATGGAGCTGCGCAGAAATCGATATCGACGTCTTGCATCCTGAAGAGTCTAATAGATCGACAGGCAGGCGAGGTTTGGAGAAGCGCAGAAGTTGATGGGTTTGCGTCTCATTCAGATCCTCGAGGGTCGGCCCATATTGCTGCTCCGGATGCGGAAGATGTTCGTGCGTGTTTGCAATGTCCGCGAATGGATTACTGAATGAGACAGGCAGTTCCAAAGGCTCGATAGGTGTGGTAAGTGGCTCTGGGTCCCGGGTTGAAGTATCATCAACGTCGCTCCGCAACAATGCTAATAGATCAATCGGTTCCATAAAGAAAGCATTGACGAAAGTATAATAGCGACGGGCGGAGTCGACACCACATTATGTGCTGGCTGGAACGTCGCATTCATCGGCAAAACTTAGTGTCGCTGGATGCTACAGTGACAGCGGACAAGGGTATTACCTTGCGAGTTCGGTGAATAGCGCCATCGCCAAAATCATCCAATAGGAGATGCAGCTAAGTCTACCAAGAAGCTTAAGCATGGCACGTGACCATGGCCATTGATTCACCCATTGTTACCAGTAGTACTCGTGCAATGTTGCAGATGAATTCTCTTACATTGGTAGGATCACAGATACTTTGCTGCTCAGATGAGGGCTGCGAGGTAGCCTTTCTGTGTTCTGACACCTGATGACATGCAACAGACCACGGCATTTTGGCTGTTCAGGACGTTGCATCTGAAGGAAGCCATCTCGTCTAGCATATGCTACCTAAGCTAAGCGATTCGTGTTAGTATATCTTGGGATCTTCAATCAGCAATCAATTATCAGATATCAGCAATCACCTGTGAAATGTAATTATCATTGTTCTCTGTCTGTTCAGTTGGATATCATTTCTTCCCGTTACTCTTGGCCCTCACAGTCTCCGCAATCTCCTTTGCAAGATCCGTTCCAATGGCTTCGAATCCCTCAATCACACCCTCACGATCTCCTTTCGTCGATTCCTGACTCATCTTCGCTTTTCCGCCTAATGACGTGATATCAATTTGAACACCGATGATTGCCTTCTTCATTATATCCAAATATTTCTCCGGTGCATCCTTCGTCTCCCACGGCTTATCGTATCCCATGATGTTCCTCTCGCACATCTCACTCAACTCCGCGACCTGCTTATCCAAATACGCATCCGTGACCGGAGATTTCGAGTCGAAGTAGATCCTAGCTTTCCCGTAGGCCTGCACGGCAGAATAGTTCCAAGTCGGCACGACTTTTGCCGTGCTCGGCTTCGTCTCCTTGTAGAATTTCGGCGTGATGTAGTGGTGCGCGCTGCTATTGAACAACACCATGACTTCTCTCTCCAGGAATCCGCTGCTGCCATCTTCCGTCCTGGAGCCAGTGTTCGTGAGCTCTTCGATCATGGCTTTGGATTGGGGATTCGCCCGCGCCATGTGGCCCCTCAGCGTCCCGAGTTCCTTTTCGTCCGACTCATTTTCCACATCCAGGATGAAGGGAACGTGGGAAAGTTGAATGAGCGGATACGATGGCAAGTTGATGGTAGTTATGATTTCGCCCAGCGGGTTTGCGCGAATGAATTGGCGCAGTGCCGGGATGTGGGTTTCTGCGTGTATTGAGCGGAGATACATGATTGGCGATTTTGCTCGTCAAGATGCCGAATGATTGTGAGTGCACCGCTCCTATATCTATAGAATATTTCTTTTGTATGGAGTCATATTGGTGATAATGATTGAGTTTTGGATAGCGGCGGCTCTGCACGGCCCCACGTCGACGGCGTCTACAGCGAAGGGCGTGGCGCGGGGTCCTCGCGTCAAGTCAAATGTCAAATATCTGACAGCTTATTCGTCTTTCTCTTCGAAAGAACATAGGTTCTGTTTACGTAACTGCAAAAAAGATACTGGTTATAGACGGCTAAAGTTGTACTTTCAATCACACAAATACCATTGCCCTCGGAAATATCAGATCAGAGTCATGCAGTCTCAAAATGCTCCTCTCGTATCTGCCCCATTTGAGCAATAATAACCCGAAAAATCATTCCGAAATTTCTGTCCCACGTGTTTATCTTTGCATAACAACCCAATACGAGGCTCAAAGACCAAGAATGACCGATTCCAGACCATTGTTGCTTATATATTCTCTCTAGAAAATATACGGAAGATGAAGATATCGTCCAAACATGACGTCACATATTGCCCGAGCCCTTGCAATCATAGTCTCCGTATTTGACTCATCGGCTCTTCGTCCGCACTGACATCGGCAATGTCACTCGATCAATAGAGATTGGTCGCGTCCTTGAACCTGAGCTTCGTGGCCGAGATACAGTAGAACGGCTTCCCACCCAACTCCGTGCGGCTGGAGGTCTTGGTGCAGGCGCACTACGGCGAGGTCGGTGGCTGTAGTAGCTGTCGCTGTCATCGTCGTCCATTATATCATCCTTGGGCGAAAAGTATACATAGAGTATACGTAGGACAGTCCCGAGACCGAAGAGAAAAGGAATCGTTTGTCCGGCGCCTGCAAGGGAGTTGATACCGCGGATCTCATTCCATTGGATCGTCAATTCGATAGCCAGGACGACAAGCGTTGCGACGATGATTTTGAACCAGGTCACCATGTTGCGCATGAGGTTTATGTGCGACACTTTATGACGGTGGCTGATGCTCCTCTTAGGATGATTCGCACCAACTGGCAGTCCAACCGACCGTCTGATCATTACCCAAAGAAGATATAGAGCGATGAAGCCCAGGAAGCTGTATAAAAGAGCATTGATGGCTACCGAGACTTTGCTGTTGAGCCGGGCTTGCGCGAACAGGAAGCCGTATTGCTCGCAATTATACCGATCCAGGATAGGGACCCTCGTGAACCAGAACCAGTATTGATAAACGAGTATTCCGACGAGAAGTATGAGCTTCAGGTTCGATTCAAGGATTGTGTGTGGCACAATTGGCCATCTCGTCGGGTTCCAGTAGTGGTCGCATACTGTCAGGATCCGCCAGATGTAGATTGGTACCAGCGCCAGATAAGCGCCGAACATCAACAGAAGCACGATATACGCTTCGACTGGCTGGAGTCTGTTGACGTCGTCGACGGTGAGAATGATCAATGCTAGGAACGAAGCGGCGACGAAAACATTGAGTGTATAGCGCAACAGTCGGACCTCAGATGGTGCCATCCAAGCTCCAAAGATCGAAGAGAGCCATAACAGGTAGTATCCAAGTCGGATCCCAAGCCCATACATGTCCTCGTTCCCCACGAATCGACAGACCGCCATGATGAAAGCCGCTCCGTTGTCGTTGCATCGAACACCTGCGTCGCCGTGTACTTTTAGTATTTATGGGAGCTGGGGGCCATTTTCTCAGCTCTCGGGCCCGGGGTTGGACGTGTACCCCGCTGGATGACATGCAGATGCAGCTGTATCCTGATGGGGAGCTACGTGGGTTGTTTGAGGATAAGATGCAGGCCACGCAGCACGTGTGTTGGCGTGGGGTGAACCCAATAGGTTAGCCGGGGAGTCTTATGTTGTTGGCTATTGATTTTGAGGGTACTGATGTACATGTTGATCTCTCCAAATTAACAAAGGTGTATGCATTGTCATCATAATCAGATCAGCACAGATATCGATCTTAGAGGTTGCCACTGGATAAATGCAAAGAACGATGATGTTCCAAGTCAAAGTATTCGACAATTCAGATGGATCTCGGCCCAATAGGATCAATCTTTCGCTTATTGTGTACTTCGGTTTTCAAAAGTCTCTCTTCCAGACCTCGATAAGATGCAACGAGGTTTAGCGGCTTGGCGGGCAACGTGGTGCTCCTTATTGGAACAATCTATCGTGCAGCAGAACCCTTTGGAAAGCGGAGGAGCGAACGACAACTGCGCGGAATGAATTTGAAAAGACGTGTGTCCCTACTTTCGTATGTACAGAGTACAGCATGTACCAATGCTCAACTCTTGCACGTAGTATGTGTTGGTCACTATTGTCCTGTATTACTTTCTGAATCGTGATTAGGATATACATTATACTGCAGATTGATTAACCAATCACGGAGTGAGCACGTCTTATACTTCTACACTATTTTATGAACGGTCTGTTATCAAGCGAAATGCGTTTATTTCTTTCGGACTCGATTGCTAAATTGCAGAGATGTATTATCTGCTAGCCCTCCAGTACAAGCACCCAGTCCGAATGGTCTGGAGCAGTAGGTGGAGTAAACGTCTCGGTAGACTTTAGAGAGCCATCTAATGCAAAGACCATATACTCACCATTCAAGGGATTGTACCAGGAGGCTTTGGGTCGTCGCGATCTCAAACTAGTTGTCGAGATGGTAAAAGGAACCGAGATTGGAGTGAAGACAAGAATAAATCCACCAGCGCCATCAATGGTTGCGGTGACATGCTCTTCCCCACTTCCATTATCTCCAATAATGATTTCCTGCGCAGGTACTCGAGTGAAGTACGATTTTCGGTCGAGAATTACTTTCTTGACGTACTGGATCTGCGACGAGCCCGGTAGCGAGATGTCTTCTGCCCAGCTCCTCGTAGGACCTGAGCCTGTAGGCTCTGACAACCCGGGAATGTACATTTGCCAAACGTTGTCAGAGCCGTACGTCACTCCCGAGGCTCCGGAGAACACCTTTGCGCAACTATGTTACTACTGTACGCTCTGTTGTAAATCCTTGTGAATCACTTACAGCTTGGTAGCTCCCAATTCGTACATTTGAAGCGTTCCAGTATGCATTTCCTTGCTTAGCATTGTTGTATCGCCCTTCGTAATGTGGCTCGTTGTCAAGTATAGGTCGCTTTTGGTGGACCTTGTACATTATCTCGACCGGTTCGTACCCTCGTCTGGCATTCCACCAAGGAATCGGCGGGTTTGGAGGGAAATCTGAGTGTCCAGATTGTGAAGTATCGAATGTAAGCCATGAACGGTGACCAAAGAACGATGAAGCCAATGCCAAAGGGCCTCCTTCGAACCACTGATTCGTGCAGTGTATCGTTATCATGGCACCTTTACCTTCCCCGCTAACGAGACCAGCAGCCTGTGCCTCATACACATCGCTAAAGTCGGTTACCTTTTGAGCTGGATAGGCACCGCCTAATGCGTAATTTGCCTTGACGGCTGTCTTATTCATCCAGTATGGATTGGTGTCCCCAACGAGCATCTTGGGAAGGCCCGGATATCTCTTTCCAATCCATTGTCCAAAATCAAAAGCATTGCTTTGGTTGACCGGACCGGGTAAATTATCTACCTAGATTAGAATCACCGGGAGATAAAATTCTCAGAAAACAATACCATTCGTGTGAATCAAGTTTCCCCAGGCTGGGACCAGGGCGATGCGAACTTGCTTCTGCCATGCATATTCAATTACGGTGTCGACGTGCTGCCAGTACGGTTCATTGGGCTTTGAGAAGTCCTGGTTGATGAAGGGCAGATCGCCCTGGCGGTTGGGGGTCTTAAGACTAAGCACATATTCAGAGTGAGACAATGGACAGATATCTTGATCATATGATTAACTTACCCTTCCTGGAAAAGAGCTGCCGTCAAGATGACCGTGAACCCCTTGGTAGCTCGATCATCAATATATGTTTTAGCTTCCGTCAGATTCAAATTCTGATAAAGCAACCAAGCTGTGTCAGCCTGCCAAAAGAATGGTTTTCCATCGGATGTGGCGAAGAAGCGATCGTTGGGCTTCAAGCCGTAGGAAATTTGATTAGGAGCAGCCAGCACAGTTGTGCAGTACAGCACACTAGAGAAGAATGCTATGGCGCTCAGTACCATCTTGAAGAACACAATGAGTTTGATTGTAACGAAGCAGCATCAATCGAATACTTATACCATACAATTGTTACATCGCGATTCTGTTAGAAAGGTGAGTCTATTATTACCCGAAATACACACAGATCTTATAGTTTCCCTATTTGAGGCGGTGATCTTTTCTCAAGGCCATGGTGTCGAGCTGCGTTAAACTTGTCAGAAATTAGAGCATACGCAAGATTTTCCATCGATGTCAACAAGAGCCATCATAGGCAATTTCTACCCGAACCGGTATTCATTGAATCATAAATGAATCTACCATATGCATTTGGATTCCAGGGTTTGCGTTATTCTGATTGGTGGATCTTTCATCTCCGTTGATAAAGTTTGAAAGCATCTTCTTCGGGACAAGCTCTTGTTGGCTACGGTTGAAAGTGATCCGGTCTAAGCATTAAAATGTACAAAAAGTACGATGACCCGTCGTATTTAGGGTTTTTATTTACGAACCTTGGTTCTCATGCCGACGCGACGTAGCAAAATCAAGAGCCCTTTCCCCAGAAATTGGTTGCTTACGTAGCTATTACTCCACATTTCGACCACGAGTTTGTGGGGTGAAGAATCAGTATCACGTCAAGCAATGGGCTGTGATATGCGACTGTATCGTGCGTGCCATCTTGATCACTGCAGTGTTTCTCTTCCTAATATAATAAGATAGACGTGAATGCGGTGTATTTGATGTAGAGTGGTAACTGCTCCCACTCGAAAAGCTCATGCTAGAATAAACTCACTATTACAGATTATTCTAGAACTTTCTTCGCAGGTAACTTTACGCGCAATGTTGCAAAATCGAAAATCAAATCATGCAGGAGCCTAGGCTTGTGACCATCGAAACGGTGGCGTCTGTGCTTTATTTTCGTCGTCTCCGATTGTAACTTATGCATATTTCTCAGGTACCATTCATCGTTTCCTACTTCACTACTCAGGTTGGATATCAAATTGAGTCATGACGAAGCTGTCTGCGAAAGAATCTCTTGGTACAGTTTCATGGATGTAGGCCATCAGCTGTTTGCTTTACAGTTCTGTGACAACGATCTTGGTACATCTGACCATGTTCCATGGACAATGTATATATCTTCGCATACCACTTCCCTTATGAAACTCTCTGTTTCACTGACCAGATCATCGGGCTCTCAGCAGGACGGATAACACGTAACACTGTGGCGATGCAATAGCACCTGTATCTTGCTTCAATGACAACGATAGGCTGTTTGGCCGTTACTCATTAGTTCCATTACAATACCGGAAATTGCCAGGTAGCGCAATGTCATTCTCTCCACTGTAGCGTTGAAACAACAGATGGGGAGTACATGAAACTCTGGGCTTGACATCAATCAATGAGGCTCTCTGAAGTAAGATAGATCCCAGTCCATGCTCGTTCAAGTCATAACAGCCTTTGGATACCGATACCTTGTCTCTGTGTCTACCTAGAGGTTGGGGGATCTTCGCTGGAATTATCGAAGTTACAGACTTGTGATAATGCTCTGCCACGCAGTGTCGTACCCCAGCCATTCACTGAGGCGCAGTGGTATGCAGTACAAGTGCGGGGTGGAGTTACACGGCACACCGCATGTCTAGGATCTGACGAAATGATTTGGAAGTGTCTGGGACTCCCAAATGTTGTGACTCCCCACAGCTGCGACTCACAAAGTAGATCAACAGACCCACCTTTGCAGACACTATCAACGAACCTGAGATATCAGCCCGCACAACAGTACGGCAGTTTTTCAAGTATTCATGGTGTCTCTTTCCAGAGAGCGCTATATTGAAATCAACTTTATCGATTATTGGAAATGATAGTTGCCGCATTGATAGGCATGAAGATCCTGCGAGTCATAGATATCATTATAGATCACGTTAGAGATCAGTGTATCATCTAAAAGGGATTCTATTATCATTCTATCTCTATATAATAGTCTTCGATACATTCTATGACCTGAGTCTTCCTGCCTCTGTTCTTCTGGCGTTTTCGACCGATTAGAACAAACGACAAGAGCGCTGTGGACCCTGGATAACCCTTATCGAAACGGAGTCCTACATATAGAACTCCAGTAATGTAAACTGATTTGAGCAGTGGACTACCAGGCAGAAGGGTTTGCTCGAACGTTGTTACTTGCAGCGGAATTTCCGGATAGCGTCTATGGTCGGCCGATTAATATATGCAGCGTTATCAGCGGTCCGCCTACGATAGAGCAATACAAGTTATTCAAGTCTCGACAAAATTCGACGCATTGGAGGCGAACTTACCTAGAAAGAAAATGGCAAACCCTAGCAGCAACACGAAAGTTGGGCAGTCTTTAACGCAATCGGCCTTCCAGCTGCTTTCGTTATCTAGATTATCATAAACCAGACGGCCTTCAACTTCCCAGAATTTCTCTTCATCGATGGTATGCAGACGCCGATCTTCGATATTCCGCCCGACTCGATATGCCCTACATCCTCGTCGAGGTGTTCCTTTGGCTTGGAGAGTGACTTCGCGGCCTGCGCGATCACGATCCGTGAGGGGAGTCTCACTTGTTAGTTTATCGTTCATCGACTGGCAGAATGTCTAAACTCACCGAGCAGCTTTCACACTTATGCCCTAGTGATTTGAAAATTCTTCGCACTTCCGACATCTTGGGGCGTCGTTTTGGGTCGTCATCCATCATATTGAGGATCGTATTGAGGTGAGTTTCATTGATTCCCAACTCTGCAGATGGCTCGTGGGGTTGTCTCACTTTTACTTGTCCTGTGAGCTTTGTGCCGTTCTGTTTTGGATTTGCGAGATTCTTCACCCAATGCGAAACCTTTCCGTCGTTCACAGCTTGGTGGTATATGATATTCGAACGCTTTGACCTGACTAGCGCACTGTGTAAGTTGCTAGGATGGTGCCCCAGTATTACACTTGTCATCTCAAGGAAGACGCATCCTAGAGAGAACACATCCGATGCCATCCCTTTCCGTAGTTTTGCGTCGGCGACCTCTCTTGGTGAATACATGATCGTACGAGAAGCCGGGCCTTGGGAGATGATCTCCGTGTTCGAATACTGCTTGGAAAGGTCGAAGTCGGTCAGCAAGACAGTGTTGGATTTGTCGATAAGAATATTTTCCGGCTTGATATCTCGATGCTTGACTTTATTGGAGTGTAGAAAATTCAAGGCCTCGCTTATGCAAGAGAAATATCGTCTCAGATATATCTCGCGCTCATCTTTAGCTGGTCCTTCTAGTGGGGCCTCCAGTAGTTGCTTCAAATTATATTTCGCAACAGGGTAAGACATAACGTACAGTCTGTCGGGGTCGCCTTTTAACTTGTAACGGCCGAGATAAGCAATAATGTGATTGTGACGAAGAGAATTCCTCTTCATCAATTCGACCTCGTTCTCAGCTTTGATCCTTCCCTCTGTAGTCGAAAGGTTCATAACTTTCACAGCGACAAAATCTTTGTTGCCATGGGCATCCTCGCACTCCTTCGCATGCACAATAGCATTGCTACCGTTCCGAGATATCGTGTCGCGGTATTCGAGTGGATCATTCGAGAAATTAAAGGGCTGATCGGAGATGCGCTTGCGAATCTCACGCCGTGCACCAGATGCAGAACGTTTAAAGTAGAAACGGGGTTGATTCTCGTGGTATTCGGATACTGTCATTCTCGAATGCACTCGGCTCGGAACTGCATTGCTGGTGATGATGTCCTGAGAGCTAGCGGACTCTTCCGTGTCCCTCTCATTGAAAGTTTCATAACTGGGCTTTGTACTCTCTTGACCAAGTACTTCATGTTCTGAGATTCGGGTTGCAGGAGCCTTAGGTGTCATTTGTGTTCCAGTCTGTACAGCGTTGCGGGAGATGCGTTGTGACGGTTCACAGCGTGGTCTAGGGATCGCCATGGAGACACCGTATCGGGAAGTGTCTTGAAGAAGGGTGTGTTTCAAAGTACCAGAGAGCTTGTGCAAGAGTCGAAAGAACGTAAGTGAAGGGAAACTTCGAGCAAAAGGAAAGGAGGGAATGAACTGAGCAGAACAAGCAAAACTGGGTTCAGAGGAATTCATATATAGGGCTACGAAACCGTAGAGTCATAGTATACTGCCTTAGGAGCAGTGAAGGATCCTTGTTAATGTGCACGAGCTTCTATAGCATCACTGCCATATGTGTGACCATTCCATGAGGCGGACTAAAGGCCTATGGAGCTTCCAGCCCGTGGTGAAGTATAATATGCCAAGGGGTATCCCAATGGCGGTGAGATACCTTCTTCTGTTGATACAACGGAAGCGGTCAAGTGGGTCATTCCATCGTTTTCGAGGGAGTACACTCGGATAAGACTGCTTTGCAAGGCAACGGTAACACTACATGACAAATCGAAACAATGTAACAAATGAACCCACTGTGTACCTGTACACCCTCCGTTATGTAACAATGGTATTCCGTCTGTCAGTGTTCATGTACAGACGGCCCGCCCCCTGAATGACTCTTTGATCATTCTGCTTCCTCTCCTCCCCGTCCTCGCACCTCCAATCTTTGCTGGCGCTGATTCTCTTTTCTACACTTCCTAAATTTCATCCCAGCCACCGCTGACCTCTTCGATCCAATGGGTGATCCGTTCTCTATTGCTGGTCTTAGCCTGGGAGCAGCTTCGCTGTCAATTCAGGTGTTCGAGGGCTGCAAAAAGGGTAAGCGATGTGCTATTGTTGGTTCGTGATTCTTATGAATACCTCCAGGCTACGGATACTTTTTTCGGCCGCGAATATGACACAGGAATGCGAGGTATTGACGTTGCGGCTGAAGATGGAATATGCGCGATTCCAGGATTGGGGTGACATCACTTGTCTTGCCGACCATGCTCAGCACGATGAGTATGAGAAGATGAAAATCAACCGACCCCTTGTTCTGGCTATCCTAGGAGAAATCAAAATACTCCTGAAAGACTTGCGAAAAGTCAGCCTGCGTCATACGGAGAGGATTTTGGATGGGACAGACTCGCACCGGTCGAGGAACACTGAAGGCAATGAGGACACTTCTCCAACCAAGATGGGGGATTTGACCATGACAAGAGGAAACTTGATGACCAGTGCAGATGTCAATAATGGCTCCAGCGACCATAACGATAACGAAGGGACGTCATCTCCCAGTCGTACGGAAGACGAGGTGACCGAGGCCATCAAAAGATTCGGAGGCCTGTCTGAAGGAACTTCACAAGGACCATGGGGGTCTAGAAGGTACCCCCGAGGTTTAAATCACATAATATGCATTTCCAAAGGGCTGAAAGATACTTGTGTCCAGCCGCGTCGATGGGTCTGGGCATTGAAGGACAAGAAGCTGGTGGAAGACCGATTACATCGGTTGAAGCAATTGACAGATTTTCTTCATGAAACCGCGAGCGACAGTCAACGAGAGTGGCTCCGCCAGGCAGGTGATCAAATCACGATGGGCATGTTACAACTCACCAAGAGTATCTCAGACATAAACCAATTCTTAAAGGCGCAGAACCAACACAATGGCTCGATGCCTACCTCGGAAACTCCATTGGAGCGCATTACCCGTTTCAGTATTGTTGCCTCGAAGGCGTTAGAATCCGTCAATCAGCCGACGAATCGCATTCCCGACACCGAGATCATAAACCTAAATACGGGGATCGCCACTGAAGGCTCTGAGCGAGAAGTATGCCAATTCCAGGGTCATCATGCATGGATAGAATGGAAGAGGTATAGAGAGATCTCCGTTGCATTAGATGGGGTTCAAGTGGAGACTCAGCCAGATCCGTTTGTTGTGAGCAGCGTGGAACGATTGGTCACGTTGCTGAAGATTCCCAACCGACCGGAAGAGTTTTGCATTCCGGATTGCAAAGGCTACTTCGAAGTGAAAGGAGAAAATCCTCGGTTCGGCCTCATTTACTCGACTAAGGAAACCGGCGCGCCACAACCGTTGTCGTCACTATTCGAGAAAGACCCACCAACACTGAATGAGCGACTCATGCTAGCGCAGAGAATAACCGAAGGATTGGGCTATCTCCATACCGTGAATTGGCTACACAAAGGCATTCGTAGTGCCAATGTCCTTCTCGTTCGCAATACGAAAGCTGAGCTTTGCAACGTATACCTCAGTGGACTAGAGTACGCAAGGCTAGATGAGGCTGGTTTGACAAATACTGCCCCTGTCGAAGATCACCAATGGGGCGTGTATGTCCATCCCGGATATCTGGGAGACAATCGTTTCGATGGATAAAAAAAGAGCTATGACATCTATAGTCTGGGGATAGTTCTACTTGAGATTGCGCATTGGAAACAGGCCGACGAATTACTTGGATTCCAGTGCCATACCCCATCCGGCGGCATGGTGGACGGTAAACCGAAGAATCTCTCTGATCTAAAGATGGTCAGAGATGTCTTGCTCAAGCGTCCAGATGGGTCATCGAACATTGTCAAATCTATCAGGAATACAATGGGGGATAAATTCTATGAAGTAGTCCAAACTTGTTTGAAGGGCATGGAGGCACTTGGGCTCAACGACAACCTTGACCAGACCGACTCCGCCATCGCAACACTGCTCCAACAAGCCTACCTTGATCGAGTTGTGAATTCTCTGAAAGGTATTCGGGTCTAAACGACGCCACGAGGAACAGCCCTGGGCAGGTTTATGTATTGGTCGATTTTCATGTGGAATGGATGTCATAATGCCACAGTCCAATCCTTATTCGAGTGGTTTACTGTGCTTCGGAAAAATTTAGTAGCGTCTAAGTTGTTGCTATTTAGATTATTAACATGAACACGAAGATGAGCTGTGCAAAATGCTCTAACTGATTGTTAGCAACGCCGCTAATTCTTGAGAGTTTCTGGTACTACAATCTGATGCTTCGTTATATTAGATACTACGAATGTCGCCAACAGTGACCATAGACAATGCAATCACCTTCTTCGAGGAGGATTGCATCTTGCACTGCAGTGATGAAAATATTGCAAACAATTAGGAATATGGGGTATTGAATCCCTTCACGATCCCATTATCTTAGGGAAAATACGTTAGAGAATCCAATTAATACGAAAAGCATGCGGGTCTTCTTAAACGTACACTTCCTAGCGATTTGCACGTATTCTCGAATCTTATCAACTAATCTACGTCTATACGCTCGGTCCACAAATCAGGCGCCAGGATCTACCCTACGTGCCCCACTCCTACACGAACAGAAGCCAGATGGTCTCAGAATCCACTCACATCACATTGTATTCATCAGAGGTTCATTATGGACGATGCGGTTCGATTAAGCGCCGAAGGATTTCGTTCCATCTACGAAAGTGGTTTCAAAACCTGGGCTCGGCTTCACGCCAACGTCGAGGGCCGATCGGGACTTCCAGCTTCATCATTTGCTACTCAAGGCATCTGTCAACACCATCCCGCCTTGTCGCGCAAAATAAGGCTGGAGGATTACCAGTTAGGAGTTATCACTACAGGGGAATCTATTTGGGGCTCTTGTGGAGCGAAATGCACCTACGCGATGCCGCTATTTCGGCAATCAGTAAGCATCCAGGTCGGTGTGAAGGAGCCGGTCTCTTTGTCAATATCTAAGTCGACTGAGAGACAACATACATTATTGTCATGCTTCATACGCAATCAAGACTATCTTGCCATACTTGTTATAGCTTGGGCATACATTCTTTCTGCCCGCTGGACAGAGATTATCCCTGGAAATTGCTCTCTTACCTACACCGAAAGTCAAGCAACAACTCACCAAGACACGACTCAACGTCAAGATGAAGGAAATCTCGTCAGTGTGGAACTTGGTGACGTAAATCCACAAGAAGCTCGACGGTGGGCTGCCGTTCTTGCCCCAGGCCAGGGTTAGCAAGCAACCGTGGAATGTGAACAAGAAACGTCTCTAGCACCTTAGTCGATCCAGCTTCAGAAAAGTTTTGGCTTTCTGCTACTGCACCCACTGAAGTCTATGTCTTCTATATGTTCAGCCGCTACATTCTCAGGTGCCACCCATTACCTCAACAGATTTTGCGCTCGTCACAACGTTTTCGATCAGAGTCAAGCTGCGTTAGCTTCTGTCCTTTTACTACCTTCTATGGGCAGCATGGGGTCGTTACGATTGCCAGCTCCAAGTAGCAGTATGGGTGTATCACAAATTACACCAGCATCCTTAGGTGAAGACTCGAATGACGATTGCATTCACAGGAGCCATCAACTAGACAAACTTTTGACTTTGAGCTGCAATATGGGAGGCATGCGTCCCCTCCTTCTCAGCGTTTTCTATGAGCCAAATATTGAATGCAATGCCGTCACCCCCTGGCTTCAAGGATCTCTGGCAGCAATCAAGCAGGTGGCTGGCAATAACTCGTATGTAATTGGGCGTTTGTGCATGGAGCGCTCGCCGAAAGTGGCATTTCTATGGCTCGGTTGCATCATATTAGACTTACAAGATAAGCTCCTCCAGGATGTTCATTATGGGCAAATACTCGTTGATCTTCACTCTGCTGCATGGTCTGGAGTGGTCCAGTCGTTCATTCAAGAACGGGTATCCAACCCTCTTGTGACTAATGGGACCATCTCGCGTGCGGATGAGTGCCGGCTTTTGTTCCTTTCCCAGTCCGATCGTCACGTTCGACTCCCTGTGTGCAAATGGAAACCGTTTGGTAGGACTGAGCTTGATAATGTCGATATAGAGGTTCGAGCCCATCAACAATGTGATGATCATTGGCTTCAGTACGAAGGCATCGATTGGAAATGCGATGATGGCAGTCTTGATTTTCTATCGTCGCAAAATTCAGGCAGTCAACAGACATTCGGTGAGACGTCGATCCAGGAAACCAGAGATGAATGCGCTACAAGTATATCTTACAAGGAAATGGTACGAGATCAGGAGCATATCTCAGAGAATGCAACACGCAACATATGTGGCTGGTTGCGCTCGGATGTGTATGCGCAGGGTGAACAGAATATATGGAAACATGAATGGTTTGACATATCTGATTCTGACGACGACGATATGACAGAGGACGAAACGATATCGGACGGCTCAGACCGGCTCTCGCCACGGGTAGAGTCGTGGTTATTGAATTCGAATGCTTCCACGACTATTTCCAGCGTAGATGAGGGTGACCAAATATCACCACTTCAGGCCGAAGTCGAACAGCTCGATAAGAGTGTCAATGGCATAGTTGTAGGCTCCTTGTCTGAACACAATGTCGCAAACCTTGCACAGCTTCTGGAAGCCAAAGAGAGCTTCGTCAATCCATAGGCGTTTTCGCTGACGTGGACGAGGCGTAGCACGAGCGATGCAACGCTGCAAAGGACGTTACTGCGAGTGAAAGCAGCTACGGCGTTTCCGTCCGAACCATGGCGAACCACATTTTGCGAGGCGGCATTGTCTGAGCTGATATGCACGTCAGTTGGGTGGCCAAGTCAGCTATAAGAACCAGAAATTGAAGGGCGGCCTCAGTCAACTGAACTACGCAGCCTTTGGGTTCACAGATTAGATACTAAAATACATGACGAGGGATCTTGGACTATGACTTGCAGTGGTATGCGAATATTTTGACTACGCTGCACAGGTGGTTATTAAGATGCCAGGCCCAGTTTTTCTAGGTCTCAAATGCAATACATCGTCTTAAAGCCTTGACTGGCCTAGAAATAGATGCATGGTCGGCAACGTCGCTCCGATAGATAGTAACTAATACTTGATCATGATTTTTACTACTCGCCTCGTGGTCCTCGTCTCGTAACAAAGGTCTATGGGGGATTTCTCTTTAGCGCGCCGGGGCGGGCCTTCGTCGGTGACTTTCTGTAGGACTGAGTGGGCAACGTTAACATTAATCTGCCACCAACGACCACTCCAACCGAAATTTCTACCTGATGCCCCATTGCCTAGTGCCTTCCAGTTTGAGTTGGTTCATTCGGCAACTTGAACGATCATGATCTGCCGAATAGGAAGTCCACGCTTACTGCATTCATATGCAATTCCATGGTGATCTGGCCAAGCTCGGAGGAATATGCTCAAAGGAGCAATACACTGATGCGCAAAGCTATACAATGATCGCCACCGACTGATTCACATCGTGCATTAGAGCAGGGGTCTCAGGCCATTCAAGACGCTCTGCCATTCGTCCGCGAGAAATGTTGGGGTTACGAAACCATTGTCCCGAGGAACGTCGAGTTTGTCTCAACCATGCCTTGAAGCGATGGAACTGCATATGCATCACCGCCAGTAATGTGTTCGAACCAAAGGCCCTTTCTGGTATCAACTCCTCCCGCAGCATAACTGACGAACCGCTCAGCTGGTATGACCTTGGTTAGAACAGCGCCCACAAAAGCTCTAACGTGCCAGACTTGGCGGACCATCTTCGGTACGGTCATCCTCGGCCAAACTCCCCAAGAATTAAGTTTGAGACTTTGAGTTGAGCAAGCAACCCCACACCACTTTACGTACAGTCCCTGTAAAAGGATTTGCATAGCAGAGCTGGGCTAATGCAGGTGTTCAAGGTCAAAGTGGATCACACGTGGCTCCAACATGGTGATTCCATGCCTTTTCCATGCGTAAAGAAGGCAAAAATGGGCACCAATGGCGATTTGATTGGCCTGATGCAGGTGTCAAGAAGTCAGAAGTCGTTTCCTAGCGAGTCAAGTTCCATATTGCCATCCAATATCGATAGGGTAGGCTGGGTACCGACTCAGCTCAGCGACATACAGTAGCGTGCCCCTGGATCCTCGCCCGCCTCGGTTCTTTGATTGATATATCTTACAGAATTCGGTCCCACATTCTATATTCTCCTACTGGAACTCCTTTCGCCTAACACTCTTTCTCGAGCAGCATTCACTCATATCGTCGAGGATGAGTGCCACGGTCTCGGACTACCAGCTTGCTGCAGCTGCAGCAGGCTTCACCTTGGGCTTTGGATTTTTGACAGTATGGGAGGCAATCAAGCAGACAAGGCGTAATCGAAATCCTTTGAGGAGTGTCTACATCTACATGGTGTGGGGAGAGATTATGGCCAACTTGGTTATTGGTATCATAGGATGGCTCTTCCTGAATGGAACACTTGGTCCAACGTAAGTGCTTGGTGTTGCAATTCTCTAATGATCAGAACTGACCCAAATCTAGTGTACCAGTGTTGTTCTTCATTTTGGTCTTCTGGGTGCTACAGATTCAGCTTCTCATGCAGATTATCATCAATCGGATAGCCCTTATCGCCGAACATCGAAGCACCATTCGAAACATCAAATGGGGCACTGTGGTTATTATCACGCTGATCAACATCGCTGTCTTCTGCATCTGGATTCCCGCACATACTGTGCCTCCGGCGGCTGACATGTAAATGCTCACACTTGCCCCATCATCCTTTCACTTTGACTAACTCTGACAGTTTCGTTAAAATCAATAACATCTGGGACAAGATCTCCAAAGTTCTGATTTTGATCGTCGATGCCGTGCTCAACTACTACTTCCTTCGCACTGTCAAGATCAGACTTGTCGACCAACACGGCTTGAAGAAATACCAACCGCTGGTCGGTTTCAACGCCAAACTAATGATCGTTTCCATTTTGATGGATGTAAGTGCCGCCACTATACTCATTGAACGAACAGCCATCTAACTTTCGCAGGGCCTTCTCATCGGACTCATGTTCCTCCCCAATCAAGTCGTGTACATTCAGTTCCATCCCGTCGTTTACATGGTCAAACTGAACATCGAAATGTCCATGGCCAGCTTGGTCGTCCGACTCGCAAGTGGTAAAACGGAAAACGACATGTATCCTGAAGCACACAGCTCTTCGCATCCAGGCCATTCGCACACCGATCCCCACTCACGCAATAAGCAGACCGGTACGGGTACCGGCCACCTCCAGTCTTTCCAGATGAAGTCGATGAACGGCAACGGCAACAAGCGCACAAGCAACGAAAGTGACGAGTCTTTGGGTGTTATTGAATGCCGCACCGACCTGAAGATCGTAGTGGAGGATGTGGGCTCCAAGGACGGGCACGACAACGCTGAGGGCAGTTCACGAAGTTCCCAGGAAGCACCGTACTCCATGTTCGGCGATGAAACACCTCTTCATAAGGACAATATAAGGGTCACTGAGAAGAGGATGATTTAACGGGCTTAGAGGATGATTTAACGGGCCGATGCTTTCAATACCGCTCATGTATGTCTTATCAGGAGCTTACTCTCTCTTTCATAATAAACGATACCCGGACGAAGGAATAGAAATGCACGCGTCATAGCGAGAATAATACAACATTGTAATACTATCAAACGAAGTAAAGGAAAGGAAACTGTGGGAAATCATGTCCTGCGTTCAATTGAATCTCCACGGCCATATTGATATCACGACCACGTATCATGCCACTGTTCGGGGCTCCTTGGTGAGGCGCATCTGAGACGTGCAACAACAACTACTTGCAAACTTGTGACGTGCGACACGATCATCTCGTGCTACCGTAGAGCAAACGGCAGATGGATCTCTTCTTGATATCATTCGCTCCCACAATCAAATTCTACGTCATCCATGCACACGTTCAGTAATCTTCTTACAATGAACTGTCAGGAGGTCGACCCTATTAACAGATGCCCATATACCTCTATTTCATCTCGGCGAGAGCCTATAAAAACTACAGCAAGCCTTCCACTACTAAAAGATCGTATCCGTCGGTTTGCTGCCAATCACATCAGACACAAGACACCAGCCAGCACAACAGACTCCAGATAGCAATACATCCCATACATCATGCATGATCTCGATGTCGCAACGCAAACCCCCAAACCCCTGCACGAAGCGACTGCCGAACATGCGAGAGTGGAGAACTCCTCGCCGTCTTTCTTGCTTGGGCGGGCACGTTGCAGACCAAAAGGTGGGTCGTCGCATGAGGTGAGCGAGGAAAGCGGAGCTGCGAGATGACGATCCAGGGGTTCAAAGAAAATCACCTCGGCGGTCGCTTGCAGGTTACAACTGCGGGGTGTTGGTGGTGGTTCTAGGTAGGGTTCTAGGTCGCTGGTGGAGTTGCGCCACATGGGCGTCGGAGACATCTCCACCACGTCAATCTCCGCTAGGCCAAGGAGCGGCTAGAGATCAACGATGTTCCTTTTCTGGGTTGACAGCCCGGATCTATTGTAAGCCACGCTTTCAGGGATGGGAAGCTGCCATGATTAATGTTTCAGGTAGAGTTTGTGTATTCGATGGTGGGAGATACTGGGCGAGAAGACATCATGATAGTACAGGATCTGGACCCAGCATAGAATCTCTAATTACGGGCACGCACTGCCAACAAGAACGATTAATATTCATAATGCTATTCGTACACGTACCTGATACAGTCGGCTGGGTGTATTTGGGTTGTTGACAACATGTCTCAAACGAAAGACTAATCTTTTATATAACCTTACCTCTCTGGGAAACTCCCACACATAGAACCACCAGTCCTCTTCTCATCCCCAACATGGCTGCAGAGTGCCCCTGCCTCGAAAAAGTCGCGTCCTTCGCATTCGCAACCTGGATATTCTGGTTCGTCGCTGTGATAGCTCTTGCAGGACTAGTCGTCTCAGGACGAAGACGTGATGTCGAACTCTACACAAAGCTGCTACGAGCCGTTCGAGAAACAATAGAACAGACCGTAGCAACGCAGATGGGCCCGCGTCCCGCATCGCCGCCACCAGAATATTACGATCCTGATTCGATTGAGATGCGTGTGATCAATGTGCAGGATAGAGAGCGGCGCCATCGAGGTCAAAGTTTGCCGGATTTGCCTGCTCCGGTGCATCCAGTGCGGAGGTAGTATGGGGGATTTGCGCTGCGTAATGTGAGGTGGGAGTTGCGAGGAACAGGTTAGATATGATGTATGGAGGTCAATCACATTCATGAAAGTCTAACCGGATGGGTAAATGTGATGGCATGCTCAAGCAAACCACCATTGCTGCAAAAGTATAGGATTTTCATAAACTAGTGATCTGTATTTCAATAGCTTCATGATTCGAACTGTGATTGTCACATTCCTGAAGTCTTCTGCACCTCTCCAGGATTCATGTAGATCTGTTAAGAATGTGATGGCCTTGTTGGGTTATTGACCATCTGCGACATTTCCAATTAATACGAAACAGTATGGCATCAACTGGGCCCAGAGTACTGGTACAGCGCTACTCCGAAAAGCCATGTCTACTCGTACTTAACGGTTTAAACTACAGGCTCGCAGATCCCTGTGGGTCCGAGGTTGAGCACCGTATGCAGACCCAACGTAGCGTGAACGATTGTTAAATCAACCATTTGATATTGTGTATTTGAATTTCAGCAGCAAATCGGCATAAAAATGCAATCATGAGACGACTGAAGTTAGCAGAAGACCTTGAGTTTTGACCAACCTTAACTGTAAGCAAGATTCTTTTGATTCGTCGATCCGAACTTACAAAGCGATCGCGTTCCCATTGCGCTGATGAAAAATGAATAATGCAAACACGACAGGGCTGTCTCGTTACGGGCACGCATGCGAGTTTTGTATTCGTAAACATGGTGTAAGAAGCGTGAAGATCTGTTACTTGTACAACGAAAGTCACCCAATTCCGTCTTATCCGCTTTGGGCTTCAGCATTGATAGTGATCTACCAATTGCAACAGTAGAATGGTATTTACTGCGTTTAGACATTTTCAATATAAGGACATGAACATGCAGTAATTTCATTATTAAAGAGAAAACAATATGAGTGATCATTTCTGCAGTTGTCAATGTGTTTGGTGGTAAATGTTCTCAGTATACGAAGTACATTATCAAGATGATCTACCGTCACTCAGACAGTTCTTTTCTGTGAGATACAAACAAGAACTAAATAAGTACTTGATTCTTAAGCACCAATAATCATGCACGCGAAACCTATATCGAGCGCAGCAGGCAATTCTTTTCATGCATATTAATGACCATGATCCAGTTCGAATGCCCATCTCCATTTCCATCTCTCGTCAGTCCAAACGAAACATCACAACTCAAACAGCACCCCACGGCTTACCTTTCCCTGTAGGAAGCAGAAAATTGATTAATCCTCGCTTGCACTTCCCTGTGCATCCCTATCTCGTGTGCCGTGCCGAATTCTCCACCTGCGCATCATCCGCCAAACGGCATCTCCACCAATCAGCAGCCGTGAAACCGTCTTCCATGGTTCCACGTCAAGCCTCAACAGGTCCGTTCGCCCAGTCCGCGAGAAGAAATTGATCTGATCTGTCAAGCCACTTTTCCCACCCCAGCAGCCCCTTCGTTCGTTCATTCTGCTCTTTAACGAATCCCCCTGTCCTTCCCTCTCATAGTTATCGACAATCGACTCCATACCCTCCTTCGGCGCTTCGTTGCTTGCTTGTTGCTTGCTTGTTGCTTGCTTGTAATCCTCACTCTCTTCATCCTTACAACGCAGCGAAATCTTTTTCAAGAAAGCAAAGAAAAATGGGCTTCATCCTCTCCGTCATCGGTCTCGCCTACGCGCTGCTCTGTCTCGTTCTCCTGACGCTAAGTCGCTATGCGCCAGCCATCGAGAGGCAGGCCGGAGAGAAGAGATTCGACGCCCTAGGTCGCGAATATTAAACTGCACTGCATCTTCCAACGACAATAATATCCCAAGTGAGCTAGACAGCAAGAAAATCTCCGTTCATCACGCTTATTCTCATCTAGGCCCAAGACACACACAACACATCTACGTGCTATTTATTGGCTAGCGCTTTTCGACATCGTGGAATAGCAAACCTTGTTTCCATCAAGCTTCTAGGGTGCATAGCGCAAAACCTACCTGGAGGGACTATCTACATGTCATCCGTCATGTGGAGGGAGAGGGACGACGTCAACTTTCTACGATTTTCCTTTCCATCTTGCGATGTAAATCTTTTCTCTCAATGTAGCGCGTTTAGCGTCGACAGACTGTGTATACCCTTTTAATCACCATCGGTAGGAGGCTGTTGATTCTCACAGTTCTTCTACTCGTGCCTTGCGAGCATTTCAAGTACGAATCTTTTTACCGCTACTTTCGTTTGGAGATTGTTGCTGATAAGCATATACGAGTTATACGATTCGAATCAATCTAATGTTGTTCATATCAAGAAGTCAGCTCTCCTGGTATCAGACTGTACAGCGTTCTGACGCTGTTTGATCAAAGTACCGCACATTCACTGCTCTGATATAGACAGACGATAGCAACATCCACTACACATCCTCCCGGACACATCACCAAGACGAACGACCTCTAATGTACAATCACTCAACCCTAACCGGCCATCTTCCAACCCTCAAACCCCAACTCCAAGGCTCACAAACCATGTCGTCGATATCCTCTTCGAAAGACTGACCATCAACCCATATACCAACACTTCACTGACACAGTAAACAGAAGATTTCGGGACGTGAGATACATCTCTTCAGCAAAGTTCAAGGCCGTTCGAACACTCAAACGAAAAGAAATCGAGATGACCTGCCCTTCACATCCACCTCACCTCCCTACATCCTTTTCACTTCCACCCCCAAATCACCACCATGCCGTGCATTCACAACGAACGTAGCTCCCACGACAATCACCCCCAACCCAACAGTGCACTATGCATCCTATACAAACCCCATCCCCATTCCCCTCCCAACTCCCCTCCTCCCAACTCCCCATAACAACCTACGTACTGACACTCACGATGCCCTTCCACATCATATCCCACCACCTCCCCTTACCATGGCGACGACGAAAGCATTCAAAACTCCCCGACGAAGAATCCCTCACCCTCACACTAACGCCAGACGCCTCGTCTGAACCCGAGAAGCCCACCTCACGCCCTTCACCCCCTCTACCCCCTCCCCAGCCTCAAAAGCCCAGTACCCCTCGTACCCCAGAAACCGCGCCCCCTCATATCCCATCCACACCCCCCGTATCCCTCCCTTCCCCACCGCCAGCAGTTCACGAACCCACGCAACTCACCCTCCTAACACGCCTCCGCTTCTCTCGCCGCACGCCTAGTCCTCAGCCGCTGTCCTGGAGGAGACGAGACGACAGGGACGCGCACCTCTCGCGCGATGCGCCGCGGGAGATCTTCACACGGAGGTCGTTTGATGACCCGGGACTAAGAGATGCGTGGGCGAGGTCGGTGGAGAGGGAAAGGGTGATTTGTGAGGGGTGGGGGAGGGGTGTTGTGGGGATGGGGAGGGTGGAGGGGGAGAGGGTGGGAGCGGCGTTGAGGAGTGTTGGTTTAGGTGCTGTTGGTATTGGGGGTGATGGTGGGGAGAAGGGGAAAGGGAGAGAGGTTTAGAGAGGAGGGGGAGTTGGTTATGTAGTGTTTGTAAGGGACGTATGGGTAGTAGGGAGCATGGTTATAGGGACTTGATGTTCAGGAATAATGGTGCACGTCAATCACAGAAAAGAAGGCAATTGGTTAAGAGGTATCATAAGGAAATTCTTATTCTCGTTATATGTTATGTACAAAAAAGGATAATTTGATATCATGAGTGCAGTGCAGGCTTAAAGAACTTTTCCAGAATTTACAATTTCACGCCTTGCGGAGGCATTCAAGCATCGTCGTTGCCGAGATCGAAGAGCAGGAACTCGGCGGGCTTGTCGCCGACGCTCTCGATCTCAATCTTTCCAGGGCGTTGCGCGCCGGCGATGTATGCGCCATCACCCTCTCCGAGGACGGTGTCGCCGACCTTGATCTTCGCGCCGCCGTCCTTGGGTTGCGTGCGGCCGTTCATGACGACGTGGACGTAGACCTTCCTCTCGCCGTCGGCGACGAGGTCGTGCGTGACGGTCTTTCCTGGCGACAGGATGCTAGCGTCCATGCTGAGGTCTGCCTGGAGGCCGATGGAGTCCTTGCTGTCGGCCAGGCGGTCGGTGTACTCCATGATGCGGACGAGCTTGTCCTGCTTCTGCTCGTCGGTGAACTTCTTGGTCTCGTAGTGCGGCTTGAGGCCCCGCTTGTTGGGCTTGGCCCAGATCTGCAGGAAGTGCACCTCCGAGTCCCGGTTGCGGTTGTACTCGCTGTGTCGGATGCCCGTGCCGGCCGATGTGAACTGCACCTCCCCGCGCTTCAGGTTCTCGAGGTTGCCCATCGAGTCCTTGTGCTCGAGCACGCCGTTGACGATGTAGGAGAAGATGAGGAATTCCGAGTGCGAGTGGGTGCCGAAGCCGGTGCCGGCCTTGACGCGGTCCTCGTTGATGACGCGGAGGGGCCCGAAGGACTCATGGCGAGGGTCGTAGTAGGAGGCGAAGGAGAAGGTGTGGAAGGTGTAGAGCCAGTCGTGGTCGGCGTGGCCTCGAGCAGCCCAGGGGCGCTTTGTGATCTTGAGGGCTGGGGATGTGGTGGAAGACATGTTGCGGACTGTGTTGGAGCTGGCGAGAGCTTTGGAGAGGCTGGATCGGAAGGGAGCGAGTAGAGCCAGGGTGAAAGCTAGGAGTGCGACGAGAGTTGCTAGAGTTTTGGTGTTGAGGAAGGAGGAAGCTGTTGTGGTTGTAGTTGCTGTGTTTGTAGTAGACTGTTGGTTACTGAGAGTAGATGAGTTGCTGTTGTGGTCTGGCATCAAGAAAAGAAGAATTCTGGCAACGACGATGGGTCGAAGCCTCTTTATACAAGTCAGTTGCGAAGCTGTAGAGGGAGGGAGTTAGTGCGAGACAATGGTAGATGATTCGATTCGATGCTCAAGTAAGGTATGAATAATGCGATCCATTAGCTACTGAGGAGTTCTAAGAATACTGTGCGTTTGCGGTAGAGCGCTATGGTAGTGTGTAGTGTGTAGTGAATGGCATAGATGAGGTAGGTGTATGAGGTTGTTGCTTTGCAATGGTGAGTAATGGAGGCTTGACTGGCTTGACTTTGCGCCAGACGAGAGTGAAAAGCTGACAGAGCAATGACAACCCAACTCCTGCATCTCGATTGGTTACCCGCTAGCCCCAATCCACCAATCACGTCTCTGCATCTTCTCGGCTGCGGCATTATTATTAGCCTTGAGTCTACGTCATCCTCTTCCTCTCCTCCCTATTCCATTCTCTCCAATACGAGTCTGGATGACCTGACCTGACGACATTCACACTCTCCTACTGTTGTCTCTGTTAGCCTTGCCAGCCTTGCTTTCCACGCACGCTGTCAGACATTACAAACTGTGTATCAATCTATTCCACACCTAGCCCCTTTCTTCTAGTCCCCACCGTCTCATTCTGGACATCTGTCTTCCGCCAACCTCGTATCGATCGGATAGATGGCGTAGGCGTAGGCGTAAGGCTGAGAAAAATGCCATTCCCTCCCGCGAGCAACTATCCGGCCATCTCTGGGCAGACAAGTATGACGTGGAAAGATGTCTTTTCGACAACGACGTACCTGAACTAGCCACATCGTCACTATCTGATTCCGCACCAGAATCAATCAGGCCCAAATGCAAAAGCCACTGCCATTGATCTACGTCAATCGAACTCCAACAGGGTCTGCTGGGCGTTCAGGGTCTGGAGATGCTCCGTCTCACGACATGCGCTGTGTTACCCTGAGTTTTGACCTTGCTGTAGGTACAAGATCTACGCTATGACCCAGATCGTTGATCAAGCCACACAAGGCTGGGATTGTATATTCCCCAGCTTTGTATGTAAGCGTGCAATAATGTTCTGCCGATAGTTGGCGACGTATTAAAGTTATCGTCTTTATTACATGGAGGATGCGTTGCACATGCATGCTTCATCAACGGATCAGGATTATATTAACGAAGGTTACTCGATTGAGCTATTATCTTGCCAATCGACATGTATGAGCACGCAGCAACCCCTCTTTGATTTCTACTATTAATCTATGGTCTTCGTGATGCCAAAGAAATACCATCGCTGGATCTTCTCTTAATTCTAACCTGTTGGTTCATTTGAAGTGACAAGAGGCAGTAACAAATATTCAGCGAGGAGGATAAAGGGCAAACTGTTCAGAAAGACTTTTATTCTGATGCATGGCCAATCAATGGTATTCTACTGTTCCTAATAGAATTATCAGGACACAATTTTGCATATTTCGAACGCGACATCTCTGTCGCAGGTGTGTTATCTCATGATGGTAATGATTCATGTATAGCACGAATTTCGCTACATTTCCTCTACCAGACTCACCTCATTACATTCCGATCAAATCCTTACACCACTATCGTCTGATTTAAACATGTACAATTCTCCAAAATGAATTCATTGCTAATTTCAACAAAAGATAAATTGTATTTCACTCAATTGATAAGGTAACCCCTTCACCACTCTTTGGCGATACATTGGAATTGATATACCAGGGGATAGCAGTGACGTAATATTGAAAAGCGTAGGTACATACTCATGATAATTACAGGAACATCAGAGAACACTCGTTGTAGCTATGTAGTGTCATTACTTCCAATTCAAGTAAAGAATTCCACTCATAACATAAGGTGTACAATTGTTGCGCATCAAACAGTGTTCGTAGTTCATATCAGATCCAAATCTACCACCCGCGGAAGTGCCCCTCACACACCTCAATCGCGAGCCTCCAAACCCCCACTACTACCACCACCATTCACGACCACCATATCATTGCATTGCACGACACCCACAAAACATGGCAGAACCACCGCCCACCGTCCCCTTCGACGCCGACGCCTTCATACAAAAATGGTCACAATCCAACGGCGCGTACATCCCCTCGCCCGGAAAATCCTTCCGCCAATGCATCATCGAAGCATTCGACCTTCCCTCAGACGACAAGTGGGTGTACCGGGCGCAGGGCGAGACGACGCTGGACATAACGCAACGCGCCATTGACGCGAAGAGGAGGAATGGCATGCATAATTGGTATCACGACGAGGATGGGAAGCCGGTAGGTTAGTCAGTCTTCGCGTGTACATCTATCTCCCTGCACAGGCACTCCTTCATGGAACAATCAATCGTATTCCCTTCCGGACAAGAAGAAGAGAATGACAAAAAGAACTTCACTGACGCACCACGAAACCCAAAGATTGAGCCCCCGCACCCCGAACCATCGGAAATCACAGCCTACACCTCCCTCTTCCACCCCGACGTCTCCCTCCCGAAAGCCCTCAAAGCATTCAAAGCGAGCGCGAAGGCCAACACCATCCGCGCCCAAGTGTCCACACACCTCGAATCCAAACACCACAACAGCCTCACCTCCGCAGGGCTCCTCCCCACGAAGAAAAAGGAGCCGCGACAGCACGTAAACCCGTACCTCGACCTATGGGTCTACTCGTGCGAGGAACTGGAGTGGGCTGGTCCGATGTACGTCCATTCCCCAACCCCAATCTCAATTCACCACATACGAAACTAACCCTCCCCCTCCAGACCAACAACAACCTACACCAAACAATCCCACCACATCCTCCCGCACCTCTACCACCACTTCGGCTGCCTCGTCCCCACCTACACCGCCCTACACATCATCTCCAAACTCGCGCAGCCCCTCAAACCCTCCCTCCACCCCTCCGCAACCCCGATCCTCGACATCGGATCCGGAACGGGATACTGGACCTACATGCTGCGCACCTTCCTTCCCTCCACCCCAGTCGATGCGTCGTGGCGCACAAACACCGTCGTGGCGATCGACTCGGGCGCGTCAGCGTACCGTACGATGTGGATCGGGGATACGGTGCGGCAGGACGGCGCGGCGTACCTGCGCGCCCGGGAAGGTGGGAGAGGGTGTATACTCCTGCTTGTGTATCCGCAGGCTACGGGGGCGTTTACGGCGAGCGTGCTGAGGGCGTATGAGGGGGACGTCGTGGTGGTGGGGGGAACGCAGAATGGGAATGGGTTCACGGGTTTTACGGGGGAGAGCGTGGAGGAGTGGATGAGCAGGGAGAGGAGGGGGGAGTTTGAATTGGGGGTCAGGGTGCCGCTGCCGAGTTTTGCGGGGAAGGATGAGGCGTTGTGTGTTTTTGTTAGGAGGGGGAGTCGCTGGTCGTCGTCGGCGTAGTAGCATGAGTTCATATTCATATTCAGTTATAGACCACGATGGTATCAATATCGTTGGAGAGATCGTCAAGCAGGTGCATCCAGCACCATGCCTTATGTCATTTCATTTCATTTCATATCACATCTCTACCACTTCGCCTCCTTCTTCGCCTGGAACTCCTTCACCACCGCGACCACCCTGCCCAGCGCCGCCAACCACTCCTCCAACTTCTGCGTGACCTTCGCCTGATCATCCCCCAACTTCGCATAAAAGTCCTTCCTGTATGGCGTGGCCGACATGGCCGCGCTGAACAGCGGCTTCACGATGAACGAGTGGTGCGGCTTGAGCGTGTTGCCGTAGGCGTCGCGGAAGGAGTTCGAGAGCTCCTCGGCCGGGTTGGACACGTTGCGCTGGAGGGCCTGGGCCGTGAAGTCGAGACCGCGGATGAGCCACACGAGGCCTTCGGTTGCGGTGTGCTTTTTCTCGGCGAGTTCGTTGAGGACGAGGGATTGGAGGGTCGTGGAGAGGGTGGGGGCGGCGAGCTGGCGGTCGCGGATTTTCTATGGGGAGAGGGGTTAGGAGGGTTGTGATGGTTGGGGGAGGGATGGGGATGGGAGGTACCTTGATGTTGCCGGACATGTCGCTCTTGACGGGGGTGAAGGCGGCGGAGCCGAGGACGTCTGGTGGGTTGGTCAGTTTGGTTGTTCTTCTGGGGAGGGATTCTGGAATGATAGGAGGCATACCGAAGAGAGTGATCAAGCTCTCAGCAGCCTCGAGGAACTCGGTGGTGGAGACGGCATTGTCCTGGCTGGCGTCGACGGGGACATCGACGAAGCTCTTCTTGAGGGTGTCGAAGAAGGTTCCACCTGGGGGGAATGCAGCAGCCATTGTGATGATGTTGTGGGGGGAGGAAATGAGGTGGATGTGGTTGTTGTTAGTTGGTTGCAGAGAGGAAGATGAAGTTGAGGTTGAGGTTGAAGTTAAGGGTCTCAGGGACGGGACAAGTGTTGTCGGTATTGGCTTGTATGAGGTGGTTTTAAGTGGATCCCGTGTATCGGACTAGGTAGAGTCTGGATCTTTCCAATGGAGACGAGACGTAATTCCCGTGCTAGTAAACTGCTTATAAGTATCGAATACTCGTAATCCCTTAATGTATCCGTTTCAAGTGTTGAAGGCGGTGTGGAAAGCAGTCGTGGTCGTTGGCTACTGTGCCCTCTCTGTACTTACGAGTGAATGGTGGGGGCGTTTGGAGGGTTCCGCTTGGCGGCGGGGCAAGGGAATCGGCATCCCAAATTGCCTATTACGGAACTACAGCTTCGTATGGCATCAATTGACGAGATGTTCTTGGGATTGAAACCAATTGAGGGAGACGATGAACGTCGGAGCTAGAAGTATGAGCGTACAACTGATCCAATGTCATCTATTTTTAGAAGCGTATGTCATGACCTTTGTCCAATTAATAACTCCCCTTGACCCTGGATTGTGTTTAGAGATCAGATCCAACGATATATGCCGTCTTTCTTGACTTTAATAATATGATGGATATCGAAGCGTTCATCGATGCATTCTGCTACCATAGAACACACTGTACTCACAACCAAAACGAGCACCATCAGGTCTTCATCCATTTCATCCAGTGCTTATCCATTCGCAATTATCTTCCACTTCCGTGGATTACAACAATGAGTTCGTTAAATGGACGATTCCCTCACTGTTCTATCTTCCCTATCTTACACAAATGATTTATATATACAAATATGCGTTCAGTCATGGCTACCTAGATATATTGGGATACTCTTATATCCTAAACTATAGGTCTCTTCTGACCATGTACTGCTCAACCAGATTGTGGGTATCGTCTTAATGGTGCTCCCTGCTCTTAATGGTGGTAGTCTTCAATCTCAGTCTTTTCATGTGCCCCCAATTGAAGCATCGATGGCTTTCGTACTCGTAGCAGTAAGAGCATGTCACTGCTGAAGGCCCCTGGAAAACCGGACAGCTATCGTGCCATCTTCACCTCGGTGTCGTGACATCCCTCTGCACCCATTCGAACCGTTCCTCACCATAGCACGCAATCCTCTTCTCGACTTGCTTCCAATATCGTCCGCCTTCCTTTCATGACATGACATGATACCATCTCAACAAATCACTCCAAAAACGCCTCCGGCAACCTCCCATCCCCCGCCCTCCCCTCAACAACCCTACTCTCCCCCGCCCTATCCCCCCTCCCCGTCCTCTTATCCCCAACACCCACAAAACCCCTCCCCCACCCCCTCCAAACACCCACCGCTCTCCCATCAACCAGCGCCAGGCTCACGGGGCCGAAATCCCTAGAATCATAGCTCCGCCGCCAATTGTCGCCCTCCACCCACACATGTCCCGTCGGCACCTTCACGCCCTCCCATCCTCCCTCCTCTACCCTACCCCCCAGCTCGTCGTCGCTGGAGGAAGGTAGGAGAGGTGGCAAGCCGTCCGTGTACGAAAACACCCTCCGCCCCCTGGTAACAGGATCGTCTTCCCAGCTCCCGACCCCGCGCTTGGGGAACACGACGTCCCCCGCGACGCCGAGCACGCGCTTGATGCTGAGTTCCTCGGGCGCGTGCGGCTTGCGGAAGGTTATGACGTCCCCCCTGGAGACGCCAGAGGAGAAGGACGAGAGGCGGGATATGAGGACGACGTCGCGCTCGCCGCGGGCGTGGGCGTGCGGGGAGAGGGTGGGCGACATGGAGGCGCCGTTTACGATGTCGATGCTGAAGAGGTTGTCGCGGGTGAAGAGGAGGAGGGAGAGGGTTGTTAGGAGGGTTAGGGGGAGGTGGGTGTAATTGTATGAAGATGATGAGCTGGCGGTGGATGGTTTGCGCGGTGGTGGTTGTGGTGGGCGTTGGCGGGTCGAGGAGGCGTATGGCCGGCGGTGGCGGGGCAGGGTGAAGAGTTGTGGGCGGTGTATTCGGGGGGGCATTTTGTGGGTGGTGTTGTGGTGTTGTGATGTTGGGATGTCGCGATGTTTGATATCTTTTTGGAAGATGTTCCGACCACCAACGAATTATCTTTCCTCCTCCGGGAATCTAATGGCAAGAAGAGAACAATATGCAATGACACCACCTCTCACCAATCCCTCAAAAACATCAATTCACATCCGTTTCGATCTCTTCACAAACACAAGTCAATCAATTAAGTAACATCTCCCCTTCACGACCATCAACCGACCGTCTGAAGTTCATCCAAGCTACCCATATCCACACCAACCCATCCTAGCTAGCGTCGTTCAAAGCTCCCCCACAAGCCGGGTTTTCATCTGATAAGATTAGATGGATGAAATGTGACATCGTTCGTGAATCCATAGCGGGTGGGAAAGGATATGAGAAAAAGGAGTGAGGGAAGGGCAGAACTGTGTTTAGTATTTTTGTTTCGTGTCATATCGTGTGTTGTACACCGTAGACTTAGATCCTGACAGCCTCACTTCCTATACAAATTCACCATCACCATTAAAAACACAAAAACACTCAAGAGTAGATAGTAAGGTTTGTTGATTTATACAGTCAGTCAGTCAGTCATCTTTACTTCGATCGGCCTTTAACTTTAAAAATCGTGCTGTTTGATCGTCGTTCGGGAGTGTAGGCGGGGTAGGGTAGTGTACGTAGTCTAAGGGTGAGGAAAAGACGTGGGGAAATCTATCTATTTGAGGGCCTTGATGACGGCGTCGGCGTACTCGTAGGTCTTGGCCTTGCCGCCGAGGTCGCCGGTGATGGACTGTGAACAGGTGAGTTAGTATATGTCTTAGATGTGGATTGGGGGAAGGGGAGACGGGGGAGGCTTACCTTGCCCTCGGCGAGGACCTTGAAGATTGCGCTCTGGATGTTGGAGGCGTGGTCGTTGAGACCCATGTGCTGGAGCATCATGATGGAGGAGAGGAGGAGGGCGGTGGGGTTAGCGAGCTGCTTTCCGGCGATGTCGGGGGCAGAGCCGTGGACGGCCTCGAAGATCGAGCACTCGTCGCCGATGTTGCCGGAGGGGGTGAGGCCGAGGCCGCCGATGAGGCCCGCGCACATGTCGGACAGGATGTCGCCGTACAGGTTGGGCATGACGAGCACCTTGTCGTTGTAGGGGGTCGGGTCGGTGACCATCTTGAGGCAGGTGTTGTCGAGGAGCTCGGCGTCGAACTCGATGTCCGGGAAGTCCTTGGCGACGTCGCGGGCGGTGCTGAGGAAGAGACCGTCGGACATCTTCATGATGGTGGCCTTGTGCACGGCGCGGACCTTCTTGCGGCCGATGGACTGGGCGTGCTGGAAGGCGAAGCGGAGGACGCGCTCGGAGGCCTCGCGGGTGATGAGCTTGATGCTCTGGACGACGCCATCGACGACGACGTGCTCGATGCCGGAGTACTCGCCTTCGGTGTTCTCACGGATGAGCACGGTGTCGACGCCATCGTAGGGGGTCTTGTAGCCCTGGATGGACTGGCAGGGTCGGACGTTGGCGAAGAGGTTGAAGGTTCGGCGGAGGGTGAGGTTGAGAGAGACGTGGCCCTTGCCGACGGGGGTCTGTGGATATCGTTAGCGGGGGTTGTCGTTGTCGTCGCGGGGGCCGCATGTATATCTCTCAATTCAGAAAGACATATACACGATTGGGGTCGTCATACGGCGAGGGGTCCCTTGAGCGCAACGTAGTTCCTGGTGACACTGGCGATGGCCTCGTCGGGAATGACAGTCTTTCCGTTCTTCAATTGGGGGGTGACGTCGACCGACTCCCACTTGATGGGCACCTTTTCCACAGAAAAATCGTCAGCAATACATCCTCAATCCTTCGCATCGTTGTGAGGTTCTCATACATTGGCGGCGGAGTAGATGTCCTTGACGGACTGCGCGATTTCCGGTCCGATGCCGTCTCCCTCAATGAGGGTAACTGTGTATTTGCCCTGTATTCGATCTCCACGTCAGCCTTCTGATATTCGATTCCCTTCTCTTCCCAATCCTCTCGAGCGGACGAGCATTGGTGTTTCCCCTCTTATCATTCTGGTGGCTTACGTCGTTGCCCTTGGTTCCCTTGAACTTGGCGACCCTCTCGTGGGCAGCGGGAGCGGCGTAGTTTCGCGATTGAGACTGCCCGATAGTTAGCCAATGTGTCTCCTCCGTCTTGCTCCAATGCCATTGAGGCGTTCCCGAGCACGGCGAGACTTACCTGCGCGAGCGCGGGTGCCGCCCACCTGGAAGCTCCAGCATTCGCACGGTAGAGGCACTGCCGCGCCGGGGCGGCGAACGATCGAGCGGCCAGCATCTTTTTCCTTTTTCGAAAAACGATGGAAAAATCCCAATTAACTCAATGGTAAAGCTACGCGAACCGGTCGTAGCTTTTTTTGACGTTTGGGCGGGGGGAGAGAAGTGTGGACGGAGTAGCGGAGGTGGTGGAAAGGTTGGAAGGGAAGCGTAGAACAGAAAAAGCAAAGCTCTAACTACTCGTCTACTCTCTTCCTTCCGATCCAAGCAGGTTGCAGAATCAGATTACCGGCCGAGCGAGCTGTGCATGGGCCACGCCCGCCAAGCCCACGCTGTATCGTATGTAGTACTCGTACTGTGTACATAATTGCTTGCACTGTACCCTACCAACCTACTTGGTACAAGCTACTTCGTTACATGGGATAGTTAATACGATCTCTTAAGATACTTATGTGGGTGTGTAGTATCAGATGAGGTGGTATCACATGTCGTTCCCTTTACTATTCCATCATCCTACACCAAAGAAAAAAACTCTTCACTTTGATTTGGTTATATTGTTTCATCCCGCGGGCATTGCATGCATATATATGTATGCAATGCAGGTACCGCTTACTCTATCTACATATGTATTTAATTATTTTATTCTACAATAATAGTGCCTCATGCTCATCGTCTTCCGTAGCTGCAAACAAATGTAACAACTATTGCCGTCCCAACTGCCTTGGGTGCGCCGCTTTTTCTTTCATCCGCGGTCTTAACAGACCAAGTCAACCGGCACTAGGCCCGGATAGGAAGTCACCAAGCGCCCGAGCTAGGCTACTTGTCGATTTTCGTCCCGGGTATCACCGTGGCTATGAGTAGGTTAGGTTGCTACATATCCGTGTGTGGAAATGGAAAAGGGTATTGTGGGAGGATGGTGTTCGTGACGATAGAGGTATGATTGTATGATTGGGAGTTGAGAGTCGTTGCGTCGTCGAAGTTGGTCTTGCATATATCGTGCTTTTTGGTCGAAGGAAATAGGATGCCGTAGGATGACGTGGTGTCGTTTGGTGAAGATGCGCTGGATGATTGTGAATGGAAAAACGGAAAATGGAATATGAAATATGAAATGCAGTTTGGTCTCGGCTGGACTTTATATACGGATCAATGTCATGAACTCGTTGTCGTCGTTGTCTCGAAATGGTTTCAATATGAACATTCGCCCGCTCTTCAAACAGGCATCTCCACAGGCGGACTCGGCGTTGGGGCCATGAAAGCAAACTCAGGCGATCCAGGATTACTCCCATACACTGAACCCCAGCTCGCGATGCGAACAGTCGACGGCCTTGGACTCCTCGCGAGCATCGGCGTAGAGACCGCAACCGCCGTCGCCGCCGGCGTGTTGTTGCCATGATTATTGAAGATGGGGAAATCGGCGACCCAGATCCTCTCGTGGCGCATGGGACTCTCGTTTAAGATGAGGCCATCTGGGAACTTGGATGGCAGGTACTGCGGCGTGAAGCCCTTCCATAGTTTGGCGCGGCGGTAGTGGAGTGCCTCGGGGGAGCGTCGCCATTTCCAGCGCTGGTATAGGAAGGCGGTGATGGCGGTGATGAGGATGATGGATAGCACACCGACTGCTATGCCGACGCCCATGGCGGCTGACATGGAGAGAACAGGCTTGGATTCCAGGTTGTGGGCCTCTGTGGTCGGTGATAACAAGCCGGTGGTGAGTGAAGGGCTACTTGTTATGGACGATGTAGGAAGGTTTGACGCAGTGAGGGATCGATGTGAGATGGCCGTGGATGAGGGGGAATTCGAGGCTGATGCAGTTAGAGTAGCTGTCTGAGACGACGGAGCGTTCACTGTCGAGAAGGCAGAGTCATCGATATCATCCAAGCGTACAAAAGATATTGCCTGTCCCGGTTGTGGCTGTATGATATCTTTATTCATATGGACTCCCGAGGGATCTGATAGATCAAGGTGGTATCCGGCACCGTCCTCCACATTGCTAAAATGAAATGTCCCATCGCCCCATGGTTCAATCCTCCAGAGCATCGATAGATTCGTTGAGTTCGAGATCCATGCTTTTATCTGCTTTTCTGAAGTCATTTGCTTGGCCGTGCCTAAATATCCGCTTGGTCCTGAAGCTTTGGTCCGGAGCATAAAAACGGATGATGCTACTGGGTATAGTTGCCACTGCTGTGTGGGGAGATTGTTATCAGATTTGGCAGACGAAACGATCCCTTCGCCTCCAGCTCCGTGGTTTGTACCGGTCATGGACTTTTGAGACTTGATAGAGGCTGCTGAGGAGATGCGATACCAGCTATTCGTGCGGAAATCCATGGCGGCAAAGCAGAACAACAACGAAAAACAGAGAGAGACATTAACGACAGACTGGGATAGAGCGGAAGGAGAGGCACAAAAGAGTGAGGTACATTGCTGTTAACCATGATGTTCGTGCTGCGCCGTCCTTTAAGCGCCAATTTGCACAGCTCTGATATTGCAGCATCAATCTGTCCTACGACGAATGAGGACGGTTCGACTAGTCATTTAAAGAGGCGTTGGAGGCTGTTACGTCCTAGGCACAGCTGCGGATGCAGCAGCATCTTTCCTGGATGGCGTTTTAAGAACACTGCAGGTGTAGAGTTTGAGTAGAATAGTAATTAGAGGCGAGGGGATGCTGCGATTCGTACGATATATTGACAGTTGGCATTGTCGTGTGGAGTGGATTCCTTTAAGACTTCCCTATTTGATGGGGAGTTGGAGGCTTCGTTGTTCTATGCAAGCACTCGTTAGTGTAGGCGGTTAAAGAACGCCACATAAGGGCGGCCCCCAACTTCTGATATGTTCAGAATCGACCGCGAACAAATTCCCCTGGAAATGAAAATGTATGAATAGCTCTTGAATGAGATCCTCTCATGTGGATATAATTTCGGGGTGCTCGTTCGAATGGTACGGAGTACAAGTATGTTCCTAATGGAGCAAGATATGTCACGGCCAATCCAGATCGATCGAAAGATTTAATTCGCAAGAGGAACTCTAATGCGTTGGCCATACGCCGCAATCCAATGCTGGGCCTAGGCTGGGAAGGGCCATTGGTGAAACGCTATACGGGTGGTCTGTATGCCTCGCGGTGAAGGGTAGAGCAGTTGTCGTTCCTGGACGGCAACAGTCGATAGAACCTACTCCGTACTATGATAGATCCTGTGGACAAGGCGCATTTCAGGGTACATTTTTGGTATTTGGTCTGTATAGAGTTAGTTTGACACCTATTCGTTAGCATTGCAAGAAGCGTCATAAAGCAATATTCTGATTGCCGCATCACTCCATCTGTCGCGATGGGTTAGGCACCTGTGTGTGGTTGTTGCGAATTGGGAGGCCCTGGTTTTACGTGGAAGAGTAAGAGAGATGTTAGAATCCGAAATCTTGTAAATGAACTCTGGACGTCGGGCCCATGAAATGTCCAGTAGCTAGTATTTGTTCATCCAACTCGTGCAACGAACTATTGGCTGCTTTTGCTCAGCCGTTAGTACCTGTTTTACGACTCTAATAAAAGTGGTGAGAGCCGACAATGCGATGCATTGTTTTGCGGTAGGTTTATTGACTTCTCATAGGTGCGGGCGTAATGGAAATTCAATGAAAGCCCATGTTGCACAGCATGGCAAATCCAATAACCACGGGTTATTGAGTGACGCGCGACGCGTAGGTAAACAAGGGAAAAACACTGCAGGCTCCTTAACAGTTGCGTTCACAGGCTGGCGAAACATCCGACGTGGATGACGTATATTTGGAGGTGGGCGCACGAGTAGATTGCACACAGCACATGCAGTGATGTCAAGAGTAGTTCATCTTCATTAGAGAAGCCGTGATAGCCGTAGCGGTGGCCGAGGAGACCAGCAGTGTTGGCAATTCGAATGTGTAATCACGATACAACCAGGACCATGCGCAATATTCAGACTTGAAACAACAATACAAAACTTGCTCCCTTCAAGTCCAATTTATGACGACGTGAGGAAAAGCGTGACCGCAGGAGTTAATGGAATTACGACGGCGGCAGAAGGGACGAAAATCCTCTTGTGGAAATGGCGAATGAAGTCGAAACTCGAAAGATAATGGACCCGAGGCCTAGCCACGGCATCTTGGAAGAATCGGCACCCCAGCAGGGAATGCTTTTGCAGGGCTGACGCCACATGGAAGCACTACGAGCCTTGGCTAAAATGCCGTGGACCTCATCCTCACAAAGCCCAATGTTACCTCGTACCTACGACGTTCTTTCGTTCGCCTGGGCAACCACGCTGCAAGCTGGGAGTTAGCTTTAGTAGTCGGGTTGGCGATGTAAAGTTTGTCCCTAAGCAATTGAGGTTATGCAAGCTTTTAGTTCACTCGCCAGCATCTTGCTTGTTCGACTGAAGAGAGTCCCTTGAACGTGGGTTTTCAGGCCGTCCAGGGCATCTCACGTTCAGGGCAACCCAGGGGACCTGAATGCTTAGCCATGATAATTGAAGACGTATTTTATCAATAGCACAATAGGTACAGTGGCTACGCATGCGATCGCATGGTCCGGTAGCGGCTGTTTCCTCCGACTCCACATTGGTTAGCATACGGCATCAGCTGCACGGTGCACCTTGCTCCACACTCTCTGGCCGTGACATCATAACGATGGATGTCTGCGTGAACGGCCGTGATACGAACGAGGGTGCGTCGCAGGGTGCATGGGCGATTCGTGGAAATTTGCATTGTGCCTCGACCCAAAACGGGGCATTATTGTTAGAGAAGGTCTTGGAAAAAAGCAGGTTGGCGGAAACGAAATGGTGCGTGCGGAATCTGATGGGTTCGATTTATTTGATGAGATGAGGGACGATCGATTCGGGGAGCAGTGGTCAATAGACCTAGAGTGAATCAGGATGAAGACGGAAGAGCACCAGCTGTTTCAGAGCCAAAATCTACAAGGATGCATCCGCGGCGGAGTGTGAATGGCTGAATGGGTGAATGCAACGACTGGTGGCATGCCTACTTTCGGCAATTCGAGCCAGCGCCAGTGAGAGAGCAGGGCACAGAGCTGATCCCGAAAGCGAAACAGGCTCAACCACGCAATCATTGTCTGACATGGCGTGGCTCGAGGCGAAGGTTAATGGCAGTGCGGATGGGACAAATTTGAGATTCGCATGAGCAATTGATTGATTACGACGCCGAGTGGATGCTCGATTAGGCGTCAGCGAGGCTCTGCTCTCGTAGTGGGGACTGTCGAAGCTCGCGGATGTGGTTCCTCGTAGCTAATTGTGATGTACCTTCCTCATTACTCGTAGGTAGACGGCGGTGGCCGTCTGCTACAGTATAGCTATGAGTAGCTAAGTTGAACGTGCAAGTCGAGATCAGTCTGGTCAATAATGAAATGGGATGATGGGATATTTGCCTCCACTGTTGGGAGGTCGTCCCTGCGCCAGACCCGGGTATCAGCAAACAGGACAAAGGAACAAGGTCGAACAAGGCGAGCCATGCTAGTGACGAGGTGTGGAGGAGGCCGCCTGTCAGCGTTCGCGGCATATTGGCCCAGAGGCATGTTTCGTCATGATGAGACCTTGGATGAGGTGAGGTTAGCGGGGGAGGGAGCCGGGGAGGAGGGAGGTAGGGGATAGGAATAGAAGTCGGCCCATGGAAGCCACAGAGGCGCGGCGCCAGGCGATCCCCCAGACGAAGCTTTCGGAAGTAGACTTGGGGCGTGGACGAAGACGTGGATGTGGACGTGGACGTGGGAGGTTGGAGGTAGACAAAGTGGTGGTAGTGTTCTGAAGAGGTGATGGGATAGGATAAGGTAGAGTATTAGCGGAGGGAGCTTCCCCACAAAAAGGTAAGAGGCAGAGAGAAAGCGGATAAGCAAGGCACCGGAGGATTGAGGTGCGCCACCGAGTTGCTCACTGCATTTGGCTGGCGCATCTACGAGTAGGTGTGACGGTGTTTTCTTTACAAAGTATGTTGCACAGGCAAAGCGCCATACAGCGCATTAGAGAGTAAAGTTAGAAGTTGTCGTAATGGAGATGACCGGATTGGGACAAGAATGGAGGCGAGTGGCGGCAGGGCTTGGCATTAGTGGTACGTAAGAGGGAGGAATGCATTGGGCGAGGTTGGGGTTGCCATGGATGGGCGAGGTATCCAATTATGGCTGGCTGATGCAGGTGGTGGTTGAAAGGATTGTGTATTTTTGGATGAGAAAAGGATGATCGAAAAGGTGAATCAAACAATTGGATGAATGCGGGCGAATTGGATGTTGTAGGTGGTGGTACTGTATTGGTACGAGCAAAGTAAGGTACAGTAGGTTGTGTGAGGTGAGGTGAAGCAGGAGGATCGAGATTATCCCGGCTATGGCGGGCGGGGGGCGGGGGCGATTCAACGTCTAGTCATTGCGTTAATGGGTAATCGAATTGGTCGATCGAAAACTGGGCAGAACAGGAACAAGGCAGGGCAGGACAAAATGCATAATAGTGAAAGGAATTGAAAGAGGAAAAGAAGGCAAATTGAAACATCGTAATTTAATGATGCAAGACGGTGACAGTGAGATGACGCTCCACTCCGTACTAATCAACACAACAATTAATAGAGGCAAGGAATATAACTTGTTATTCTTATTATTATTCACTCCCTTACGCAATCCATACATACGAAGAACTCGGTAGTTAATTACTGTTTCTGTTTCTGTGACAATTACGAATGGGTGCTGAGTGGAAGGCCATTCAGATGCACATAATGTATGCCGTAAAGAGAGTATGAATGCATGCAATATCGATTTCGAAACCAATTGCCATGCCTTGCTACTCGTATGCAATGCAATGCGATGTGCATCTTCATCGTCACTCCGCACCATTATTCATTATTCAGAACTATTCCTGGCTATCCAGAGATCGACATAACACAGCACAGCACAGCCAAGCACAGCCAACATTGTCGTAGCCGCGCCGTACATACACAGTAAGTAAGTACAGTAAGGAATTAGCTACCCGTACCGTAGTCAGACAATGCCATACAGCGAATTAGCAAAAGCAATCCGGAAACGGGGGTTGTAAATCCCGTTGCGAAGTGGTTTGTTGGTTTACTACCAGCCAAGGGACCCAAACAAACAATCCATCAAAGCTCCACAAGCATGCTCCAGCCGCCACTCCGGTCCCGTCGTCCCATCTCCCATCCCCCATCCCCATTTCCATACCATTATTCATTCATCCCAGCCGTTCGACTAAATCTCCTAGTCGCCTAGCCATCATGTCTAGTCTATTCTCAGCCCATGCCATGCCTAGAACGAATGCCTGCAAGTAAACGTAGTGGTGGTGCCGGCATCTCACCTAGTGTGGGCATGCATGGCCATGGCTCTCCTCTGTTCCAAGGAAGGCGAAGGCGATGAAAGGTGAAGCTGTTGCTGTGAGGTAGTGTAGTAGTGTGAACCCAGAAGCTGTTACCAGCAAGATCATCCACCCAATTACGTCGACGGGGGTAGGAACGGAACGGTAGCTGGTACTACCCTCCTACATCCTACATCCTACATATAAGACCTCTCCCTCCCTACCCAAGTCCAATCCCTTTCTCTTCTCCACTCAACCAATCCACAATCACTCAGTCCATCAAGCTCAATTGACCGTCGACGACCTTTCAACCAACTCAATCACTACTACTGTACGTTCGTCCCACCTTACTCCCATTCGATCCCGCGAATATCAGAACATTCACTCCCTCGCGACCACCACCTTCTTGTCGCCTACCTCATCTATTTCCACCTCTTTTATTGATTGAACATATCAACTAACATCAAATCTACCAGTTTAGTTCAATCAACCAAAACAAACACCTTCAACATGCGTTTCTCCACCGTCATCGCCGCTACCCTCGCCAGCACCGTCGCTGCTCAGGATGTCTCCTCGCTCCTCTCCAGCATCCAGGGAGGTGCCTCTTCCGTCCTCTCTGAGGTGACCGCTGCTCCTTCCTCCATCATCAGCGACATCCAGTCCGGACTCTCCTCGGTCCTCTCCAACTCCGACCTCCAGTCTGTCATCAGCTCGGTTTCTGGCGACCTCTCCTCGATTGAGTCTTCCATCCAGTCCGAGATCGCCACCGTCACCGACAGCAGTGCTCTCGCCTCTGCCTCTTCCGCAATCAGCTCTGCACGCAGCAGTGCCGCCAGCGCAGCCAGCAGTGCTGCCGGTAGCGCCACCGCCGGCAGCTCTTCTCCCGGCGTTGCCGCTCCCACTGCCGTCCCGGCCCTCGCTGCCATCGGTGGTGGTCTCCTCGCCCTCGGTGGTCTCTTGTAAACTCTTTAATAGCGACCTCACCACTCGCGCATCCAGTGTACCATCAGCATCTCGTCCGACAGTATGTTTCGAACTTGCTCGATGGAACGGAAAAGCAGCTTTTCTTAATCAACTAGACATGCCTCGTCTCCGACCGCATCGACCGGGGACCGTGGCTTTGTGTAACTCTGGATTTCTTCATCGGTATTCACGGGCATAACAATTCTGGGTGTTTAGGCTGGGTCTGTTTTTTTTGAGTTAAGCAACACGACATAACAACAATTATTGTACCAACCTGTAGCCCCTGCATCGCGCGAGAGCGCGTGAGCGGCACGTGGTGGTCAGCGGGTGTAATAATTTCAGCAGATATTCCCCAGATTACATGTAATAGTCCAAGTCAATTGAGCTTGTTCACCCTTCACCATTCGTCCCAGTTCGCACGTCGTCGTGATGTCTTTCATAACTCCGCTTCACAGCAGGTAATCTCCGGACGTCGGTCCCTGCACGTCCATCGTCCACCCACCAGCCACCCAGCCATGCAGCATCAACCACTCCCAAAGACTACTCCTCGAAATACCTCAAAAAAGGAACAAAGAAAACTCAAACCCAACGTGAAACGTAAGAACAGAGCTGAAAACAACACTACTCCCCCTCTCTCCTCTCTCCTCACAGAAGCTGACGCGGCCCTTCTGACGTCACTCTTACCCGCCAGTGCCCGCCTAACTTCATCCGAGGAGCTTGGGGATTGCTTGTTTTGGGTGATGGGGGCGCTAGTACGTATGCGGTGGGTATGTGTAGACATACTGTCTACATAGCTGTGCAAATATATGATTGAATATAGGGGATTGCATAGAGGAAGGAGTTGCATTG